GTGCCTTTTTTTGATGTTTTGATGAAGGGTTGTTTGAATATGTGAAGCTTGAGATGCTCTGGGAGGTCGTGTAAGTCGGGATGCATGATGTTAGTCAGCTGGGCACGTACTTGTGCAACGGCCAACGTGCCTCGTGCCTTCCTCAAGTGCTTCGACATGGTAGGTACGGAGGAGGTCAAAGATGAGAGTACCTCTGTATCTCGGTACATCATTTCGTGTTAACGTGCCTTTTCGCGACGTTGAGACTCTGCGGATAAGGTATGCAGAGAATGCAGGCGGTTGCGCGGTCTGGGTGGCATTCCGGACGACTGTCCAGCTACCCTATCATGCGATGCTACCCTTTACCTACAGGTGGTATAATGGACATGCATTATTTGCAAGTGCTCAAATAATCAAGGAATTGAGGTATAGGTTACAAGTCAGGTATTTCTGTCTACCCTAGGTACTATTGGCAGTTGAAAGAGTCCGTAAAGACAATGCTCGGCGACAGTTTCACGTGTTGGCTGGATCCTACGCAGAAAGGGGAATAGTCGAGACTTTGTCTCGAGGCGATTTCTTTTTGATTTCTAGCAAAGCGGTAAATGTTTACGGAGAATCTCTAGAGGCAGAAGCAAAAGGGTCACAAGATTGATTACATCGAGATCAGTGTAGTCAACTGAATCTCTGTTCTGAGCAAGACAGGAGTTGGCACCCTGGAGCCCAAGGGTGTTCCCCTGGAGATTCTGCACTCTCTAATGCTTTGGCAGGTAAAGAGACCACTCACTCCTCCTTGCTTCTGATGCTCATAACTGCATTAATTGCGTCCATAGCTTCATTTGATTGGTATATCTACCAGTAGAACGTAAGCAGCTCCACGGCAAGGAAGCGATGAAGCTTTTATCTAGGCAACTCGATAAATCTTCTTGATCCCTGATATTGTAAGATACGAGCTTGATGCCCTGAGAACAATTGACCTACTATAACGTAGTTTGGTAAAATAGGTAGGTGCCATAGCATACCTATTCGACTTACACCAGAGGTCTCGGATCCACATACTTCACTGTGCTCGCACCCAACGCACACTTCATCAAGCTCGTCTTCACAGACATGTCCAACATTACCTAGATAAACAGAGAGTCCTACATAAACCTCTTGCTACATGTCAAGTCTCCCTCCCAAAAGCCGGAAACGCAGGCGCCGTCGTCCCATCACACGAATACCGCACCACGTACGGACTAAACGTCTCCCGATCGCTCACAATCACCTGCCCGCTCGGCGCAGTCACGTTGAAAGAAAAGCCACCCCCGTACTGCGCCTGGCCGTAGAAGAAGCGCACGGGCACGTACGTGTCCGCCGGGACGTTGAAGCGGAAGCTCGAGCGGCCGGCGACGTGGTCCGGCTGGTCGTACAGCGCCTTTGCGTCGGCGTTGGCGTCGGTCCAGCCGGAGTAGGCCTTTGCGCCGGTCCACAGGTAGACGGCATCGTTGGCATAGGGCACGTCGACGGTGTAGGTGCCGCCCTCGCAGGCGTAGATGTAGGCGTGGTGGTTGAGGGCGAAGTAGTCGAGGGCAAAGGAAACCCGGCTGGAGTCGTAGATGGGGCCCGTCGTCTCGGTGGAGCTCTGGCCGTAGAGGCCGCCCACGTAGGAGGTGGTGCCGACGTAGACGGGGGCCGTATTCTTGAAGGAGTCTGGGTGGAAGGACGAGTACGTCGTGTCGGCGTTGCGGGCCGAGCTGTTGTAGTAGGCCCAGTCGAAGCCGAGGTTGTTGCACGACGGAGGAGGCGGGCACGGGGTTGGACAGCTGGGCAGCGTGAACGTGGGAGAGGCTGTGGCCGTGGTCGTGGTGGTCTCTGTGACCGTCTTGATGCCAGGCCCGCCGAGGGTGATGGTCAGCAGGGCCGTCCACGAGGTGACAGTCGTGGTCTTCGTCTGGGTCACGGTCTGGCTTGGGTCACAGGTGGGAGACGGATGGGTGCGAGCATCCAGCTGGCCGGCGGGAGCAACGATGGCATGAGCTTGGACAAGATTGGCCATTGCTGATGCCACGAGGGCTTGCACAAGAGTCTTGCGTATAGCCATGGTGCTGTACGAACGCGACTAGGTAGTAGACGCGACGATTGGGGATCGAGCTTGGAGATGGTCTCTTCTGTTTGTCAACCTCCAAGTCGGTCTTTATACCTGTGTTGTCAGTGAGGCATTGCCAATGCCGCAGAGACTGGACCCCCGTGGCTGTGGCCTCTATTGTGAGTTTTCATTTGACACCGTTAGCATGCCAATTGTCTCTGGTCTCGAGATGGCAAGAGACAAGCCGCCATGTAGGTAAGGAGCTGATACATACCTAGGCAGTGACGGCGGATCTATCTATGATTGGGAGCTGTATGAAGCTGAGTCCGACTGCAGGCTCGGGTGCATGGAGTGTCAGCTGCAGGGCAGATGCATGGCCGCGTTGTCTTGACTGTTTACCTAGAGACAACAAGCTCAGTCTCCCCGGCCGTCTCAGTACCTAGTAATAGTAGAGCACTCGATCAAGGCTCGCTGCCTTTGAGTGCTTGAACCAAGAGTCCGTCGCATTTTAGGACTTGAAGGTACAAGTGCCTACATGTACCTAATCAGAGCCTACCAAATGCAGCTGCACTTGACGTGGCTGCATGGTCCTGTCGATCATGGCTGAAAGTCAGGGTGCAGCTTGTATACATGTACGTAGCTGATCCCTCAGCGCCATCTTGTATGAAGCAAGACATCTCTTTGTTGTTGTGGTCGTCTTCAGCCAGCCTCTAGCTCATGCAAGTCGTCGGCAGATGCCCCTTTTGACGTCCCTGCAGCACTTGGCGGCAGTGGACAGAGTCCCGCGCTCACCGATTCAGCTGTCATTGGATATTGTTTGCCTATATACATGTTAACTTAACATGACTTGAAGTTGCTAGGTTCATCTACTCTGATGTGCACTTGCATAGGTATGTAAGTAGTGGCCGGATGAGATGAAGTGAGCTGATTGGAGCTCAACTGCTCCTCAACGTCGAGCACTGGGCATGAGTTTTGCTACAAAGAGATGCTAGAAGCAGAGCCTGCATGAGACATGTACGTGACTGAACCACACGGGAATCGCATCAGTGGCATTCAAACACTCTTGGAAAGGCCAAATTTATTCAATATGCCGTCTGTTGCACACAGCTTGAGCTGCTCTCAATGCCTCCTTTGTTGCCCAGCTCTCTCTGCCTTGATGCTTTCCGAGCTTAGTAATTCCGGCAACCCGCAAATGGCTATTCCGCCTCCTTTGCCTCCGGTCCACTGACTAATTCTCGGACCCCGATTGGCTCGGCCGAAGTCTGTGAGTAGCCGGCAAAAAGATCATGTCATAGTCATACTAATCGTTTGCTCAAGCTGAGCCGAGAAAGTGATTTCCAAACTTCCGCATCTAACCCTCGCCTCCGCCTCCCACCTCGAAACCCTCCGAAACCGACGACAAGCCCACGCCGCTCAGTCCTTTGCGCAACCGCAGCATGCTTGTCAGGACAGCATCTTTATGATACACACAATGAACCCCCTCTTCGCCACCAGCCGCGCGGCTCTGCGCGTGAGCTCCTCGTCCTTCCGCCACCTGTGCGCATCCAGAGTCGCCGGGTTCGCCTACCACTCCTATCCGCTGCCGTCCAAGATCCCCGAGCCCCCAACAAGCGACAACATCTCCAAGCCGTCCGCCGCCGCCACCACTCAGCAAGAAGCCCTCCCCCGAGTCCACGAGACGCGGCCGCCGCCGCAGCACGAAGCCGCCCCCAAGCCCACAGCTCCGCCGCAGGTGCAGGCCGCGCCGCCTTCAACTTCTTCAACAGCAGCCTCAGAATCATCCACAGACGCCAAGGCCAGCGAGGCGGATGCGCAAGAGGCCAAGCCTGCTGCGCGGCCCCGGTCGAAGCTGCGCGCGCGCAAGGCGGCCATGAAGCTGACGCCCGCGGCCGTCGAACAGCTGCGCTCGCTGCTCAACCAGCCCGACCCGAAGCTCATCAAGGTCGGCGTGCGGAACCGGGGCTGCAGCGGGCTGGCGTACCAGCTGGAGTACGTCGACAAGCCGGGCGCCTTTGACGAGCTGGTGGAGCAGGACGGCGTCAAGGTGCTGATTGACAGCAAGGCGCTCTTCAGCATCATTGGCAGCGAGATGGACTGGGCCGAGGATAAGCTGAGCCAGAAGTTTGTCTTTAAAAATCCCAACATCAGTATGTGGCATTTCCCCCCCTTTTTTCTTTTTGCTTTGAGGCAGTTGCTAACAAGTAGCAGAGGAGCAATGCGGTTGTGGAGAATCGTTCATGGTGTAGGAGGAGAATGGAAAAGGTGGCATGATGGAAGATACGGCCCGCCTTCCTCCGAGGCTAGATGCGAGGCGATTTCGGAACGGAGGAATTGTACGATGGCGATGACTAGAGAACCTGAGAACTACAGGGCGAGGCAAGGCTCTGGATGAGGTTTTTCTGTTACAGACACGCTCACCAAAGGGTTTTGATAATGGTGCCGGTTCAGTATGATACGAGGCACGGGACAAGCGAGATACAGCAACTATTGGGGCATGATACCGGCGTTAGGTTAGAGGCATACAGCCATTGTTCAGATACATGTCAATTACTACTATACTCTTGATGACTGAAGAGGAGATGCTGTGAGCCAACAAATTGACTTGTGATGCATGCTCAAGTATTACACAGCCTCCGAGAAACTAAACTCCTACACACTCAGCCTTCAACATGCTAAAGAATCTGACGAGCCATATATAACGCAACAGCGGCTTGGATTCCATATAGAACAAAGACAGCGCATGAATGACAAAGCCGTCGGACGCCCTTTCATCGCCCGCTGATGTCATTCAGGGTTCTGGAGCAATGCGGCCACGTGACTTGGCGTCAGAGTGTTGCTTTCGATATCGCGACTCCAAAGAACCTTGTTGCGCGTGAAGTGCCAAAAAAGTCGAGCTGACCATGCCGACTTTGTCCGTGTACAAAATAAGAGGATATTCATATAAATAGAACCCGTCGTTTTTGGATTGCACCTCTTGACATTTTGACTTAGCCAAACCCCGAACAAGAGCCGGGAATCAAAGGATTCCCACCTCGACCTGTTACAGGCCCTCACTTACACGCCACCACTTTTCACTTACAACTTGATAACTTCTACACATCCATCAACTTCAGTCAGTATCACTCGAGGCAAAACGCCCACCAGCTCCCACAAAATGGCACCCGCCATCCACAAGCCAAAGCCCGCAACCACAACAACAAAACCATCCTCAACCTCCAGAATCCAAAAGAAACCCAGAGCCTCCTCAAAGACATCCACATCCACATTCACAACCACAAACACGACCAACAAGCCACCACAACCCCCCAGCAGCAACAGCAACATCATCATCCCCGCCGACGACAACAACAACAACAACAACAACAACAACAACAACATGCAGCCCCAGCTCCTCCTCCGCATCGCCCAAAGCCAACGCACGCCCTTTGAGAAGCGCGTCTGGGCCGCCCTCTGCCAGATCCCGCGCGGCCGCGTCACGACCTACGGCCTCCTGTCCGCATACCTCGGCACCTCGCCGCGGGCCGTGGGCAACGCCCTGCGGAGGAACCCGTTTGCGCCCGACGTGCCGTGCCATCGCGTCGTGGCGACGGGGGGCGCGCTGGGCGGGTTCAAGGGCAGCTGGCCCAAGGACGGCGAGGGCATCACGATTGCGGAGAAGAGGAGCCTCTTGAGGGCCGAGGGGGTGAGGGTCGACGATAGGGGGAGGGTGTTGGGGACGGTGTGGTCTGGGTTTGAGTGATCTGTTTCGTTTCTTTCGAAGATATGACGGGGATATGTTCATGTTGTGTTTTGGTACTGGTAAAGGAGGAAATGAATGGTTCACGCGGCGTTATTCGGTTGGTTGTTATGCCGTCTTGTTGGTTTATCGTAGCGGTTATATACATCTATAGGATCCTGGGCTGGTCTAAAGCTTCTAATGAACTCCAACGCTGAGTGGCACATCTGGCATCTCGCCAGGCTCGTACAACGCCATGGGAATGCCCAAGGCGGGCGTTCCGATAATGTCCGCCTGCAGCTTCTGGGCCGCCCAGTCGCCGCGATACTCGATGCTCTCAAACCGTTGAGCCAGTCGAACCACTAACAAGGAAAGGAGTTAGTTGATACACAAGTGCAAAAGCAAATTAACGGCCTCGTCAACTCACAGCAAAACGCCATTTCAGTCAGCGCAAAGTTCTGGCCAGCACATATCCTTGGCCCGCCGGAAAACGGCAGATATGTCCATGGCTTTGGCGTCCAGCTCTCCCACCTCTCTGGGCTGAATATCCTCGGATCGGCAAACGTTTTGCAGGTAGGCGGATACAGTTCTGCGCACATGTGCATCCCAAGTGTGTTGATCGTCACGCTGTCTCCCTTGAGAAGGACAACGTCTGCCTCGCCGGGGCGGCCAGGGATGGTTGTCGTCTCTAATGCCTGGCGCATGTTGAGGGGAGCCGCTGGATGAAGCCGCAGCGTCTCGCTGAGTATATTCCTGACGTATTTTAGATCCTTGAGCGTCTCGTAGGTCGGCGTTCCATGGTTCCCTAATGCGGCGAGCACCTCACTGCGCAGCTTTGCCCAGATCTCGGGGTAGTGAGACAGCTCGTACATTGCCCACGATAGGGTGGCCGCCGTCGTGTCTCTGCCGGCAAGAAGCACGGACATGATTTGATCTCGAATGGCTTTCGGATCCCTTGTGTAGCGGGCGATGCTATGCAGAAACGAAAACTCCAGATCCGATTTCGAGAGCTCCTCGAGTTGGGCCGGGGGGATGGCGAGCGCTCGTGCTATGGCTGGCTCGATGAACTCCTCGATTCTCCGGATGGCTCGGTGGTAGTTGCCTTTGGGAATCAACGGTGCGATGGGGCTTTGAGACAATTGGATTAGTACTTTGTTTGTTACTGACGGTTGTGCAATGGTCGGGTGGGTGGGTGGTTAGACTGACTTGAGAACAAAGATGTACATCTGTATCCGCTGTGCAACATGCATCGCGTTGAAAACATCATGGTCGGGACTGAAACAACCAACTGTCAGCAATAACTTGACCGACGGGCTAAGAAAACAAGGTCGCCTTACAAGTCCAAGCTGTTGACATTCTCTCCCAGCAGAAACTCCGTCGTCGTGTCCAAAGCCCAGCGGTAAAACAGGTCCTTGAGCTCAACGGTGGCTCCCGCCGAAGGAATCTTGCGCAGCAGCTTGCTGGTGCAGTCTTCAAAGATGGCGAGATTCCGCAGCCTGTCCCTGGCAAACATGGGCCGGATCATGCTGCGGCTATCGTGCCAGAGCTGGCCGTCGACGCCAAAGATGCCGTCCCCGAGAAAGGGGCGCCACAGTCTATGCCACATGGGTCCATGGCCGAAGCTGGAGAAGTTGGTGGCGAGGATGGCCTTGATCTGCTCCGGGTCTCTGGTGATGAGGACTCGCTTGGAGCCTGTCAGGCTGAACTCGGCAAAGGTTCGCTTTCCGGGGGGGAGATTGTCTAGTTGCTTTGTACACCAGTCGACGAGCTGGTTGTTGTACTGATTCTTGCCAATCTCGTAGTACAACTTGGATGCTTTGAAGAAGGTTAGCCATTGAAGTCAGAGGGGATACTGGAGACTCGACAGAGAGACTGTACCTGACAGCAAGTTGCCTGCCAAAATGGGCGCCCGGACACCGCCGAGTCGTTTGATTCTGAAATCAGAAGCAAGATGACGGAGTTTGACCAGGAGTGTGAGGATGAACACAAGGCTGACGCTTGCTATTAGGGTATAACTCGACGGGTACAAACTGTGAGATAACATGCTGAAGGCAAAGACTGCAAACAATACGATGCGTGAGCAGGAAGATAGAGGCGTCTATTGCTGTGGACAAGCGACTTCTAAGGAGATATGAATGGCGTCAAAGCTACATGTATGTACGTACACAAGGCCGGCAAGGAGAGATCATCGAGGTAGGTATGTACAGGCAGCCGGTGGTTGGGCTAGGCAGGCACGAACTGGTCCTGAACGGGCATCACAGAACGGTAGAGAGGGAGCAATGACCAGGAGATTGAAGGTTATGATGTCGGATCGACTGCCGGTTGCTGTGATTCACGAGCCGTTGACCGAAGCTCGAGATGCGGACGTTGGGGTGAGGAGGGCAAAGCAAACAACATGGAAGTCAAAGCACCCGGAGACCAGCAAAGAGAAAGTCGTAGCCAACAATGTGATTGCTGTTGCCGATATATAATTTGAATTTCTTCTTAAAGAGGGGATTGGAAACCCGGCTGCTTTCATATCCTCTGCCCCTTCGACATACTGGGGGCTTCAGCTAACACCTTACCTACATGCATGGTACATGTAGCCTTGCGTCAACTTCTGGCTCGCACGCGATAGGCTGGCGGAACGAGATGCTGCATGTATCTGGCACGCTACTTGCCGAGCTGAAAAACAAGAGATTAGTTGTGTGTGAAAATCATCGACAAAAGTCCAATCCCCTGATTCAGCCCCGGAGAAGAACAAACGGCGAGACATGATACGGGGAATAATACGACAGGGCGGTTGCACCTTGAAGGAGGAGGTTAGCATGTGAAGATCATGGGGTAAGCAAGGGATGATGATGAGGCTGGAAAAGGAGAGGCGGCGGATCGTTGGGTTGGCGGCTAGTTAGTGGTGGGTTTGGTGGGAAGTTGGAGGGATCTGGGAATTTGGGGTGAGGCTCGAATGCGAATGGCTGGCTTACGAGCACAGTGTGAAGAGACCGTATAAGATGTTGGGTTGGAATTGAGGGCAGTATAGGGTTGATGTACGGGATGTTGGTGACTGTTGGGAGTACAGATGGTTGGGATGGGCTCGCACATGCATATACATAACTGAACAAGTTGTAACCCTTGCAGGTGTGATTGAAGGGATGAGTTGCATGAATATGGAGAGTGGTGTGTTACTGTTACTATGGGCGTAGAGATGCTGGTACAGTAGTATTAATACCATGTGCGATGATGCCGTCTGTGCATCAGCTGGTTGACTGCGAGATATAGATCAGAGAGTGTCAACCCTGCAAGACCACGAGCTCAGATAATATGAAGACGAATAGTAGTAGTAGTGCTCCTGTAGCAATTGAACACCTGGCCATTACTCCCTCGTCATGTGCAGCAAAGAAAACTGAATGGTTTGACGGTCCCGAGTCCTGGCTATTGTTGGTATTGTCATTCGGAGCAAGGCTCAAGCATGGCCCCCCACACGGCCTGCCATTGGCTCTCTGCGCCTGGACGAGATGCCAGTGCGCACATGTACACGTATCCGCTGAGATACACAGACCCGTCATACTGCCATCATACTCGTGCAAAGTACTCACCTGCCCACCCGATACCCCCCCTCCACTGACAGCGCCGCTTGACAGGCCGTTACAGGGCTCTTGGGCTGCTGTCCCAGCGCCGGACCAACAATGTTCCGCAGCCAGTCGGCGAAACTCGGGCCCCCCCATCGCAGCTTAGGCCGAAGGAGCCAGGAAATCGGTTTCCGCATTGAGAGCTTGTGAGCATCAAACCGCCCAAAAAAAATCGTCGAGAGTTCTGCAACCGGCCATCTCTCGCCTCCTCGCCGCCTCTCCTCCTCTCGTCTTTTCTCTCTCTCCACTCAGTCCGGCAAATTGCCAGCCCTCCCCCAAACCACAATGTTCAGCTTTGGCCGTAGCCGCGTGGCGGCGTCGGCCCTCAGCGCCGCCAAGGTACGGAAAACGTCGCAAAAGTTGCTCGACTCTTTGTCTACAGCCCCTCGATGTTAGAGGGACCGACTCAAGGAGGGGTCGAAACCCATCGCAGAAACATGGCTTTTTATGCTAACTTGAGCTTCTTCCCACGTGTTCACAGCGCGCCACTCCCTCCGTTAGACTGCCTGGCGCCGCCCAGCAGCGAAGAGCCCTCAGCATCCACGAGTACCTGTCCGCCGACCTCCTGAGAAAGGTAACAACTCACCTCAACCCTTGCCCATCTCGAGCCCGGCCCTCCGGCCCGACTCGGCCACCTGTGACCTCTTCTTTCTTTCTCACACGGCAAATAGTACGGCGTTGGCGTTCCCAAGGGCGCCGTGGCCAAGACGGCTGCGGAGGCCAAGAAGGTCGCCGAGGAGATTGGAACCGGCGACCTGGTCATCAAGGCCCAGGTCCTCGCCGGTGGCCGAGGAAAGGGAACCTTTGACAACGGGCTCAAGGGCGGCGTCCGTGTCATCTACTCCCCCTACGAGGCCGAGATGTTTGCCCAGCAGATGATTGGGCACAAGCTCATCACCAAGCAGACGGGCGCGGGCGGCCGTCTGTGCAGCTCCGTCTACATCTGCGAGCGCAAGTTTGCTCGCCGCGAGTTCTACCTGGCCATCCTGATGGACCGTGCCTCGCAGGGCCCCGTCATCGTCTCGTCGTCCCAGGGCGGCATGGACATTGAGACGGTCGCCAAGGAGCAGCCCGACGCCATCACTACGACCTACATCGACATCAACAAGGGCGTCACCGACGACATTGCCCGCGGCATCGCCACCGGCCTGGGCTTCAGCGAGCAGTGCATCGAGGACGCCAAGGACACGATCCAGAAGCTCTACAAGATCTTTGTCGAGCGCGACGCCACCCAGATCGAGATCAACCCCCTGTCCGAGACGTCGGACCACCAGGTGCTGTGCATGGACGCCAAGTTCGGCTTCGACGACAACGCCGACTTCCGCCAGAAGGAGGTCTTTGAGTGGCGCGACACCACCCAGGAGGACCCCGACGAGGTCCGCGCCGCCAAGTCCAACCTCAACTTCATCAAGCTGGACGGCGACATTGGCTGCCTCGTCAACGGCGCCGGCCTGGCCATGGCCACCATGGACATTATCAAGCTCAACGGCGGCCAGCCCGCCAACTTCCTCGACGTCGGCGGTGGCGCCACGCCCGCCGCCATCCGCGAGGCCTTTGAGCTCATCACCAGCGACCCCAAGGTCAGCGCCATCTTCGTCAACATCTTTGGCGGCATCGTGCGCTGCGACGCCATCGCCACCGGCCTGATCCGCACCGTCGAGGCCCTCAACCTCAAGATCCCCATCATTGCCCGTCTGCAGGGCACCAACGTCGAGCTTGCCCACCAGATCATCAACGAGTCTGGTCTCAAGATCTTTTCTATCGACGACCTGCAGAGCGCCGCCGAAAAGGCCGTGCAGCTGTCCAAGGTTGTCAAGATGGGTAAGTTTACGACGGAGTTTTACGACGTAAAATAAAAAGGAAAAGAGAAAGAAGAGAGAATAACTTGCTGACGGTCTTTGTGTGTAAAATAGCTCGCGATATTGACGTTGGTGTTGAGTTCACCCTGGGTATCTAAACGGTACCGTACAGAGTCGAAAGACTGGATTGGCATGGATTCCTTGTATTAACTGTTTTTGGGTGGCACGACCTTTGAGCAGGGGGGCTCAGGTACGAGGCGGCGGTTAGGGCATTTGCTGCTTGTCTATAGCATGTACGGATGGGTAGGAATAAGTAGAGGAGGAAAGACAAACAAAGACGCAATCATAATTCTGCCAAGCCATGGTGCAAGTGATGCGTGCACGTCCTTTAGGGCCTGTACCGTGCTGATGCCGGTTGGGAATGGTTTCGGAAGGGTGAGATGAGAATGGCCTGACTCGATAAAGGGAGGTGATCGTATCCGGATCTTCGATGCGAGGGAGAGTCGTCATCAGCAGCAGTGGAGTCTGTCACGTCGATAAGAGCAAAACGAGAGAGTTGAAAGCTCCATCTACGTAGCAGCTGGAAATGCAGGGTCGATGAGCAGGCATTGTCGTTTATAAGTGCCCATGTCTACGGAACAAGACGGAAGGGGGAGTCGATGAATCGGACTGAAAAGGCAAAAAACTAAAGATCGGATGATTGTGGACTCATGCAGAACATGTACCAGTGCCGCCTAATAAGAAATCGTAACAAGGTCTAGGATAATAAACAGAGTTTTGGTTCAAGGAGTTCGTCTAATAAGGGGAGTTGAGCTATGGAGAAGGGGTCCATGTATGGAGTACCTTATCAAGGTACTATGCGGACGCTAAATCGGGAGAGCTGAGAAAGGGAGAGCAATTTTGGTGGTTTCCTTTTTTTTTTGCAGGGCGGCGGTTCGGAAGTCGTTCGGTTATTGCGCCAGCAGCCATTGCTCGGATGAATGGCAGCGCGCCGTAATAGATACCAGAGATTCTAGGCAAGGATTGAGGTGGGATGAGTCTTATTCGCGAGGGAGAAGAAACGTTGTGGCGATGCCGAGATTCGATAGACTTGTTTCTTACATACATGCAGCCCGGTTTTTTTTTTTTTTCTGTCTGTTGAGATAGGGAACAAGATATGTACAGGAGCAGATAGATTATCGCTGATGATGTTCTTCCAGTGTCTTTCGTCTATGATTTGGAATAGAATGGGCGTGGCGATGACAAAGAAAAGGCCAATGATGGAATGTCATGCGGCATGACCAACATGACTTCATCGACCAGTCAATTTGTAAGGCAAAAAAGCTGCTTGGAGGGCTTACCTACTATGTACATACAGACGACTCAAGATATCTTACTGTACGATACTGTACCTAAGCTTGCTTGATCACCCTTGAAACCCAGAACACAGCCGGCAATTGGATCACCGGCAGCGCGCGCGCCTAAATTGGGCATCATTCAAGGAAACTGGGACCAGGTTTTGTTGCAGATTTTATTATCAGTTTTATTTTTCTTCACCTCTTAGATAGTACTTTATTTCTTCAGCCTTGTTAGCTGCCGCAGTGGAGCCTGTAGATATCAGGAGTGGGAACTCAGAGCGAGCGAGCACAGCGGCAGATAGAGAGAGCGATCACAAAAGATGCACCTTGTGACGAACTTTTGGACATCTAATGTTTTTTTTTTCCATCACTTGATTGATGAATTCATGCCCGAAATAAATATCTTGGGCTTTACCTCGCCAACGAAGCAGTAGCCAATAAGGCAATGACAATCACTGAAGCAAGGCCCGTCACAGAAAGATTGCGAAATTCCGATGCTCCGCCGACAAAAAAACCAAGCTCCAGAATTTCTAGCACGTTCACGAAACTTTTTTCTTCTTCTCTCTCTGAGCTGCATGTACCTAATCTGGGACCTGGAACTAATACTAGACTAAGCGTGGACAGGGGTGTGCGTCGGCATTGTTCGGGTATGTGGCAGCCAGTCATCTTTCACGAATCCCCTGGCGCTCTCGATGGCGAAAAGAAAGGGCTTTTTTTTTCTTGGTAGGTAGGTATGACTGGGCTGTAGTGCAGTACTGTACAAGTCTGAGACGGGGTGCTTGATGAAATGTATATATAGAAGCTGGCCCTTCTGCTCTCCTTCTCTCGACTCGATCTGATATCCACAGGATAGAATAAGCTTCTTCTACTGCCTTTCACTTTTGAAAAAAAATATATAAATCATCTCGACTCGACTTGTTGACTCGACTCCGTCAACACACTCACTACTCAGAGCGTCCATCAAACCTTACACGACTCTTCCACACAACCACTTTTGCAACACAAAACCCAGAACCACATCTCCGGTTCACCACCTTTCTCTACAACAACAACAACAACAACAACAAATCTTCTTCACACAAAAACCATCACCATGCCTTCCAAGGGACAAAGCTGGTGGGCCCGCCACTGCACCCCGCGACCCCCCATCAACCCCGTCGTCGCCTGTCCCTGCCACCACTGCTTCAACATGGTCGCCGAGGAGCTCGACTACCCAAAGTCGTCCCACAGCTCCCAGGCCAGCACGCCCGCGCCCTCGCGGCCCGTCAGCCCGACCGGCCGCGTGAGCCCTGCCTCGTCACCTTCGGTGCAGCAGGTCCCGATTACCACCGCGCACATTGAGAAGGCCGCGAAGCAGTAGGCGTTTGATGAGAGGACTTGAGAGCTTTTTTGATTTCACGATTCGAAAGCGTTGAAAAGAAAAGACATGGCGACTTTTAACGCGGTTTCATATTATCGACATCATCAGCGGACGATTTCCAAACAGCGAAAAAAAAGTTCTTTTCTATAATACACGGATATTGGATGGAGGATGGCGAAAAGCAATGACCGGCACTTGTGCTGATCGCTTCGGCATCCGGCCCCACTTTAACGGGCGTGGTTGGACGGGAGAAGGAATAGAAGGGATTAATATGTGATGGGAAGGAAACAAACACAAAGGACGGGAGGGATAATAGTAGCAAGCGGATTCTGGTTTCTTTTGTTGTTTGGGCAGCGATGGTTTGGAATACCCCCTCTTGGTTGATTTTTTTTCTATAGATGTTTATATACACTTGGTTCAAATAATTGCATTTTGAACAATCATTGTGACTCTCATCCTTGTGACTGTGATCGACATGAGGCGTTGCTTAAGCCTGTTGACGTCACTCGCCTGCATACCTATCAACAGCGCATCTTCCATCTCATTGCAACAACCACAAACCACTCATTTTGCCATAGAATCACCAAACATTTATCCTCACCCTCCGACTTGTATATACACGTAACAATGCCGTCCTCTATTGATCCGGCCATCCTCACCGCGCTCAACATCGACAAAGACAGCGCTACACTCTCATCCGTCGGCGGCTCAGGCTTCTCATCCACCCTCAAGCTCTCCACCACCAAAGACGGCCAGCCATTCGACTGCTTTATCAAGACGGGCTCCGGCGAAGGAGCAAGAATCATGTTCCAAGGTCTGTTGATCATACCTTTTTTTTATTTTTTCCATCTTCAAATCTCACTCCCCTTGACCCCTTGAACAATCAAATGCTGACCTCTTTTGTAAAACCCCCTACATAAACCAGGCGAACACGCCTCCCTCAACGCAATCCACAACACCGTCCCCAACTTCTGCCCCAAATCCTACGCCCACGGCCCTCTCGCGCAACAGCCCAACAAGCACTTCCTCGCCACCGACTTCCTCCGCCTGGGCTACGCGCAATCACCAGGCTCCGGCGTCTCCTTCGCCGCCAAGCTCGCCAGGCTGCACTCCACGCCCGCGCCCGTCCCAGAGGGCTTCGATCGGCCCATGTTTGGCTTCCCCGTGCCGACCTGCTGCGGGGACACGGAGCAGGACAATTCGTGGCGGGCTTCCTGGGCCGAATTTTACGCTGACAATAGGCTGCGGTGCATCATGAGGCGCATCGTTGAGAATCACGGGCCCGACGACGAGGCGGCTGACATGCTTGAAACGGTGGCCGGCAAGGTCGTCCCGCGCCTGATTGGAGACGACCGCATCAAGATTACGCCCGTGGTGGTGCACGGCGATCTGTGGAGCGGTAATCATTCGTCGGGGCAGATTGCCGGCAAGGGCGGTCGCGAAGAGGTTGTCTTTGACCCGTCTTGCGTCTACGGCCACTCCGAGTATGAACTCGGCATCATGAAGATGTTTGGCGGCTTTGGGAGTTCGTTCTGGAGCGAGTATGAGAACTTGATGCCCAAGGCGGAGCCCAAGGGCGAATGGGATGACCGCGTTATGCTCTACGAACTGTGAGTACCTACATCACTTTACTGCACATCGAGAAGCATACGACTGGGCTGACTGCGTCTCAAGATATCACCACTTGAACCACTACTCGATCTTCGGATCAGGGTATCGTGGAGGAGCCATGTCAATCATGAAGAAGCTGGTATCCAAATACGGTAGCTAAGGTATATATCAAAGTACTCCGATGAATGAAGCGAAAACGACAAAGGAAGAAAATCCGCTAGAATCACGCAAAGCGTGTATACATGCGCAGAGGCAGGTAGACAAGATGTGAACAAACGCCGTCCCAGTGCTCGCCATGGTGTTGCAGCCATCTATACCGAAGCACAGCAAAAAAGGAAAAAAAAAAAGAGTCAGAAAGAACGCAAGCGCCTCGAAATCGCCCGTGTGCCCGCTATACCGTACCCCAATGTTCATCTCTCAGGCGGCCAGCATCGCCTGTCTCTCTGGCCGGCTCTCTTGTGCCGCCTCGGCTTCTGCTGGCCGTTCCGACACCGGCAGCTGCGCATTCGGAACCGTGGGGAGCTTCTGATCGACGCCCGACATCTCGGCCTCGAGCGCGGCGAGCTCGTCCTCGACCTCTTCCTCGTCCTGCGCCGTGATGCGCGTACCCAGCATTTCGCTGATTTCCTACACCGACCAATAAGTCAGCCAATGACCAGAATAAAAAAAAAAAAACGCATTGTCCACTGCTGAAAAAACATCAGAGAGAAAAGGGCGGAGATCAATACATTCTGATACGCAATCGCCTCGGCCGTCTCCCCCATCAACTTCTCCACGTGCTCGATGCCGCCCATTTCGGCGTGAATCTCCGACAGCACCTTGGTGCCCTGCTGCAGGCCAAAGACGACGTCCTTTTGGATCTGCGCAAACTCGACGCTCGCCGTCAGCTTCTCCAGCTGCTCCAGCTGCGCGTCCGTCTTGCTCAGCAGCGTCTCCTGGTACTTCTTGCGGCGCAGCGCCAGCAGCGCGCGCTTCTTGTCGCCCTTGGCCAGCATCTGCTTGGCAATGTCCGTCTCCTTGTCCGTCAGGATCGTGATGCGCCGCTGGTACTGGTGCAGCCGGTCGCGCTGGATCTTCATGTCCAGGATCGCCCTGGTTCAAGGGTGCACAGGTGCTCGGCGTCAGCTTGAGGAGGGTTTTGACTGGGAGAGTGAATCAATGCGGAGAGAGGAGCAGGATGGAGAAGTCGTACTTGTCCTGGTCGGTGATTTTGCTCTGTTTGCCGCCCATTTTGAGGCTTCGCGATGCTCTACTCTATGGTACTCGAACTGGCGATGCTCCTCGTTGTTTGACCGTCTGTTTGCGGGCGAATTTCAAGTTAAAAGAAGTGATGCGACGAGGGACGACATTCAGGCGGACAGGCGGTCCTTGTCGTCATTGTCTGGGAGTACCTTGTCAGAGTACCTTGTGACACGGAAAGCTTTATCGATAAGCAGGGGCTGTTGATAGGAACCGCAAAGCGAAAAGAATTTGGCACAGGGTTCAAGCTGGACAAGGTATGGTCTATGCGGCGGCTCCACCAGAATGATGGATGTGAGTGCTTCATACGGTTAGTGGCTGTCTAGGCCTCATCCCGCCTGGTGCATTCTTGATAGCGCAACTTTTTCTTTTTCGCAAAATCATCAAGAATCAAAACTCATCTTCACCCGGCTATTCAACCACAGCCAAGGCATCATGGCGCCCAACTTCAAGTCCCGGCTGAACCTCCGCCAAGGTCTCGATCGCGACGTCTACCAGATCATCAAGAAACTCGAAGAGGCCAATGACGGCAAGCCGTTCAAGACCATCACTGCCGCCTACGATGCCATCAAGCGGTCCAACTCGAGCCTCAGCAGGCAAAAGAAGCGTCCTCTCGAAGACTCCATAGAACGGGTCCTGCAATTCCGCAAGGAGGAACTCGAAGAATCGGAAGACTCCGAAGCCGCTATCGAGGAAGCCGAGTCGAAAAAGGTCGACGACGATCGATTCCTGCTCAATCGCCAGTTGACAAAGCACTGGCAAGTCGAGCCGGTATCTCAGGGCACCTCCGAACAGCCTGCGGCCAAGAAACGACGGATACAGACCGAGGGCGACGAGAGAGATGGCGCAGTCAGTGGCCCCGACACCGGCACCGAGGCGGCAATGAACGGAGACACGGCCAAAGATGCAACAAGGGGTGCCGACAGACTCGACAAGACGGCCCCGAAAAAGTCACCCAAGTCTACCCGATTCAGGGTCGAGCAACCGGAGGAGCCACTGCCCTTGGGAGGCGTTGGCGAGATGCACCGTCACCTGCTGCGTCAAACGCGATATCTGCTGAGGTGCCCAGAGCTCTACAAGGGAAATGGCTGGAGGCGAGTGCCCGGAATGCTGCTGTTCGGCCCTCCAGGGACCGGAAAGAGGTCGCTCATCCGCACAGTTGCGGCCAATCTCGATGTCCCGATCATAACCGTCAATGGCTGTCTTGAGGATCCCGAACGCGTGGAGAAGAGCTTGGCGGAAGCTTTTGACGCCGCCATCGGGCTGGCCCCGAGCATCGTGCTCATCGAGGACCTGGACTGGCATATACCGAAGCCGGGCGGCTCCAACCACAACGAGCACGGCCGAAAGGTGCTCAATCACTTTGCACGGCAGATGCAACGAGTCCAACAAGAACAGGCCAACGTCTTGGCCATGGCGACAACATCAAGGCTGGCCGATGTCGACCCCGTTGCGCTGGAGGCTGGCCTTTTTGAGAGGACAATTCAGATGAGGGTGCCGGACCAGGACGCTCGGCATGATATACTCAAGGTTGTCACGCGAGAAAAGATACTAGCCGACAGTCTAGATCTGGAGGAAGTAGCCAAGATGACGCACGGTTTCGTTGGCGCAGACATTATCATCATCACAACACTGGCGGAACAGGCGGCACAGGAGCGAATCCTCAACTCAGAGGATCCGGATGGGCGACAGCTGGAGATCCTCACTCGACCTCCCCGCAGAGACCAGATGGAGGTGTCCGACATCTCACTAGATCTAAAACAGCCCGCATTCGAAACACTGCCCATTGAGCCGCTGACACTCGACGACTTCCGCCTCGCCATCAAGGGCTTCACGCCGTCCCTGCGCAGAGAGGGCTTCACCGTCATACCCAGCGTAACCTGGGACCAGGTCGGCGCGCTGGAAAAGGTCCGCGAGCAGCTTCACATGTCCATCATCGGCCCCATCAAGAACCCGGAGCTGTACCAGGAGTTTGGTCTCCGCCGCCCTGCCGGCGCGCTCCTCTGGGGCCCTCCCGGCTGCGGCAAGACGCTCGTGGCCCAGGCCGTCGCCAACGAGGCGCAGGCGTCCTTCATCCTCATCAACGGCCCCGAGCTGCTCAACAAGTACGTCGGCGAGTCGGAGCGGGCCGTCCGCGAGCTCTTCCAGCGCGCGCGCTCGTCGACGCCGTGCATCCTCTTCTTCGACGAGATCGACTCCCTCGTGCCGCGCCGCGACAACGCCTCCACCGACGCCGGCGTCCGCGTCGTCAACGCCCTGCTGACGGAGCTCGACGGCGCCCAGGACCGGTCGGGCATCTACGTCATGGGCACGACCAACCGGCCCGACATGATTGACGCGGCCATGCTGCGCCCGGGCCGTCTGAGCGTGCGCCTCTTCGTCGACCTGCCCACGCCCGACGAGCGCGTCGACATCCTCCGCGCCATCTACAAGACGGCCCACGCCAGCGCCTCCGAGGCCGAGCTCGCCCGGCTGCCCGCCGTCGCGCTGGACCCGCGGTGCAACGACTTTAGCGGCGCGGACCTCGGCGGCCTGCACATCAAGGCGGCCGAGTGCGCGCTCCGCAAGTTCATGCTGGGCAAGAAGACGGCGAGGGAGATTGACGAGGAGGACTGGGAGTATGCGCTGGAGAACACGCGGTGCAGCGTGCTCAACCCGGAGTCGTACAGGAAGCTGGATCGGAAGCTGGGCAAGGGGGAGTAGGTAGATGCTGGGGCCGTTGTACACAGGAGATGGATGGCACACACAAGATTTTGGATCAATGATGTTTGTAGACGATACCAGGCGCATATGCATAGAAGTATTACTGATTGTTTCGTAGAAGGCATTAAATCACGGCCTTTTCTTCCCCCCATTAGACAATGCCTTGATGCAATGATACCTCACCTTGGCCCTTTATCTGCATTGGAGGGTCACAAGCGCAACACACATGGCAAACGGCTATTCGGGATCCCGTCAGCCAATACCGGGTTGCCGCTGAGGCCCCCTGTCCGTCAAACAGCTTTCCCGTCCAATTCCCCCACTACGCAAACCGAAGCACATGGAAAAATTTCAAAAGCTCTCACACCACACCGACAGCTGCTGCTCGTGTCAATCATGAGTGAGCAAAAAAAAAAAAAAAAAAACCACCAGCGTCGAGTCGCCCAAAAAAAGCGGAGTTGGGTATTAATGGTACAAGCACAGTGATGGTGCTTCGACTATTCTAAGCTGTGTCTGTGTCTATAGTACAATCGCCGCACCCCGTCTATCGAAATGTCTTGTCATTACTTTTCTTCATACTCTTCGTTTTCCTTCTTCGTTTATTTGGTAGCGTCCTTGAGGTAGCTAGACAATTGGCGTTAGCACAGGGTGAACTTGGGTCAAGAAACGGAGAATCATGGAAACGAGGGGCAACATACGCAATCAGGTCGTTGCGGTCCTTCTCCTTCTTCAGGCCGCCAAAGGCCATCTTGGTGCCGGGGATGTACTTCTTGGGGTTCTCGAGGTACTCGAACAGGGTCTTCTCCTCCCAGGTGATGCCGGCCTGCTTGTTGGCGTCGGTGTAGGAGTAGCCCTCGGCGGAGCCGGTCTTGCGGCCGAAGAGGCCGTGCAGGGCAGGGCCGATCTTGTGGCCGCCGTTGGCCTCGACGGTGTGGCACTGGGCACAACGGGTCTTGAAGAGGTTGGCACCCTTCTTAGCGTCACCTGCGGCAGAAGCGTCAGCAGCTTGTTTTATTTTCCCTTTTTTCTGCGAGATCAAGAAGGTTGCGGTTTGCCGACGACGCTGTCAAGGCCGGGGAGGGAAGGAATAGAGAAGGGCCAAAGAAGTCTGCTGGTCGGAATGACGCAGCGCTGACAACGGGGTGACCGGGGCGTGTCTGGGCCGGCATCATCATCGTGGCTAGCATCATCGAGCCGCCCTTGAAAATGACGCACGGCGCCGGAAGGCCTCAATGTTGTGCCAGATGACTGGCGAGCACAAATCGCACTTCATTGAGCGCGCCTGTGTTCAGAGAGCAAAAGGCACCACCCGATCGAGTTGTCAAGCATCGTGGCCGGCCTCAATGGCAACTCTCGCCGTCCCCTCGGAAACGTCTCGGCAACCGGATTTGTGTGTGTGTGTGTGTGTGCATAAGGCAAGACTTACCACCAGCCATTTTGAAGTATGGGTATTAGGTAAAAAATAAAAGAGACGTTAAAAAGTCGTTAGGTTGTAAGAGTTGGAAAATCCAAAGAAGAACCGGTTGATCTGCTTTGGAGACACAAAGATATGATTTTTCTCTGAAGATGAGAAGAAAGAGAAGAGAGAGAGAGAAGAAAAGAAGTATAGGGGAGAGAAGGAAGGCAGACCAGGAATTTCAAGGCAGACGGAGAAAAAAAGTGCAAAAAGTTTATGACAGCACCATGCCGTTGCAGAAACCAGCGGTGATGCGCCACAGCCTGTGGCTCGTGCGCAGCCAATCAGCGCGTCCCAATTACACAGTCAGGCGCATCGATCGGGCGACTCCCCCCGGGTAAAGTCGGGCGGCCAACGCGGCGTTCGTCATTTTTTTCGTGCTCAGGTGTCAAGGTTCCTTTCTCGGGAGGTTCGAGCAAAGACCAGAAAATAGGGGCGCCACAGTGAGGCTGGTGGAGCCCACTTCTTTTCGCTGCTTCTTTCCTGTTCCTTGATTGCCCTTGTTCCCGAGCTCTTTCCGCGCGGATCCACACGATTTTAGTCCCTTTTTCCTCTCGTGCTTTTCTTCTTCCCGCTTCTACCCCGGCGAAACATCGGCAGAAGGACGGCGTTTCTCCGCCCGCCTTTTGTGTCTGGGGGTTCTCCACTTCTTTTCGACTCCCGCTAGTTTTTTCCTGGTGGGATGAGCAGAGAGAGAAGCTTCATAGCAAGCAAAAAAGAAAGTGAGAAAAAAAACACACCCCCAAAGCTCTGGGCGGTGGTTTGTTTGTCACTTCTTTCTGCTATTCCCCTTCTTTGTTCCTACTTGACACTCATTCTTTTCTCTTCTTCCATCATTGACTGAAACCCACCGCTACGACGAAAACACATCGCCATTCATCCAACACCTCTCCCCCCTCCTCCGTCACCGCAAGAATCGAACAGCCCCCCCCCTCCTCCCGCAACGATGGTGACGAGAGCCGTCATCCCGCGCTTCCTGCTGCCGCTGCAGGGGCCGCTCTGGCGAGGCATCCGGATCCCCCTCTCGCAAAACGTTCACATCCGCTTCGTGTCGACCGACAAGCCCATCGTGCTCGAGAAGCCCGCGCGCTTCAACCCGCCGTCGCACGGGTCGCGGCTCAAGCGCAACGCCGTGCCCAGACACTACGGGCCCGCCCTCACCGAAGACGAGGTTGCCGCCCAGAACAAGAGGAGCTACCCGGGCATGATGGCGCCCGAGGGAACGTGGGCGCACTGGTTCTGGCATAGCAGGCTGCTGCATACGTTCATCACCATGGTACGACGACTCAATGGGATGGGGGGGAAGAGAGAGAGAGAGGCTGTTGCCTGTGTCTTCGGCTGAGAAAAGAGAGAGAGAGAGGGACGTGTGGGCTGACGTTTTAAATCCTTCTTTCGCGAATAGGGCGCGCTGCTGGCCATGGGCCTCTACACCTTCTTCATGAACTACGCCTACAACTCCCCGTTCAAGGACCTCGTCCCGCCGATATCCGACCTTTGGCAGCACCCCACCTACTTCTTCTCCCAGTGGAAGAACGTCATCCTCATGCACGAAAAGGACAAGGCTCTTAAGGCCTCCGAGCACCGGAACCGACACCTCGACGACGTCGCTAAGCGCAGGTACTTTATGAAGATGCACGGCATCGAGGCCAAGGATCCCGTCGCCATGGTCTTTGGCAAGGACGAGCCCAAGTCGGAGGAGGCCCTCGAGGCGGCCGCCATGGGACGCGAGCCGCCGGCCCAGCCCGAGGAGGCTGGGGCTGAGGCCCCTGTTGAGCAGAAGAAGAAGTGGCTGGGCATTTTTTGAACGAAGAGGGACAAAAGGGTTTGGTCGGAATCAATACGATCATGGGTCATATGTGCATTGATCAGGGCTGGGCTAGATGCTCCCCCCCCCCTTATCTGTTGTAGTAGTATTAAGAGGTTTTATTTTCCCCCCCAAGCACATTAGGCTTTCAAGCCATTCTCCAAAGGTCAAATGAGACCAAATCAGACATGATGTACCAACATATAACACAAAGAACAAAGCAAATGAAATAGCAAATGACCGCAGTTCCAGAGATGATGCCAACAGAGTGTGTAGTGTGCTTTACGCCAGATCAACCCCTTCCAGCCCGTCCAAGACCTCGTCCGCGACGCCCCCCTTTTCCAAGACGGCCTGTATGATGCTATCCAAGACAGCAAACGGGGTCCCTCCCAGAGGCGCCTTCCACACGCCCTCCTGTGGGACCTCGTCCGATGTTTGCTGCTGCTTCTGCTGCAGTGGCACGTCAGCCGTCCCACTCGCCGCCAGGTTCGCCGTGCTGGGCACCCCCGGCGGCGTCAGCCGCGAGGGGGGATCAATCGTCCGCATCGCCACCAGCCGCAGCTCGCGCCCGGAATCCACCTCCATGCTGCTCTGCCCGCGCTCCCGCCTGACCTCGCACAGCGACACCGCCAGCGCCGAGTCCGCCACCGCGAGCTCCTCCTTAGACGGATCGAACAGGATGCTGTCGCCCACGGCGACGACCAGCAGCGTGATGGACGGCCGCGAGCCCGCCGCCGCGGCGCCGCCCTGGCGCGGGTACAAGAAGGGCGCCGCCTCCCAGTCGTCGTCGAACATGGGGTCTTCGTCGCCTTCTGATTTGAGCCGCGGCAGGCGTGTTGCCAGCAGTGCGAGGTGTGTCGTCAGGGAGAGAAGCGGTAAGGGGTATGACAGTGGCGGTGATATCAAGAGAATCTGCGAGTTTGCCGCGTTAGCATCACATCCCCTCGAGAACTCGTTTGCCGCCCCCAGGCAGCAGCATTTTCCCGATCCCAGCCCCCCCCCCCCCCCCAAAAGCAAAACAAACAGCCTGCAAACTCTCGGCGCCCCCCCGCCCCCCCTCTTCTCTTTCTGCGCACTCACATCTAGATATAGCCTCCAGTGGAAACGCCGGTTGATCCATAGCTTCTTCGCAAGCTCCCCATCCGCAAGCAGCGCCTCCCTCAGCAGCTCGGCCAGAAACACCGTCCCCGCGTCGTCGTCCCTCAGCCCGGGGATCTCCACCGTCATCTCCAGCCACTCCCCCCTCGCCTCGCGCCGGTCCTCGTCCGCATCGCCCCCGCCGACGCCGCTCGCGCTCTTGACGTACTCGCGGTACCGCTCCCCGTCGTCGCCCAGCGGATCCGCCGTCTTCTCAATCTCCGCCTTGACGCCCACGATGGCCTCGGTGCCGTCCGCCAGGCACACCCGCGCGCTGCCGTTGGTCCCGGGCAGGATCCCCGTCTCGGCCGTCAGCGGGCGGAACTGCTTGGACGTCCTGCCGTCGGGGCGGATCGGGGGGCTGAGGGAGAGGGAGCTGTGGAGGTACGCAAGCTCTGCGGGCGACAAGAGTGTTTGCTGGGCCATTGTCACCGCGCTTCCATGTGTGGGTGTATAGTTGAGAATTGGGGTATCAGGGGGGGCGTGATTGTCTAGGTGCGGTGCGGAATGGCAGCTTGTCGTAAGCGATTTCAATGTTGATGCAAGGTTTTTGGACTGGACAAAAAGTTGCATCTATCAGCTCACCTAGGTGGATGATAAGATAAGATAGATAAGCTACGATGCGGGGGTGGGGCAGCTCTATCAAAAGTCGACCTCTTCCATACAGCGCCATGGCACATGGGCAGCTACTACAATAGATGATGGCAGCAACTAAGACGATGTTCTTCTAAGGCTTGAGAAGAGACATATAAGCCAATGATCCAAGTTAATGAAAACTTGTTAAGATACTACCTCTTTGATTGTATCGAATGGGTGCCCGTGCAAGTGAGTAAGGTAGGTATCCAAAAAAAATCGGCCTATACTTGAGATCCAGCTCACGACATCATCCAACACACAAATTACAACATCCAGGCTAAGGGAGAGAAGCTGCTGTGAACCCATTCTCTCATGCGCTGTAGTCCTAATCTATCTTCGTTTGCTATACCCGCTTGACATGCAATATCCTAATGATGCTCCTAGCACCATGGAGAGAAAAACATGCTAGTACTCCTGAAACTTACAAACCACAAAATCTCATGAGAGGATAGCCAATTAGCCTTGTCGCACTAGATCCAAGCAAATGTCGTCCATGAGGTCCGCCCCCAGCGCTGCAACCAGTTGTGCCACGCTGTGTCGGATGCTCGACGTCGATCTGATACTGCTGCGATTCCAGCCAGCCAAATCCGATGTCTCGAAGAGCGGCCCCGTAGGGAAGATCTTGAGCGGTATGTGATCCAGGTTCAGTTTCTCCATGGCGCTGAGAGAAGGAATCCCCGGCATTTTGGCTTTAAACAGGGAGCCATAGACTTCCTCGTCGTCTGTATCCGTGTCGGTGTTCCCTGGGCTCGCATCTGAAGCCGCCGGCATCTCCGCATCGTGGCTAGCAGATGCGGTTGCAGAGTCTGCGGACCGCGAGTCAGACGTGTTGGGGAGGGCTTCCTCCAAGCCTTTGGCAAAGCTCACGTAGGTGTCCTTGCCAAGGATGTCCAGTATAGCCTTGTCGAGGCGTCTCCAGTGCAGAGTGTCCGGGTCGAGGATATACTGCGGGCTGTATTCAATCTTGTACTTCATTTTAGGGCAGCTGTGGATGTAGTAACCGGGATACCACCATTTGTAGTTCTCCTCAATCGCAAGAGATATCTCGTAGAGAACGCTCAGTTTGCCAGGGGCAAATGGATGAATGCTTTCGTGGTACAGAAAGTACACGGAACTGACGCAGTGCGGTAGCAGGTCAAGCACCCCAACAGCCACCAGAACACCGTCTAGGCGATAGCATTGGTGGTAGGAACCTAGGCGACGCTTTCGCCCGTCAGGTCCGACCATCAACCGACGCCGCAGGGGTGAATTGCACAGAAAGCGCTCAAACGACTGCTTTGTGATTTCGTGAGGCTCATCCCCATGGACAACTCTCTGGTAGTTTTCGTAGACGAGAAACTTCTCTTCTGTGAAGATGTCATCTTCAAGGGTTACAACCCATTTGTGAGCTGGCTCCGGCGGCGTCTTCACTCGGCTCAGCTCAGCCTCGTGTATACGCTCCGTGAGGCAGAATTCGTTGTCACGCTTCTTGGTCTCTTCGCGTGACCTTGGGTATAAGCGTGCAGCCTGCTTCATGTATGACTCGCCAAGTACGTGTTTGTTGAAGCGATTGATTGTGTGACGCTGGCTTCTGGTAGGGTAGAACTCTTCGGAGTCCAGCCGGATGGTATAGTGAGGACAGCAAGATGCTCTCTGGTTTGGGCGATACAAAAGTCTCCCGGATCGCCTCCAGCCACGGTCCAGCATCCTGAGATAAAACTCCGGACTAAGAGACGAAGTATTCGCATAATACGAAAAGCCTAAGCGCCCAAAAGAGAAAGAGGTGATTAGCCTGACCCAGCCTACATAGGTATACTCTCCGAGGCTGCACAGCGCTTCGAGAAGCCAGAAGCAGACAGGGCTTTGGCTCTTGTGGTACGAAGTCCTGGATACAGCTAATTCACCAATGGGAATGGAACTCACTCTGCCCTCGAGTGCCGCAGTAACCGCATTTCGAAGAATTTGAATAGCCTATGCATTCTGTTAGTATAAACGGAGCCTCAGGGATTGTTCAGTGAGAAAGGGTTGAGAGTCTCATGCCCACAAGGCAGCGCCCGATTTCTCTACAAACAACATCATGATGGTCGTGTATAGCGGTGTGTACGCATTCATGACGTCGCACCAGTAAAGAGGACGTATGAGAAGTAGCGTTGCAACAAAATGCTATCAAAGAGGTTGCAACGTGGGGGACTGATGATAGACGGGATGGGGGGCACGATGATGGGAAACGGAGTTTAGAGGCTCGAATCACAGCCACTAGGCCACCCTCATGTCGCTGCAACAGCGCGACTTCCACGCTCTGTGTACATGAGAATGCTGAGCGACTCCGAGACAGCCGCCATGGTGCTCATGTTCATGTTCATGCCAAGCTGCATGCATATGAAAAGGGGTAAAAGAAGTGAAGTCCGAAAGCAGCTGAACAGGGAGTTTGCAAAAAGGCAAGACACTTTGCCGAAAAGGACTGAAATGCTCCGAGCCAACGACATGCACTGAAAGCAGCACGTGTTGATAGAGGAGGGCAGACGAGGAAGAAAAACGCCGTTTATTGACTCACCGATTGGGGATATAAGCTCGCTGCTCACAGAGGAAGCGTCAGGGGTCTGCCCACCATCTTGGTCCATGGCTGGCCTGGCTCCTCGAGCTTTCCGTAACAGGCAAGTTGGTGCGTGAGTCGTCAAGAGGGAGCGAGAGCGAGAATTGGATAGCGTAAGAACCGTAGCTCAAGAGGCGAGGACTTGCGTGGACAAACGTGGACGGTACTCGTATATGGCGTAGAATAAGAGTAGATGCCAAACGCCGTCAAGGGACCAAGCAATAAGGTAATGAGCAAGAAGAGGGATACAAGCAAGGGACTCTCAGTTGCCGTCTTTTTGATAATCCGGTAAACCTAGCGATTTAACGGGTGGGGTGGGATGAGGGTGACCCAACTGCAGTCATGGCCGCTTCTGCCTGGCCGTCTGTCTGGATGTCTGGTTGTCGATGCTGATGGTTTCAAGGCGTCCTGTTATAGGTACCTAGTGTTGAGCTGCCCCTGGAAGAGACAGCAGGGCCACGGGCGAGAACGCAGTTGCTTGGCTGGGTGAATCAGGGCAGGGCCGCTATCACTGCTGCCAGCGGATGGGCTTTGCGATGGATGGAAAGAAGAGAGCGACGATGCAAGCATCGCCAGCGCGCCTGGGCGGAGTAGGAAGAGGTTCACTGCTAGAGGAACAAGGTTGATGAGGTCAACCTCTCTAGTCGCCGTGGCGGGGCAAGTGAGGGGTTCTGAGTTCTGGGCTTTAGGTGCAATGTGCTCGATTTTTTAGTGAGTTTAGTGGACTTCCAGGGCGCGGGATTGCGTTGACAGCGCCAAAGACGCCAGCTCCAGCGGTCCGCCCAGACGCTAGCTGCTAAGAGGAAGCGCAACATCGATATCACGACATACCTACCAAGTACCTTAGGTGATACGGAAAGGACGAGACTTGGGCTCTGAATGCTACAGGTAACATGTGGATGGATGGAGACAGTGACAGCTCATGAATTTGGCTAGCTGGTAAGCAGTAGTTATCATGCACGGTAGGCAGAGTATTAGTCCATCTTGCAGCTACGGTTCCGACTGTCACAAGAAGGGAGTCAAGTGGAATCAGTTGAACTGCCCGCTTATAGGCGGGAGGCGTGTGAGCGTTAAGAACACAATACTAGCAGCGAGCTTAACCTCGAAAGCGTGGCAAAGCGCTGGCATTTCGTTGGACTTGTTCGGATATGCATTTCTCTGCAAGGGGGAAAGAACACGAGACGACGGCTGATCTTCACCGGATGTTGCAGCAGAAGCCTCATGCGACCATCTTTCGATGCCGGCTAACCAGGATGCATCTGCGCTGCCAGCGTCAGCATGATTCATGTATTTGGATGATGGGACAAGGCAGATGAGACATGTCTACATGTACGGACCTGGACGTCATGTTGACTTTTGCTGCGACGATGATACTATGTCAGTACTGTATGTACTGGAGTTTCGTATATGCATTGGTACGGGAGTTGCTCGACATTGACCAACAAATTGAGTTGATATTGATCGCTCAAGGGTGCTCGTATGGAGCATTTGGCCCGGCGCTATTGGACGAGGGCATCGGATGCACGTCGCCTGCATGGAAAGTGCCAGGGGGATCCAACTTTGGTGGTGCTGGTACATGTATGTACTGTATCTCAATCTTACTTTGAGAACCCAACATCCAAAGCCTGCTGCCGCCTTTCCAACCGGTTTGCTTCCCTCCCGCTTGTTGCTTGTACTATTCCAAGTCTCCTATTTGACTCGAAGCTGTGGCATCATGAGAAGGGATCCCTCGGGAGCACCCGAGAGACTTCGAACCTATTCTGGTCTTCAGCCCGTACAACGTCTCTTCCATGCCTAACCCTGCAAGAAGACCGTTGAAATGCTCGCCATCACTGATAGAGGTACCTTGTACCTCAGATGGCACACTTACCTATTCACTGTATGGCTGAGCAGACCTGAGCATCTGCTGTACACATGCCCTGCTACCTTGGTTCTCCCCTAGCACGTCGCCTTACCTCGCCTCTCATCATGACCGCCAACCTCATCATCATCATCACAGCTCCTCGTCCCTCGTCTCCAACACCCAGAGCCCTCACCACGTCCCGGCGCCACCGGCCCTGACGCACGACATGACTGGGCTGGCAGGCCTTGTCGAGCTCCATCCCGCTCACGACACTAGTAAGAGAGAATGGCAACTTAGTTTTGACTATGTAGCTAACGCGGATCCTTCCTCGGCCAGACCCCATCGAATATTGCCATGGCACGAGACATGCAGATGATAGCCTACATCTGAGAGACCGTGGTTTCAGGCCGTTGTCCCCCATTTGCCCACTGCCTGCCTGCCTGCGGCCTTCTCTTGTCCTTTTCCTGGTTGGTAGGATGGTTGTTTGTCACTGTCTTCAAATAGCTACACGTACAAGTGCTTTGATGCATTGACGGGAGTTGGTCTTCACTTGACGGCCTCGCGTTTCTACGAATGTTCTCCTTCTTGCTCCCTTCCCGCGTCCTCCGGCACCGCCTTGTCTATGTAGCTATTATAAAGCAACAGGCCGCAACCCCGAGCCGCCTCGCCATCCCGCGCATCTGGACGCACGTGTGCCTCCTCCCGTCGCCTGAGCCTAGTTCCATGCGGCCGTGTCCGGCTTGCTACCCCTGATATTGCCGCAGATTGCGCTGTCGGATATTATTTTGACTTGAGCTCTGCCAGGACCGCTGCAGCCTCTGTAGTACCGAGAAGTGCCTACTTGCTCATGTTGAGTTGCATCCAACAGCGCCAGCTTCCGGTTGCCCTTGGCCGCCCCCAATCTTCTTGCCTCTGCTAGTACTGCCTCCTTACCTACCTCAAGGTCTTCTACCAGGTACCTTTGCAAATTAGAGGTGGTACTTGTGCGCTTCACCTACACTGTAGCGGCATCACAAGTCCATCTTTGCTCCCCTTTACAGTACCTCTAGAACATATCACCGCCCAGTATCAACCAACCAACAGCCCCCCCGGACGAGAGTGCGCGACAGACTTTGGCCCCATCTCCGCGTTCTGAGCCAACATTGAGCCTGGCAAGCCCTTGGTCCCACTCCTGTTCCCTATTCTGCCCTCCAGCATCCAGCTCCAGCAGGGGAGAAGACCAGCGCCAGCACCCGGGACCTCCAGCTTCGAATCACACTGCGCAAAACGCCGCGCTTACAAAGTACTAGTTCCGCCGTGGGACGACTTACTAAACCCCCTTCTCCAGCGTGCTGCCCTGCCATCAGTTTCGCTCCTTTTCTGCAAGCCCTTTCAGGTTCAAGTTGCCACTGGCTGTGTCGTTTCGTACCTGCAGTTCGCACCATTGAAGGGCCAGAGTACATAAGGTACCTCGTTCAGTAGCTGGTACAAGCATCAACTGCCCTCCCCCGCAAACTTCCAAGGCACAGCGCACCTGCCCAGCTCGCGGGTCCCCCGACGCGGCGCCGAACATCCTGCTAAAGTTCAAGGCCATCAAGTACAAGTACACCAACGTACAAGCACGGAATACTTTTTTCTCTTCCGGCCGTGTCTAGAACGCCATCTCGCCCGCAGAAAAAAAAAATAGCAGACTCGACCTGGTCACCACCTGGGCCTGCATTCGCTTGCACCCCTGTCCTGTCTCTGCCCATTATCTCGACCGGCAAGACTGAAGAATCGACGTTGAGGCCCGTTTTCCTGCTCTCCCATCTCAAAATCGACGACGATGCAGCATCTGCTACTGTGACGCTTTCCCTGCCTCTCCGCCTGACGACCACCTCTCGACCGCCGGCAGAATCCCCCGTTTCCGGCAGCGTTTTTTCTTCCTCTCTCTTCCTCGGCCGCCTCTACTCCGTACCTCCAGACGAGTGGCCAATCACCTCCGGGTCATCGTCAACCTCTGCACACCCATTTACGTACACTCAAAAAATCGCAAACCCACGAGCACGCTGGCGACGACGGCTGCAGCAATGTCGGGCTCGGCCTCCAGCGGCGAGGGATCTAACAATCGGTCAATGCAGTCGCGGACCGGGCGGAGCAAACAACGTAAGTCGTCTCTCGAGTGAAGAGTGCAGCTTGTCGCATCCCAGATGCTCTCCCCATCCCCATATCCGAAATCGTGTTCCTCTGCTTCGTCTTGTTTAACCTCCCACATTTCCTTCCTTGTCTCCCATTGTTCTGTGCGCCGGCCTGCCGCTGTTGCCTTCTCAGCCGCTTCTTTGCTTGTCTGCTTTTGCTTCGCTTCGCCGACGCCAAAAGCCCGGGATCCCACTGACCCATCTCCCTCTTGCAGGGTACAATGCGCAAGGAGAACGACTTGTCGCCGGCGTCGTGCCGCTCAGCGCAGATCGCAATCGTGTCATTCTGATCCAGTCCACCCGGCGCAAGGGCTGGGTCCTGCCCAAAGGGGGATGGGAGTCGGATGAATCATGCCAGGAGTCTGCCGTGCGGGAAGCCTGGGAAGAGGCCGGCATCACGGTCAACATCGAGTACGATCTGGGCAACTTCGAGGAGAAGCGGCCGCCCAAGACGTCCAAGGACCGGTCTCGCTACTACTTTTATCAGGGCACCGTGGTGGACCAGCTGGACGACTGGCCTGAAAAGGACAAACGAGAGCGCGGATGGTTCACGTATACACAGGCAATCGAGGTCCTCGTCAACAGGCCCGAGCTCCAGGAAGCTTTGAACCGCTCCTCGATGAACAGGACATGAGCAGCCGTCCTGCCGAGGCCATGTGCTTTCAAGAAGACTCCTTACAACGAACCACTCCACCCTCGCAGGTTTTCCTTGTACATTACACATTCTCCCCTTCTCCTACGACCTCCGAGGGGATTGGCCAAGAAATGGCAGGTTCCTTGAGGACATGGAAGCGTCTTCATCGCAGCGGACAACCTGCGCTGCAGCCTTGAACCAGAGCAGATGGCCGAAGGGCCACGAGCACAAAGAAAGACGATGACAGTTGCTTGCATTTCTGGCTGCAGGGTCTCGGCGGCTCGTCTTAGCCACAGACGCCTAGTCTACTACTACAGACTTTTCCAACTCACAAGATAAAAAACAAAACCCCAGCTAACCATCCAGGGGTGCGATGAATTTTTGATTTCGGCTCAGGCGTTGCGGCAGGGTTTTTAACATAGAAGCTACCATGCAGAAAGAAAAATACTAAGACGGGGGCGGGGCCCATTGGGGTGTATTACAAGGCATCGACCAGATAATGCGCTTGACATAGGATACACAAAATTAATTCTTTGCAACGAAGACGGTGCCAGAGGTTGACGGAGCGGTGGCTGGTCGCGCATCCGCTTGTCGTGTCCTGTCGTGTCCTGTCGTGTCTGGGCTGCGAGATGATATTTTATAGAGCAGCCCAGACCTAAAGAGAGGGAATTGAGGCCATAGGTAGACATGACGAGGGAGCTGTCGTGTGCGCTGGAGCCAAGTAGGTAGTAGTAGTACCTGCTTTAGCTCTAGGAGGTACTAGGTAGGCTCCGGACACCCCTCATTCTTGACATGTACGAGCATGTACAGGTAGTAGCTGTACAGTATGGACCACCTCCAGCTGGAGGTGAGATGGGATGCATGGCCGATGACTCAACAGTCATTGTCACCATTGATTGTCACGCCAAGATCAGCGTGGCCCTTATTGGAGATCGCGTGCTGCTGGGCGGAATCTTGATTGTCTCTTGACTTTAACCGGGCATGGGGGTCGTTGCCAATGCAAGCAGATATATGCATGCAATTACAACTACCAATCAACTTAGTACCTAGGTAGGTAGTGGTAGCATATTTGCCCATTCGGAGTTGATGTAAACCGATAGACCGACGAGAACCTTTGGTGCAAGGTGCGCCGAGGCCTTATACCCCAGGACGAATGCGGATCATTGAATAAAACCAGTCGGTGGTGCCTTTGGTCATCACATCATTGTATGACAGCTATCGTAGGCTGCATCACGGCATGTTGGTACTACTACAAAGTCCCTTGACTGACTCTGTCTGATATCATCAAGCATGAGGCGTCCACGAGCCACCCCCAAGCAACCTCTCAACGCCAAGCATCAAAGGCTTCGTCTCCTTCCCTGTGAATCCAATTGAGCCACAGTATTCTATCTAATACTCACCTTGAAAGGTCAAGAATTGACCAGCTGCATCATTTTGCTAATAGGATTTCCCTCTCACTTATTCGCATGCCTTTCCCTCTACAAACCCTGAAACTTGTAGGTCGGTACTAATTCCGTCCTCTGACGTACGCGTACATGGTCTTAGACCCCCCACGAAGCCATTTGGGTGCAAGTCAAACCGCTGACACGTGATGTTCATCTATCGATAAGAGCACAAGGCGGGTATCCTTGGCTGGCGATAGCGAACCAACCTCGACCTGGGGTGACTGCCATAGCCTTACGTTGTGTTTGCTGCTCTTTACCTACCGACTTGCTGCCTCTACGAACCCACCTTTGCAAACGGCCATGTTGTTATAGATACGCATTGCAAACGGACCATTATAGCAGATCCATGGACGTCTGAACCGGACCAGCGACACGACACACACACAGAAGATAAAGACAACATTTATTCGCTCCCTCGTCAACCCGATACCCTACCCGACGCAAACACGCACACAGAGAGGAGCGATTCCCCCCCCTCCACCCTCCCCTCGTCGCCCACGCCCCATGCTATCATGATGGAAAACCTCGCCATTTCAGACGCCCCTCCTCACCCGCCTCCTCCCGGGGGCCCGGCTGCGCAGCCTTTTGCGCAGCTGCCGCCGCAGATGTTCACGACGGCGGCGCAGCTGCTGGATCTTACTGATAGTATGACTTCTCTTTTGGGCTGACATGAGTTGGCTGGGAACATTTGTGCACCTATGGAGGAAAATAAGAGACGGGCAAGAAGAGAAATGCTGTGCTAACAGGGGTTCACGTAGAGAAACTCATGGTGGTTTTGCGTGATGGGCGGAAGTTGATTGGAGTATTAAGAAGTTGGGACCAGTTCGGTGTGTAGTTCCTCATCCCCTGCGAGCTATCAAGCCATCCGCAAATTTTTGGGAAACAAGAAAAAAGGGGGGGGGAATCCCTTTGGTCATCTAACCTGTTTTTTTTCTTTTCGGACAGCCAACATCGTCCTGCAATCGACAACGGAGCGGATATTCGCCCCTCGTCCCGACAACCCCCGATCAGAGTACCCGTACGGCTACTTCGCCGACATACCGCACGGCATCTTCCTCGTGCGAGGCGAGAACGTACTGCTCCTGGGCGAGATTGACCTGGACAAGGACGACGACGCGCCTCCCGGGTATCAGCTGGCGGAGGTGGATGTGGTGAAGAAGCTCGCGGAGGCGAAGAAGGCGGCGGATAAGGCCAAGGAGAAGGCGCGCTTGAAGAAGCTGGTGAGGATCGGCTTTGAGGGGGAGAATCTGGGAGACATTTTCTTCTGAGCGAGAGGAAACGGGGTTTTTTTTCTTCGCTTGGAATTGGGTGTCCAATGGAGGAGAGGATATCGTATGGGAAGAAGGAGAGGTGAGGTTGGAAAGGAGGGGGGGAAAAAGCCGACAGCAGGGAATTCTTGCTCTTTGCTCTTGCAGATGGCCTTACATCTGTGAATTTCTTTGTTATTTCGTTATTTGATGCGCTGCGGCAGAAGGGCGGTCCGGTGGCAGAATATTGTGAAATGCCCCGGACCGAGGGAGTGAGGCTGGTGCAGTTGAGCTCATGTGCAAGAGAAGAACTACTATGTGGTACCTACCTAGACACCTGTATGTCCTAAAGGGCTAGATACATCTATTCTATGTAACCGCTGCTTTCAAGATGATGGTATGGAACAGCTTCGGTGGAACTTGTCCATCATCATTATGTAACTTCATTACCACAGCGTTTCTAACCCGTGAAATACTCACATTCGAAGCTGTGTAGAGAGTTCTTTGCTAGTAAATACATAATCATACAGATACCCTCTGAACGGGTAAAATATCGTTACAACGCATCCGCTTTTTTCTTTGACCGTAAGGACAACCAACTATACCCGACTCAGGTGGAGAGAGACCGGCAGACAAACGCAACCATCAACGCCAGAAGAACCAGACCATTTCCTTTTTTCTCCTTTTCTTTCAGTTTCCGCAAAAGCACGCCCACTTCCCCCCCAATTTCTCATATCTTCTCAGCAATCCCAACGGCGCTTGCTCTCAAACATGGGTATTGGTGTGTCGCCCGAGTTCCTCATCCCGCCGCCCAGCAGCCAATCCGTCAAGCCGACAAACTTGGCGCCCATGCCCTTCTCCCAGTCGCCCCCTTCCTGGGCCTGCTCAATGGTGTGCGTCAGTATCCTCCCTTCGGCATCAAAGTCGAAGATGAAGAGCCCCGTGAAGGCCTTGTGCGGATCGACGCCCCGCCGCAGCGAGGGCAGCGAGATGCCGGACCCGGAGCCGGACTCTTGGTCCTTGTGCTTGCGCTTCTCGCACCAGCGCACGACGAGCTGCTCCGGGATGGCGCCGGGCCGGCGGGGCAGGAAGGTGAGGGGCTCCGAGGTGACGCGCTCGGCGAGGATCTCGAGCTGGACGTTGCCGATGATGGGCACGCGGTTCCAGGCGATGGGGGAGGTCCAGAGGGCGGCGGTGTAGGCGACGCGGCCGGAGACGGCGGGGAGGTGCGGGTGCGTCGACGGGAAGAGGCGGAGGGAGATGTTGGGGGCGAGGATGTCCTGCGGGAGGGGGGACTGGAGGAGCGTCGGGAGGTGTTCTTGGAGGATCCGGAGAGCTGGCGGAAAAAACAAGGTGTGTAAGTAAAGAAGCTTTTGACTTGTCTGACTTCCTGCGGCCACACTTCTCCGTCTCTTGGCACCTGCTTTTCGCCATCGATGTAGAGACGATGGAACCTCGCAGGGGTTATAGACCCAAGATTGATTTTACTTACTTCTTCCCAGTTTTGTCTTGTTGGGATCCGGCGGCTGGTCTCCTCGGCCTCGCACAGCGCCAGTACTCTCAAAGTAGGTCCTCGGCAGGCTACTTCGAGTCTCGGACTTCACCCTCCGCAGCAGCAGAGCATCAGGCAGCGGCTGCTGTTCAGGGACCGCCTCTGCGGGTGGCCGCGCAACGGCCTGTGCCGGGGCATTCGCTGGGCCGAAGCTGGTGATGCGGCGGACTGAAGCGCCGGGCAAGGACCGGGGCAGCGGGCCGGTCAGAGTGTTGCGCAGGGGCGCGGCCATTGGATGCGGTTGGCGCTCCTGGGGAGGAGCCGCATGAGATTCGGAGATGGGACGAGGGTTTTGCTTGCTGCTTGTTGTTGTTTATTGCTCGTGTCAAGAGGTGCAATGGATGGATGGGTGATGCTGCGACGGCATTGGACCGAGGGGAGCCGGGGAGATGGTCCAATCTTTGTTTTTTTTATTTTTTTGACTACCTAGTAGGTACGCCTTCTTGGGGCTTCGGTAGTGCGGTCCAGTTGCAAGGCGAGGCTACTCGTACAGCGGTTCGAGTGGGCTGCTTTAGGGAGCATCGCTGCGGGGCCGTTCCGCTATTCCGGGTCACGGAAGGGACGCTGGAGTGGAAAGGTCTTGGGCTCTCCAGAGGCTGTCAGGTAAGGTAAGGTAGCCAGAGCAAGCACAAGCACAAGCACACGGAAACGGAGGAACTCGGGATGTCACGCATGATGTCACAGTGAGAAGGCAAGCCTCGACGGGCCATGAGATCATGGTGGTTTGCGACGGGATTCCCATGTCTTCCACGCCGATCCATTGTGCGCGAAGTGGTGCTGCCGATTGGGGAAAAGCGACGAGACGAAATGGCGAATTGGCGGGCATGGCTGCATCTCAGGTGATCACGGTCTTGCGAGTGCGAATCATATCTCTGAATCACATGCTGCCGCCTGGTCCAACGTGCGCTGCTCTTGTGTGCGGCAAGTTGTGGCCAAGTGCAGGCTGCAAACCCGGCGAGGTCACTTGCAGTAAGAGCATGAACATGTCGGCAAATCTCGAATTTCTGTCTGAAAGTAAGGGGGAAGATAAGACGAAGCAGTCAGTGAAGCTGCATGTGAAATGGGAAAATGGCATCTTGTGACAGCGAATGGAGGCGCTCTCCCATAAAAAAGGGTCGAGTTCCATTATTACGGGGTTGCGGTCGCAGGCAGATAAGATAAGGTACCGCACTGGGACTCCCGAGGCCGCACCAGTTGCACAGCCTTTTGGTGATAGGTAGTGGTACAGAGGCAGCAGACGGAAGTCCATCCAGGTTCTTGATGCCTCGTTCAACGGCAGTGATTCAGTGTTCTTCATGACGGAAATCAGGGATCAAAAGCGATATAAACGCTTTGCTCTCTCCGGGGTTCTTGGCAGTACCCCCAGCATCCGTCCCCTGTGTTCAGTGCTCTAGCGCAACTGGCTCGCCAATCCACGGCGAGAGGTACTGCCTCGTACCTAATAATAGCGTCAAGGTACCTGCCACTTGCCAATTCCTTACCAACGGAACTGAAACCCCCCAGCCCGAGGCTGACTGGCCGCTGCACGTGACCCGCGCTCCCACCGCCCATCCCATCCTCCCAGCCCAGCCCAAAGTCCAGCCAACGAGCTTGTCCTTCCCTGACGTACTCGAGACCTTGGCCAGCCGACGCTCCTTTGACCTCGACCAACCATCCGCCTCGATCGCCACTCGACCATCTTGCATCTCTCCAGAGCCTCAGAGCCTGCTTTCGTCTCCTGTCCCAACAGCAAACGCAACACCAACCGCCCATCATGAACCCTGAGTGGTACGCGCCCATTCCCCCGTCCTCCGTCGCTTGATTGCGATACTCTCCTGAAATGCTGTCTGTCGTAATCTGGTGCTAACGGATTCTGCAGAGTACCAGTGCCAAACGGGCAATTTCCGTCGGTCCGCTGCGTCGAGTCCATCGCTGCGTGCAGTGCGGTGCACTTCTGCTCGGTAGCAGTCCGGCGATGGGCTGGAACGATGCCTATGACGACGGCGCCTGTTCCAGACAACGGGAAGGGGATGGGAGATGAATCTTCGCTGACACGCCGCTTCCACCAACTCCAGATACGACTACCTCTTCAAGCTCCTCCTCATCGGTGACTCCGGTGTTGGAAAGTCTTGTCTGCTGCTGCGATTCGCCGATGACACCTACACCGAGTCCTACATCTCCACCATCGGTGTTGACTTTGTACGTCAAGCCTCGTCTTCTGTCGAGATCATCAACTTGCTAATATCTTTGGCAGAAAATTCGAACGATAGAGCTCGACGGCAAGACTGTGAAGCTGCAGATTGTAAGTTCTGCGTGTATCCTAGTACACTGATCTGATGCAGTCGGCTGAGACTTCTCAATCATTTAGTGGGACACCGCCGGCCAGGAGCGTTTCCGAACCATCACCTCTTCCTACTACCGCGGTGCGCACGGCATCTGCGTCGTCTACGACGTCACTGATATGGACTCCTTCAACAACGTCAAGCAGTGGCTTCAGGAGATCGACCGGTATGCCACCGAGGGCGTCAACAAGTTGCTCGTAGGCAACAAGAGCGATATGTCCGACAAGAAGGTGGTTGAGTACACCGTTGCCAAGGTGAGTTAGCGCTCAGCTGCAGCCTGGTGTCACTCACCAGTCACCTGCGTCAAATGCTGCCTGGCATCTCCAGGCTGCCGTCTCTAGGCCTCTCGGCTCTCCGTCATTCTGAAGCTAACGGCCGAATCCAGGAATTCGCTGACAGCCTGGGCATCCCCTTCCTCGAGACCTCCGCCAAGAACGCCAGCAACGTCGAGCAGGCTTTCTTGACCATGGCTCGCCAGATCAAGGAGCGCATGGGCACCACGACGGCCAACAACACGAAACCCAGCGTGCACGTCGGCCAGGGCCAGGGCGTCGGCAACTCTTCCAGCAGCAGCTGCTGCTAAATGTTTCGTGTGTTTCTGCTTTGTCGTGGCCCGAGAATGGTGACAGGATGATTAGAGCAGTATGACTTCCCATGGGGAAACGACTGGACCATGTTTGTTATGACATTTCCCTCCATGATTCTAGGGTTTTCTCAGTTTGCCCCCAATTTCTGCGCATTAGAGTACATCATGTCTCATTGGATCTCGCCCCCTTCGGACGCACGCACGCACGCACGCACAACGTGGCAATCTCGCTTGCTTTCTAGGACAGACACATTGGGGTCGGGCGGGAAAGGGAGAAGGACGATGAAACGGGAGGAAGGACGTGATACTGATACACTCTGGGAACAAGGCGCAAATATCAAGAGAGACGAGGACCTTACGGTTGCGCTAGCTGTACTTTCACGTCTTCCCTTTTTGCCCATAATGACCTCCTCCCACAACGAGAGGTTTTCCATTTGGGAAATTAATGGACGCTGATGGAAATTGTGGCCCCTGCAGCAAGCTTGTTTTTTTCTATTATCTCGGTCTCTTTATTTCTTCCTTTATTTACATTGGTATTATCTGTTTGCTATTTCCATGACTTTTCACTCGTTCGTTCACTTGGTGGTGCTCCGTTGCGAAAGGCTTATCTGATTTTGTGTCTTTTGTAGCCTTGCTCTTAATCTTAAGGGACATGGCATAGGTACCTTGATCCTCTAGGCTGCCACCATGTGCAAAGTCCTGAGAATGAGGGCTGGTAAGTCATGTGTAACCTCGCTCGCTCGCTCGCCTGGCAAGACAAGGGGGTGGTTTGCCGAAGCGAGAGCGATAGGGGGGAATGACCTTTTTCCTGAATAAGGGGCTCTGTCATAGTACCAAGAGTATCTGACAGCATCAAAGGGGGGAAATGGTGAGATCAAAATGTGCGCAGTGCTTGAGATGACACTGGCTCTTCGTTAATGAAAAAAATCGTAATTGATTAATGTGTAGGTATCTGAACGGTCTGGCGAAAACTCAACAAACAACTGAAAAGCCATTTCGCAGCATGTCGCCCCCAATATCCTCTATAACTTTGCAGTACACTTGTCTAGGTATATTCGTGTTTGTATGTTGCACCCTGATACAAGCCAGATCACTCCATAATTCCATCTAGAACAAACGCTAACATTCGAACGCAAGAGGTCATGAAAGACCACTTCAATCAGAGACGGGAAATGGGAAAGATGATCAGGGCAGGCGTAGGTAGAAAACAGTGGCATGTAAATGGGTTCATAATTCGTAATTGCCAGAGAAGCAGCCCAGCCACAGGCCAGGCGCGACTCATGGCAAATCAAGACGTTGCGTGATGAAGACAAACAATGATGACGGAAAAGAGAAAGAAAGAGAAGGGAAAGGTGGCAAAGATAGCACGCGCAACGCTCGGCATGGGCACCGCTATTCCAAGCCTAGAAACTTGAGAGCTTTCCGGGTGTTATTCTTCGGCTCGGCGGGTTTCAAGAACATGGGCATGAGCCTACGCTCCTCCAAATCCAACTCGGTGTCTTCGCAGCCACTATCAAAGGTGGCCATTGATAGCGGATCACCACGGAGTTGTCGTCGCGTGAACCCGCGGCCTTGCACCGTGTCTGACTGGGGAGTCAAGATATTGTCCGTGAATGACTGGCGCCGAGAGGATAGCGTCAGCGATTCGGGGCTGGAAGTGGCCCCAGCCGATGTAGGCGACGGCTCGATTTCAGTTGACATCGAGAACCGGGTAAACAGGACATCCAACGGAGCGGGCTTCGATTTCCTGCTGTTTCTGTTGGGCGAGGTTTTGATCTGAGGCGAAGACTCAGAGTCGCCGTCCTCGACCTGGATATTCCAGACGGTAGATACGAACTTTGCAATGTCTCTGTCAGTAGCTGTAGACGCAAGCAAGAAGTTCGCGTTCGAGACTGTGATATCCGAGCTCGATGGCTGTGGCGATAGGCTGAGCGTTTTGGCACCCGCTTTGGCCCCGATGGCAGGGCCTCCAATCTGTGTAAAAGGCAGACGATCTGGCTTGTTGGGGTCCACAATCTGGGCCACCTTGATGAAGTCCACGCCTGCCAACTTTTGCAGAGCCAATATGGTGTTTAAATGTTCAGGAGGGTACTCCAACATGAGGTACCGAATTTCTGGGTGGCGTGCCAAGTACGTTTCAAGATGGGGTATAAGCAACGTCGCAAGAAGGTACGGGTTGGTAAACGGGTTATCGGACGTCTGATTCGTCAGGGGAAGAGCCGTGAATGCTTGCATGGCATTGGCAAGTAGGTACCTGTTGGCCGGTTAGCCTCTCCGTTCACCAGCTATACCGTGCGCATATCGTGTAAGGAAAACCTACCGGAAATCTACCCGACCGCTGCGGCCCTGGCGGTCGCTCGCTTTCGTGCCGATTGACTCTAGTCGCTTGATGATTCCGGACGAATACACTCTATCCACATCTTGTTGAGACCCAATCGCCAAGATGTGATCGCCTCTTCGGCTCGTTTCCCTCTGTGAACCCTGAGACTCTGGTTCTCGAAAGACCGGCTTCCACATCCCACCGAACTCGGGAAGGACAGAAAATTGGAATTGACGGTAGCCCTCAGATTCTGGGGAGAAGTACTTGCTCAAGATCGATCGAAGCGAGTTCTGGATGGCGACGGCAGTCTGCCCAGATACGATGTCGAGATCGCAGAATCTGTTCTCTTTTGTGTTGCAGGGAGGCGGTGTTTGTGCTGGCGTCGGAGGCCGAACGACATTAACGGTGGGAACGATTCTCTTCGGCGGATGCACTGTTCGTGTGTTGGTGAAAGGATCCATATCATCATCATCTGCCGTATTCAATACAGACGTCTCGTGGGCTCTGTCGTGATATCTTTGGTCAAGTGCGGTTGGCTGGTGAAGAGTCGTTGCGCCGGGAATGCCCGAGGATTGCCAAGAGGGCAATGAGGAAGGCGACAGGATGGGATAGCTGCCAGCCTTGAACGACTTGATGACCGAAGACAGCAACGGGCTGGGTGTCTGATCTTTGAAATACACGACTAGGTCTTCCAGCCAAGGCAGTAATGGCTGGAAGTGTTCCTCAGCCCCCAGAAGGACTCCAGAGGTGTTGTGGCATTTCCTCATACTTCTATCCTGGGCGTTTTGGTCAACCTTGGTCGATGGTTGTCGGCCTTTGGATCGAATCGTTCGTCGTCGATCGATATAACTGATCCTCCGGATAAGCGAAGGCTCCTCTGAGCCTGGGATCATGAAAGACTGGGAGCGGGGGGCAGCATCTTGCTCTGCTTCCATCTCCGTGGAAGCTCCTGAAATGCAGAGGTCTCTCAACTTGGCACTGAGCGGGTAGATTCTATCCAAAGACCTGACTCTGTGCGGCGCCCCCTTAGAGCTCGAAACTGACGCGCGTACGTCGGATGTTGTAGAATCTCCGCTGCCCCTTCGGCCATGGGTGCGGGCATTGAGCAATTCGGATCCGGGAGAGAGCATGTCAACGTCGCGGTGCACTCCAAGACTCGAGCCGAGAGGCGATTTGCCAATGATGCCACAGGGAGACGCCGGCCTGATATCCGCAGAGTCCAGCGCCAGTTCCTTTGACGGTCGGTTGTAGTCAACAGCGGCAAATGTTGGCGCCTCGGGGATCAGAGGGCCGCCGTCATCTGTAGCCTCTTCGTCCTCAACCTGCGCGCCAAAGAGAAAGAATGGAGCGGCGTCGCCAAATCCATCTGAGTAACCGTACAGTGGTAGGCTGAGACTTCGCGGTCGAGTAGTCGCGGCAAGGTCGAGCAAGTCATGTGGTTGTAAGTTGGCTGTCTGTCGGTCCAGGTCATCGGCGGCTCTCATGGCCCTCGTTATGGGATCATTGAACTCTTCGTTGAACGCTGCGGCATCTCCAGACATGGCGTGGCTGTGAATCTGGCTCTTAGCCTCAAGACCAGCCAGACCGTCCTTGGCCAGCTGGGTGTAAACAGCCTCCGCTTCGATCCTGTCTCCACTCGTCTCGTGCTTCATGATGGCTTTGATACAGAGGGCGTGGGCACTAGGCGTGCCCCCGTTAAGGAATGCCAGTCGCTTGTTCGACGTCGTAGCGCCATGTAGGAAGCAACGTGCAGCTTCATGACGGGCGGCAAGGGCATCGTGAACCTTTCTAACGTAGGTCCGCACCTCAAACTCCTTGTCCGAATCATCACTGGAAATGTAGCACTGAACCGCGGGAAGGATGAGTATCTGGGGTGAGGTTGGCAGCAGTCGGAGCTGAGTTGACACAACGTCAGGGGCGCCTTCGAAGGCAACAACGCTGCCATACTCGTCCATTCTGACGTCCGCCATGGCAAAGACTATGTTCTGATCGACGTCCAAATCAAGGCGGGACGCGGATAGATGAAGGAAGAGAGTGGCTCAGGGAACGGGAGCGGAGCCGCAGAAAGTCGGCATGAATTTCTCGGCTGTTGATTGCACGCAGGGCCCAGGGCCACGGCGGAGGTGCTGATGGAGAACAGGGACGAAGTGGAATGGCGGTGGGTGAACGGCCTGCTCCCGCCGTGTTTCAGTCTTCCTTTCCCTGGTTGTCCTTTAGATGTTCGGTGAAGGCATGACCACAACAACGCAGCTAAGGCTCCCAATTCGCCGAGACAGGTGAAGCTACGAGAGCCCGAGAGCTTGTCGGGAGCTAGAGCTGCGCTTTTCTATCGGCAGCGGCGAATCCTGGAAAATGACAAGTGACGGTAGGAGACGTCAGCAGGGGTAGCGAAGAAAGGGTTGACTTGCAGGGCCTGGATGACCAGCAGCAAGGAAGTGGGCAGGACTACCGAGTACGATGGGAGAAGCCTCCGGGGGGGCAGTGAAATCCTAAAAGGGCGATAGGAATGGTCTTGAAGAGAGGAGCAGAGAGGAGAAGACAGGAGAGGAGGTGAGAATCAAAGGAACAGATGGTGGACAAGAAGCGAGAGGGGGAGAACAGGCGAGCATCAGGAGGAGGAGGAGCGAGTTGATGTATGTCGACGTCAGGCTGGTCAACGATGGAGATGCATGAGGATCTGGAGGTACTTCGCAAGGTACCGTAAGGAAAGGTAAGGTACCTTAGGTACACTCTTCGCTTGGTGGCACAGAGCAGTTTGTCCCAGCGTCGAATCAGAGGCGAGAGAGCTTCGTCCAGAGCTTCTGGCGGCTGGCAACAGCTGCTGCCGCCGGGTACCTGGGCATGCTAGCACGAGTGCCCAATACCTGCAGATCGGTGCAGGCGGCGAGCGTCGCGGAAGTACCGAGAAAGATGCAGAAAAGGTACAGGTACGATTACGGAGCACGGAGCAGGTCGTCCTGCATTGCACTTGCCTCAGACCGCACTGGCCACTTGGTCTGCACCTGCCTCATATTGGTGGCCTGTAACACCCCGTACCTGCCTGAAGAACGAACAGAGAGACACAGCACAGCACAGAGGGCGAGAGGTAGGTACATGTCCATGTACAGCCTGAAGAGCAGGTACAAGATATGGGCGCACAGGACCAGGTACAGAGTACGAACGAGTGCGCCCAGCCTGTTGCCAGCGCCACTGCAGATGTCGTGCGTGTGCGAGCTGTGCTCATCGTGCAGGTCGTACAGAGAACCTGTCCGGCAAGCGCGTGCACTAAACGGCAAGTCTCTCGAGCACAAGCCGGGACTTGACCACCGACTCGGCTCTGCGCCCCACTAGAGCAGCAGGAGCAGCAGGGATCAGCTTGGCCCAAAATTGGAGCTTCATCCATCGCCATTCTGGTTGGCGCCAACATGAAGCTGTCTGGTGTGCTGTCGCCCGTATGACGATGGATGCACCACTTTGTACTAAGACGACCACCTTGCTGCTCCTGCTGCGACCATGACCAACCCCAAGCTGCTTCTGCTTCCTCCTCACACCTCTTATTGCCGTCAAGCACCACCTCAGCATCAACATCACCACGAAAGATATGTCCGAGTCTGGAACCACCCCGCCTTGCCTGGCAAGGTAGACAGACGCTCGTTGGCAGCGGGTGCGTTGGCGCACGGTTTGCTGGCCGAGCAAGGATACGGCTCATCAACTGCTCTGTCCGTGTGTTTCGTCTTCTTTCCCTTTCTTCTTCGATTCCTATTATGGAGTCGCTGTTGCGCGGGCCATGGTACAAGCAGTATCCGATCCACGGAGCATCAACCACTCCGTTCGTCCAGTACTTGGGGCAGATGCTAATACTACCTACTCCTCCGCATTCCTCGAGACGGAACAACAAGAAACAAAGACACGGCTCGGCCAACCTGAAAGAGAAAATGGAATTTCATCTGTCTGATGCCGCTAGGCCTCCGGTCTCCATCCTCCCATCTCAGTCCCTCGGCCGACGCGGCCATACTGCCATGTCCAATTCGCCAGTCTTCGTCTGTTCCTTCAGCGAGGTGGTTGCATCGCGAGAAAAGGAGACTTCGAAGTCGCTATTTTAGGGTTTCTGATCTGACAGTACATGTTGTGTGTACCCTTCCGGATCTTGGTGGGAACCAGGGGTTTGTTCTTTCGGGCTTGGGGTGGGCAGGACGCGAAAAGTGGCTGACAGGGGTATTCTGACATGGGGAAACGGCGATGCGAAATGGAATTGGACAGTTCATCATGCCCCCTGTGGCCAACGACCAGGTCCTTTGGACGCCAACAACGACAGAACGTCCCTACGGGAGCACAACCTGTCACCTCAGCAGCACTTATGTTTGGCTGATCCGAACATGCATCACTTCAGGTTGCAGAGTGCCCGTTGGTTCTCTCGCTAACAACTCCCAGTGCACATGTCATGGAACAAAGTCGTCTCCGACCATCTCACCCCATCGCCTCCAGAGGATTCAAGACTCAACGCACCATTCAGCCCACTCGCCCACACTCTCGTCAACCGGACGCCGGGGACCCCACACAGCCAAGAGTCGCTCAAGAGACATTCTTGCAGGCGACCATTGGACAGCGAGAGGTAGTACTCCGTAATACAGGCTAGTGGTACTCGTACTCACACCTGCAGAAACATTTAGCCAGCGGAGAAGTCTGGCGTTGTCTCGACCAACACAGGCACCAGGGACGATCATGTCTTAGACCCGATCGGCAAGAACAGCCTACTTGTACAATGGCGCTGCGGAACTTGACTGTCGCATGTTGAAGTGAGTCAGCATGAAGATACAGTCAATGTGCAATCCATGCGGGATAGGACTCCTGCGAGAGACTGGCAAACGTCCAGTCAATTACTTGGCATAAACGAAGAACGCGCCGTGACACACGATTGATATCATGTTGGGCATCGCCCTGTCCAGACGCTGGGATTGGGGGATCGAAAGGACAGCTGACCTCGGTCTAGCAATCGTGACGCACTGCTTCATCGCCGTCACAGCTCCACCCGTTTCGATTGGCTACACTCCAAGGATGCAGCCGCCAGCGTCCGTATTACCATACCCGCGCTTCGGGGAGGTGTTCTCGGGGAACATGACAGTTTCAAACCATCACCCGGAGCCAAAAAGGCACGGCACCAAGCACGAACTCGAGGTTCGACCGCTAAATTCCCGGTGGTGTCGGTCCTGGTGGTGGCAGCACCACGACCTCTGCAGTCAACTAGCTGTCTCCCGAAGACACCAGGCGACATCCTTGCACGCGGACGCAGTTGAAGCAGCGTGTGCGTTTGCTCCCCAATCATGATTCAACAAACAGACTATCAGCACTTGCCAAACGATGGTCAATGCCAGCAAGGGCGAGCTGCCGGCTTTCCCACCTAAAGTCTCCGGCATCTTGAGTCCTTCCTCTCGCCGTTGGGTGCGCATCGCTCACAACATGGTTGCGCTGAATGTCCAGATCCATGCATTCGGCGGCCTATTCTTGCGCATGTCATATCCTTGGCTTTCAAAGACCTGGGGAGAGACAAATCGCGAACTGTGGCACCAGGACGGTCCTTTGTACTACACTTGCAGTCAACAGCTCGTCATACATGCATCTTGACGCCCTTGGGTGGACCTTATCCGATTGAAAGGGTACTAGTAGTACATGTCGTGGCGAATGTCTGCTGAACTTCAGTTGTACTAGACGGCATCAAACGCCAATTCTCGTGCTCAGACGTGGACTGCTTCCATCCCATCTCCAGGAGGTCACGCCTCTAGACCAACTCCGCCAGCACTTTCCCTCAGGATGATCACGATCACACTTCCCAGTACTTGGGGAGTCCAACAGCGCCACCAAACCATGTAGTGTGGCTTGTTTCAACTTTCTCGTACCTCGTAAATGCTGAACGACGTAACCCAGGGCCTCGATGAAACATGTTGTCAACAGACCCGAGCCACCAGTACACCGTCATCAACTCACACAACTCCTGAACTTGGCGCTTCAGTTTCTAACGAACCGTTACGCCGCTTTGTGCAAACTATGAAGCTTAGCCAACAATAAGCAGGGGCAAGGCATCAAGTGACGCTCGAACGTTCATTTTGTTGGGCCCGGAGTCCCAGACGATTGTCTACTACCTACCTATTCAAGATAACATGACCACTGCTCAGAGCAGCTTTTGGCGTTTGTCTGTGGAAAGGGACATCTCAACAACATTTCCAGTGTGGTAAATAGCAATAGCGCGATACGTCATCTCTGGCTCGTCTCTACCATCAACACTTTCATGCTCGGGCTTTGTCCCTGCCACAGGGTCATTCCTGTACCGCCTTCGAGTTGAATGTCTCGCAAGGGATGAAGAGACCTTTCATGTAAGAGAATTGAGAACACATGCGACCTTCAGAAACGACGAGGGCTCAGCCACCTACAGAGGTACTTCATGTTGACTACATGACATTCAAGTCCCGGCAATCTTGCCGTCTACAAAAGACAACATCTATGAGGCAATATTATGTCAGTCAAGGCAGATTTTGCCAGCAGCACCGCAAGTCCCATAATGACCTTGGGACGCTTCGCTTGCAAGTGGCAACATTCAGTTTGAGGTCTGGATGCCACGTTATACAAGGTACGTCTGCTGGCATTTCCAGCTCATATTCACGTTGCAGGAGTTCGCAAGCGGTGCTCTTCGTTCATCGGTTTATTGGTCCAATATGTCAATTCCCATGACACTCAAAGTTTTTTCTGTACTGACTTACCTGCCAGGTAACAAAATCCGGCTGCGACATGCTTGTGCATCTCAAATCCGAAGCCCAGGACTTGTCTCGCGGGGACAGCTCAGAGGCCATCCGTTCGGGGACGGTCCGCCGCGATACAGACACGATCTTGGTGGTTGTGAGCGAGCCAAGGGGGGTCTGTGCTTCAAACACCAATTCAAGGTCGTTTCTGGGAGATTTGCATCAAGAGGCCCTGGTCAAGCCTCGTTGTACCCAACAGACATTTGGCTTTGAGCCCAAATTTCAGCTCTCGCTTAAGCAACTCTCTGTCAACGTTCAAATGGATGCAATATGAAACACAGGCCAGAATCAGGCAGGCTTACCCTATAGTATGTAGGTGTTCCGGAATCGGTAGCATCTTCGCTTCCTCGGATGACCCAGCCTTGACCTCGGCGACATGCTGCCGCGGCCAGCAGCAATCTCTCTTTGTTGCTATTCTTGCTTTCTGAGTCGAGTGTCTCGCAGATGAAGCCTTTTGCCTGGGTTGAGCTGCGGCTAACCGGGCGACCAATAGCACATGCCTTGGAGATGGGTGCGCAGAAACCCCTGAAGCTCCACAATGCAAGGATCTCCAAGTGTACATGTGCCGGACCGATGGCGAAGCAAGATAATCTGGCAGAGCAATCAAGCAAGTAATTTGCTATGCGCGGCCAATACCTGTGTGCACCGACAGAACTGATGGCTGCCAAGGGTTGCCCGTCAAACGCGTAGTTGTACGGGGCACGTTCGCGCAACTGATTCAGCAAGCGTTGCAGCGTGGGTTTGATGCAGTTGACCCTCGTCTACGACATACATACACATGGTCCGCCGGCAGAGCAAACACGATGTGCAGTTGAAGTTGGTGCAGGCCACATTCGGGGAATGTGTTTGAACTACTACTAACACCATTCGCTACTAACAAGTAGCCTCGAACTGCTGGCCATGATGCCACAAGCACGATGCCTTTGCCACGATGTTGGAAGCGTAGCGGAGTGCTACCGGAGGTTCAGAACCAACTTCAGCTAGCCTTGTGTCATTCAGGGATAGAACTGGCCCTTGACCAGCGTCTTGTCCATCGCAGTTCATCAGTGCTAGGTGCCTGATATCGGAAGTAGTAGGCATTTGTATGTTACTCTATTTGTCTAGATATAACTTCGCAGCTCCGGATGCCGCCGACTCTCGACCCTTCTTTCATCACCATGTTGCTCCCCCGGTTGCTAGTATTGCTTCGCTGTTGTGTTACCTCATTTATTTCACTACTTGGGTTAGCCATCGGATGTCGAACAAAATGCGGCTGAAAATGAGCCGTCGCATCGCCCCTTTTTCCAACCGGTACGTGTGGCCTAGGAGGCGATGCGAGCGAATACAAGTGGATGGCTTTGTGGTAAAAGAGCTCTTGTGTACATACAAGGCCGTTGCGTCCAAGTACAACATGTCATGCGTCGCCTGCCACCGGATCTCTATCCACACGAGATTGACATAGTGAGTGACACCTCATCTTACCTATCTCTCACCAATCAACAAGGGTTCTTCACTTGTTAAAAGGGGTGGTGGTCGAGGACAAGTTGCGGCGACATATCAGGTATTGTGGCAAGGTATGCACGAGTACTCACATGCAAAGGTAACTGCACGTTTGCTTGCCAAAGTGTCGCGAGAAGAGTCGGTGAGTATGGTTTACCGTTGGATCGTTTCATGTCAAATGCAGTGGATGGATTCAACAATCACGAACCTCCGTTTGCGGCACCGAGGTAGTATATCAGAGGATGGAAAAGCAGGTAGCCGTCAAGGAGGATTTCGGCGCCAACGTGTACACGTCTGGAGACAACCGCGGCCGCCCAACAGTCAACCCCTGAATCGAACATGCTTGACAGATGAGGCGTCTTGAAATTGCGACTACGTATCTACTACCTAGGCAGTATTCGTCATGTTTGATTATTAGCTGAGTGAGCTAGACTGAGCTGCATCACCCGATCAGTCCTCCATCAGCTCAGCCAGTTCCGCCTCCTCCTCTGCAGTCAACAGGCTGCCTCCCCCGGGTTGAGCTTCCTGCTCCACCGGCTTCTTGGACTCTTCAATCTTCTTGACCACCTCGTCCAAGTCGCCCTTGTTCAGGGGCCACGTACGAATGGTGCCATCGATGCTCACGCTGCAGACCTTGTCAGGCAGCCCTCGCGAGTCGCGCAGCAGAATCAGATCCGTCACCTCCTCGTAGTGCCCCTCAAGCGTGCAATACAGCTTCCCCGAAGCCCGGTCCCAAACCTTGACATTCTCATCCCGGCCAGCAGTGATGACCCAGCTCTCGGTGGGGATCACGGCGCGGACGTAGTCGCCGTGCACATAGACATCGTCGGCGGCAAAGTTGCGCGCGCGAGACAGGCACTTTGCGGTGCCGTCCGCGCTGGCGGTCCAGAGATCGCCGTCCTCAGCGTCGACATCGAACACGAGCTTGTAGACGCTCGTGTCGTGCTCGGCGATGGTGAGCTTCTCCGCATCGGGTCGGTCGTGGAAGGCCTCGGGCAGCTGCTCGAAGCCGTCGAGCGTGATCTTCCACCTGCGGATGTGAGGGTCGCTGCTGGCGCTGGCTACGACGACGGCGTCGGGCGTGCTGAGGACGGGGTCGACGGCGATGTGCTGCACGGCGAGCATCGTCGTCGTCGGGTCCTGCAGGGTGTGCAGACGCCTGCCGGACTCGATGTCCCAGACGAGGATCTTCTTGTCCGCGCCGCCGCTGATGAGGATCTCCTTGCCGGATATCCTGGCGCAGAGGACGACCTTGACGAAGTCGGCGTGGCCGCTGAATTTGCGGCCGGGCTGGGCGGTCTCAACGTCCCAGGACCAGATGTCCTTGTCCCAGCAGCCGGCGAAGACGGTCTTGTTGGCGGTGCCGCCGACGGCGACGCACGTTACGGGAGCCTTGGGGCCGCGGTAGGTGGTTTTTGTAGAGCCCGACTAGTAGTAGGTATGAAGAGACTTGGATGAGTGAAATGTCTCCTCGTAGATACGTGAAGCTGTAGGCGGCAGCTGGTGAGGAGTGGCTTACTGAGAGGTCTATGCGGCGGACGAAGCCTGCCGATTCGGCGATGAAGATGGCGGTTGAGGGCGAAAAGGGGTCTGGGACGGCAGCGAGGATCTTGGACTTCATGGCGATGGGGTCGCCATTCTTGTTGCTGGACTTGAGAGCCTTGCGCTCCCTCTCAGCGTTGGAGGCACTACGATGCTTGTCAGTCGAGGCGGCGGGAAAGTATTGGCTCGGGGACTCACTCTGTCTGGAAGAAGGCGTCTCTGTCTGAGGTTTCCATGGCGGATGGTTGTGAGGTTTCGGATTTGTAAGTTGAATAGGAGTGAGGGAAAGCAGATGATAAATGGTTGCTGAGGTGAAAAAGGGGTGAAGCAACGCCAGGTTTATATACGCTTCTGATGTTCAGGAATTAAGTCTAGGCTGCCGAATAACCACCAAATAGAATCGTGATGATCAGTTCTTTTTTGTTCTGTTCATCAAGAGGATGCAGAATGGGCAGACATGCAAGTTGATGATTAGGTACCTAATCTAGGCTCCGACCCAAGGTGTCGAATCTGATGGACCTACAAAGGAATACCTGGACTACTAACGTAGTAATGGAACCGACAGCAAATGGCGGGGCTTCAACTGCTAGTATTACTTAGGCCATTGGGCTGCTGCCCGCTGAAAATCAACCGCGGGGCCGCGCGACGCAAGACTTTAATTGACAAACGCGCTCAGACGCGTCTCCCCTCCATTCGATATCACAGACGCATCTCCAAATCTGAGGCTCTCGCCAACTCTGCAGCTGAACCCGGCTCAGTCGAACCCGAACTTGAGCTCTTCAGTCCGCCACCAGATGACCCTCTGACCTCACCATCCTCCAGAACCCGACGAGAGCTCAGTCTTCGGCAATGGACTCGACCGGCGCGCCTCGTCCTCGCCCACGGCCTGCGCACACCCAGGGCACGACTCGATGCGCCTACACCAAGGACGGCAGCCGGCTGGTGACGGTGGGCTCCAACAACACGATCCGGCTCTACAAGACGGGCTCCGACGGCGAGCCGACAAACATTGACGACTGCCAGGAGCAAAACGTCGCCGTGGCCGCGGCCCAGGACTTCTTCGTCGTCGGCTCCGAGGACGGCACCGTCAGCCTCTACTCGCTGGCCACGGCCAACTTCGACCGCTTCCTCGTGCGGACGTCGCTGCCCGTGCGGGACGTGGCGCTCTCGGGAGACGCGCAGTGGTGCGCCGTGGCCAGCGACGAGCTGACCGTCAAGGTCGTGAACACGCAGGATATCAAGCAGCTGCGGCACCTCAACGAGCACGGGCGGGCGGCTCGATCCGTCAGCCTGGATCCCAACGGCCGGATCGCCGCCTTGTCGTGCGTCGACGGCATCATATACATCTATTCGCTGACGGCGGACCAGCCCGAGCTGATACACAAGGTGGACGGCGTGATTGGCGCGGGGGAGGCAGACTCAGAGGCCTCGGTCAAGGCCGTTTGGCATCCGGACGGCAGGGCGTTTGCGGTTGCGACGCCGACGCGGGACATCCAGGTCATCTCCAAGAACGACTGGGAGAGGCAGCGCGCCTTTACCGACGGACACTCGGCCGACATCACCGCTCTCGCCTGGTCGCCCAACGGAGTCATGCTGGCGTCGGCCTGCAAGGGCGGCAAGGTGCTGGTCTGGGAAACCAGCACGCAGAACGTCATCCAGCGCTACGACTATTCCAACGTCATCGACCTGGCGTGGCACCCGTCCAAGAACATTCTCTCCTTCACCACGACGGAGGGAGAGGTCTACATCTACCCCGACTTTCTCTCCGACCAGTTCTCGCCGATGCTGAAGCTGCCGGTACAGCCAGCCCCTTTCATTCACGACCCCCTCTTGGAGATTTCGGCCAACAGAAGAGCTGCTGTGGCCAACGGCGCGAAACGTGATATTCCTACACGCCCTCGCCGGGACTCTCTGGGCAGCCTTGACTCCTACCTGCAGGACGAGAACTATGCAGATGGTGATGACGATGGCTTCGTCGTGGACGACGACGGCGCTGGGTATACCGTTGGCCAGAAGCGGGGCTATGTAGGCGATGATGTTCTTGGCGGTGCTGAATACTCCAACAAGCGGAGGCATCTCATGGAACCGCAGTATCACGAAGCCTTTCAGCCTGGATCGACGCCGTGGAGAGGGAACCGCAAGTATCTCTGCCTGAACCTCGTCGGTTTCGTCTGGACGGTGGATCAAGACGGGCACCATACCGTCACGGTTGAGTTTTACGACCACGAGTTCCAGCGGGACTTTCACTTTACGGATACCTTTCTGTACGACAAGGCATGTCTCAATGAGCGCGGCACCCTGTTTTCGTGTCCCCCAAGGGATGACCAGCCGGCAACCATCTTCTACCGCCCTCACGAGACCTGGACGCAGCGGACCGACTGGCGAACACAGCTCCCCAAGGGGGAGGCCGTCACCGCCATGTCACTCAGCGAATCCTTTGTGACGGTCGTCACGAGTGCCAACTACGTGCGCATCTTTACGCTGTTTGGGATCCCATACCGCGTCTATCGCCCCAAGAGCGCGCCCATGGTTACGTGTGCGAGCTGGAGAGACTATGTTCTCACCATCGGCAACGGCCCTGTCACCGCTGACGGCAACACACGACTTTTATACACGATTGAGAATGTCAAGAGAGACGAGATTTGCCAGAATGAGGATACGGTGGCGCTTCCTGAAGGCGCGACATTAAAGAGTGCCTTCTTTTCTGACAATGGGGTTCGTGTTCAAAACTTACATTGATATCTTGCATGGATGACATTATTAACAGTTGGTTTTTTTACCAGGATCCTTGCATCTATGATTCAACAGGCACATTGCTCACACTGCTGCACTGGCGTCAGCCATCGCGGGCGTCGTGGGTTCCCCTATTAGACACCAAGCTTCTTCCCCGTCTCGCTTCTGGACGCAAGAGCGAGACGTATTTCCCCATTGCCGTAGCAGAGAACAAGTTTCACTGCATCATCCTCAAGGGTGGCGACCAATATCCATACTTTCCCCGGCCCCTGCTCTCCGAGTTTGACTTTTCTATTCCGCTACACTCATTACCGGAACCAAAGACGAAGAAGAACAGGGTCGATGGAGAGGATGCGGTAATGGACGACGACGACGACGGTGATGATGACGAGGAAGAGGAGGGCGCCGAGACGAGGAAGCTGGAGCAACAGTTTTTGCTCAAGGGCGTGCAGGCGGCTCAGCTCCGTGACCTGGTCGACGCCACTTCCGGAAGCCATGCTCAGCGGTCACTGCTGTCGCGGATCGAGCTGGAGATTGACAAGACGCTCCTGCAGCTCCTGGCGGTAGAGTGCCGCGAGGGCGAGGAGAGGGGCATGCGCGCGCTGGAGATGGTGGAGCTGATGCGTGACCGCACCGGCCGGATGATGGAGGCGGCGTACAAGGTTGCGGAGCGGTACGGGCGGACGATTCTGGGGGAGAAGATTCGGGAGGTTGGGGAGAGTAGGGTCAGTGGGGAGGATGATTTCTGAGTGTGGCGGGAGGAGGAGGGCTCTGTTGGGATGCATGTGTGTCGCAACTTTGCATGATGCTGCACGGTGATGATTACTGGGTTTTTCTTTGGGTTGGCGTGGAAGGTTGATGGGATTACACTCGGGTTGTGGTTGGGTCTATGAGCCAGAGGAAAAGGTGGTTTGATCAATGCTTTAATGTAAGACAAGCACCGAGATGAAGGACTGGACATGACATGTCTTGGTCATATATGTAGAATGCTGACTTGATGCTTGATGGAGAGTGGTCTGTTGCGTAGATTAGATACCAAAGCAACAGCATCGACTTGTCTGGTATATAATTCTCTCTCTCAAGAGGCCTCTGGTTTATAACAGTCTCGCCGGTTTCGTAGAACAGAGACATGGCTGTCTGTGTGTTATATGACTGATGGAATATCTACCCGGGACGCTCACGATATGTGCTGCTGCCCCCTACCGATTGTAGACACACACGCTCTCTCTCTCTACATCTTACAGAATAGCAGTACCATTCAAACAGGTATCGGACAAGACAGGAAAGCTCTTGGACAAATTCGGCGTTAATGAAACGGTGCTTTTCGGTCTTCATTTTGGCAAACAGGTGGTTTCTGTAACCTTCACAAAGTTTGGGGAGATAAGGGACTTTTGCCGCAGTTTTATACGTCATATGTAAGAGCTACGATGTAAGATTCAGGACGAACGGTGTTTGGAAGAGCAGGAGCTTTGACTTGAATTCAATTTTCCCCTTTTCTTTCTCTTCCTTGTACCGGAATAACGAAAAACGAATTTTTCAAGCTTCTGGTGCGATAGAAGCACTGGTTTTGTCGCTCAAACGAAGCAAAATCAGGGAACAATAGGCACCTGAGATATGTAGACAAGGCAACCAAGTGTATTCTAGGTGCACTTACATCACACGGCTCTGGGGGATAGAACTGACTGTGGCTGGAACTATTAAAGCTGCAGGAGACCCTTGTTTTCTCCTTATTTTTTTTTTCTTTTCTGGCAAAAGAAGTAAATGACCAGATAGGAAGAGAAGGAGAATCTAAACCTTTCTCAGTTGTGGCTAAGTAATAGTTGGCGGCATCGTGCATGTGGTGGTTTCACGAAAAGAAAGAGAGAGGAATAGAGATAGAGAGAACATCTTGCTCCTTTGCCCGTCCCGAAGCTTTTGCACAATTGCCCTCCGCATCAAGAGACGTTTTTCCCTTTGTAATGACGACGAGGAGGAGGTTTGTTGAGCTATTGTGTTGTCTGCATCTCTCGGGCCAAGTTTGTGCCTTTGATTTCTGCTGGTGAGTGTTGTTGTTGGTTCATACTGTACATGTACATGACGAACAAGGAATATGGCGAATTGTCTGAGGTATGCAGCCGGGTTGGGTTCTACTAGTCTTTTGCTCGGATGTTTGCTCTCTTCATCCCATCTTTGTCTCTTTGTGAAGAATTTGAAATACTCATGGCACATGACTGGGGCAGGCGTTTCCGTCACAAGGAAATGTGCATTCATGTCCGGTTCCTTGAGCCTACTACTACTTTTTCTTCGGGCAGAACAAAGCTGGCAGGAATCGTACATATGCCGCGCGCCGCTTTGACGGGCAGTGCATATCCAGTTCGTTTGTCTGATTTGGCGGCGTCCCGAGATTGGGCAGCGGTTGTTGGCGCCCGCAGCAGCTTTCTGCATGTACATGTAATACCTCGGTTGCTCTTCCAGTCTGGTACTTTGCACGAAATCGTCAATCAGGTCTGCTTCTTGTGTCTGCGGTGAAGTAGGCAGGGTTTATGTGCAAAGGAGGAGAAAGAGGAAGTCTGAGAGTCGCAAGGACGGTGACGTTCTAGGGTTAGCTTTCGGAGGGCTGAGGATCGTGGGATGTCCTCCTGGTTTAGATGCCGATGATGGCAGGGAATGGTACAGGTAGGTAGTCAAGGAACACCAGGTGCTTCTTCGAATTCTCCTTCAAGGACATGATGTCGATATCCAGTGCTTCGCAATGCAACCGTGATGATGCCGCATACTCCTTCGATTATGGATGGAATTGACTGGCGGAAAGGGGCATTTGCTCGTACTGCCTACACATCTGTTGGCCCATCTCGCTACTCCGTATCGAGTGGTACGAAGCTGCAGCAGAGGTAGCATTGCCTCCTATCTCGAGCAGACCAGACCCGAGCGGAACTGTTCCCCTCCCGCAACTCGCATCCCTGCCGGATCGGTGAGAGTCGTACTCGTACTTGTACCTACGCATCGTATGGAGGTACATATGCACGCACGGGCGGGACAAGCGGCCAGCAAATGAAGCAATTCGTCTTGTGTGGTGCCACGGTTTGTATGCTCGGCCTAGTAGTATTGGGCAGATTGGACCCGGCTCGATGTTAGGGGGAGATTTGCAGAGGCAGACAGAGAGCAGCGCAGCGTGGTATTACTACTACTAGGTATGTAGATGGGCAGTTGTCGGCAACACACATTGATCCGTACCCTGTGCTGATCAACAGCAGCGAGGCGGTCCGGGAGTCCTCTTTGAGAAATACAGATTGCACTGTTTAGGCAACTGAAAGTAGGTGGCAATCTGGGTTGTGCGTCCATGGCGGGCATCAAGGGCTGCATGGGCAGTTGATCTTCGCATGGGATCACCAACCTTCATCTCTGCTTGGCCATGATAGGCTGCTTGTGTGTATCACGGAGGAATACTCTGAACCGACGTGGTAGAACATTCAAGTCCGGGCTAGCCCCGTGTAGCCCCAAAGGCAGCTTGAGCTTTGAATCTGTCTGGAACCGGGAAGCATGGGGGGAGGGAAGCAAGGAACTGGCAAGGAATAGGACAGAAACGCACAGACGCAGAAAAAAGGGACAGGAATGGAACTCTCCTTTGCTCCGTATCTCCTGATTGAGACAGATGGGGGATGGGGATGAGACGCCGCCGACGTAAGACTGCGAGCTACCAAAGGCAGCTTAGCACGGACGAGCTGGATAAAGGGTTCATGTGCCATTGCTTTTTTTGTCATGTGAAAGTCGAGCTGTTGGTGATGCAGCTGTCAAAGGGAGAGAAGGACAGAGGGAGGGGCACTTTGACGAGAAGGCTGTCGTGCTTTTCCCCTGCAGGATCAATCGAACAAACAAACAAACAAAGATGGTGTTCGTCATTGTTCTCATTGATTCTGCTTCTTCCGTCCTTCACTCCATCTTCTATTGCCTAGCCTCACGTCCTCCTCCTGTGTTACCGTACTAGAAGGCCTGTCAGCAAGCCACCAATACAGGCCTTTGTTATTATGGGGGGACTTCTCATCTCACCCCTCAGGTAAGATCGATCTAAAGTACCTGGTAATGATGCGCCCAGCCTAGTGGACTGACAGCAGTACTGGCTTTGTCTGGCTGCTGAAGACGAGGCATCTGGTTGGTGCTTTTGTGGTGATATCTCGAATGTTCCGCATTCAGCCTCTGGTCTTGGCCAACGTAGCTTTGCTACTGCTGCAACATTCACCTTGGTGAGTCTCCAATTGGACGGTGAGTATCAACTGGGGAAGCCTCAGCTGTCCACTTGAACGGTCAATTGTATCTGCGTAGCCAGTGATTGGTAGATGGGCTTGCTTGGATTCATCAACCTCCTTCACCAGCCCTGCTGCTCTTTGTCAAGTCTCTCTCCTCCTCTTTGTCGTGCTACCTACAGCAGTATTACGTACAGGGCGCTCCCCGTATTACCTAAGTCCCTATCTCGGCAGCTTGTCAAAGGCCTTTGACAGCTTCCAGCGGCCGATGGCTCCAATCAGTAAGCTGAAGCGTGCTTTTGTTGACATCCAAGGTCATCGGTTTGGCTTTGATACGAGCGGATCGGGATCCGGTCATCAGCCTGTCACTGATACGCGTACCAGCAGCATCGCCCGAGCTCTCTCAAACGACGGCTGGCAGTCTCTGGTACTTGTATCACCTGCGCTGCTGCTCTTCCAGCCCGAAGTTGCTCTCTGAAATACATACCTTACGTAGGTAGGTATGTAGGTATCCCGGACAAGGCGTACAAGACAAGACAGCTGCCGAGAGCTCCATTCGTCCACCGCAGCTCGGCGACCAGAAGCCACCAGCAATCCAACACGAGCACACAAGCTCCGCGCGGTATCCAGTACTTGTCGCCCGCTTAGGACCCCCCAGCCGACGTCGCCGACCGTCTGAGGTACACCGAGGTCGCTGCCAAGTATCCCGATCGGAGTGTTTCCGGCAGATTCTCGAGCGAGTATCAGCTACAGGTACTGCCGGGATACCATCCCACCCTCCAGCGACGGCGGATTAGCTAATGCACGGGGCAAGTACCGCATACCGATCCAGCACCTCCATCTCGCCGCCCGCCATTTGCAGCTCGTTGCAGGCGATCCCACCTCTGTAAACGACTGTGGCCGCCCTGTTGCACCGACTTCGCCGAGGCTCGTCGACCGCACGCGAGTTTCTGCGCTTCTTGTTTCGAGCTGTGCATCGTCGTCGTCGTCTTCGTTATCTCCATCATCTTCATTATCTTCGTCGTCTGCTCAACCGAATCAGCTCACCGTCTTGCGTGTCTCCGCCTGGCGGTTCTGCCGTTGCGGCGAGCGTCACCGCCTCCCGCCTCGCCTCGCCTCGCCTCGCCTGAAGCTCTGCATCGTCGAAGCTGCTGTTAGTGGCCTCTCTTACGCTACTAACCTACCTACCAACTCGACCACCTCCCCTCCTACTACTACTACTACTACTAGCAGCAGCATCGTGCGTGATAGGTATCACAGAGGGCTATTACCTACCTCCTACTACATAACCTCTACATAGGTACAGACATACCTACACACCTGGGCCTACACACCACAAGTCGCCGCGCCCGCGCAATCGCACAGCGTGTCTCCGTGTGCGCCCTCGCTGCTGCTGCCCGGAGCGTCTGGCATCGACAGCTGCCGCTTCTAGAAGCCCCAGCGCAGCGCCCAACGGTCCAGGGGGGGCGACTCCCACCGCGAGGCTGATATCGCCGCCTGCTGCGTCTGTGTGCCCTCTGTGCCTGTCCCGGCTGTGGGCGTGGGCGTGAGCGGCCAAAGGCAAGGCCCCCAGAGAATTCTCCAGAACTTTTGTCATCTTCGTTCGCTGCTTTCGACTCCACCCAAGCTGCGACGACACGACACGATCCGACCCGACACGCCAGCCCGTCCTGGCCTGTCCTGCCAACCCTCGGAGCTGCGTCCCGCAGACATGAGGTGAAAGGTGAGTTGAGTGTCCACGGAGCTCCTCTCGAGCTAAGGCAGCCCGCCAGCCAATGCCGGTTGTCGCAGCTCCGAGCTCTTCTTTGCGCCTCCTCGCCCGCTGCCCTGCCCTGCCCTTTGCTTTGTCCTCCGCCTTGTGCATTTCTGCATTTCTGCCTTTCTGCATCCTGCTGACCCTCGCCTTTTCCCTTCCCTCCCCTCCCCTCCCCTCCTCTCCTCTCTCCTCCTCGACCGCCGCTCTCAGAGCCTCAACCCTCGCCGTCGTCCCCCACCCCCCTCCTCACCCTCTCCCCCATTCGCACTCGACAAAGCTTCTTCCCCCCTTCGTCGCTGGCTGACCGCAATGGGGACAGTCCAGATGGCCCACAGGACTGAGACCTCTCAGAAACCGATCCCGGCAATCGATAGACTTCAAGACTCGACCGGCTCCCGAATCGTCCCCGTTTCCATCTCCGTCTCCGCGCCGCCGCCTACCATCAGCATGTCTCCACCGAGTCCCGTCGACCATCCGATGGAGGGCACGTCGCCAGAGGACAACTCGCCCACGGGCCACGGCCACGGCTCCGGCTCCGACCCCGAAGGCAGCTCCAATGGCAAGCCGCCCGTCTCCCGGGCCGGCAACGCATCGCCGCAGGAGCACGGCGCCCTCACCACCTCGAGCAACATGCCCGCCCCTCCTCCCGCCGCCGCCGCTGCTGTTCACCAGCCCAAGATCGTCCAGACTGCCTTTATCCATAAGCTATACAAGTGAGGACCCTGGCCTCCCTCTCTCCCCCAAACCCCCCTTTCCCCCTTCAATGCTTCCTTGACCTGCCAAGGAGGGCCCCGAGACTAAAGCGACAGCTGCTAACGGCGCAAATAGCATGTTGGAAGACACCAGTATACAGCATCTCATATCCTGGTCATCGTCCGCCGAAAGCTTCGTCATGTCGCCCTCTGCCGACTTCTCCAAGGTATTATCGTAAGCAGTGCCCCGACAATCCTCGCCCTTTTCTGGCCAATTCGCTCATTCTCGCCCCCAGACAATACTTCAAACACACCAACATATCGTCTTTCGTGCGTCAGCTCAACATGTACGGATTCCATAAAGGTACCTCCTGCCCCCGCTTGCTTCTGCCTCGAACCTCCGAACCTCGAATGGCTTACCATGGATGCAGAACGAGACGTGTTTCATACCGGCAACCCCGAAACGACGCTCTGGGAATTCAAGCACGGCAACGGCAACTTCAAGCGCGGCGACCTCGTCGGCCTTCGAGAGATCAAGCGTCGCGCCAGCCGACACGCTCTCGTCAACCGGGAAAACACCTTTCCCAAGACCTCCACATCTCAGCCTGGCACGCCCATTGAGCCTGTTCAAGTCCCGCCGGATAGCATCGAGGCTAGAATAGCCAACCTGGAGCACTCCCTGTACGATACGGCTGCGAGACTGCAGAGAAGCGAGGAATCGGCCCACTACATGCATGTCAAGAACCAGGCCATCATGGAGACACTCAACCGACTGCTCTTCTTCAACCAAGAGTTGTCCAAGGGGATACTGTCGCTTGTACCTCCAGACAACCCTGTACACAGAGATGGTTTGTCACACGAAACAATCAGGACGATACGCTATTCATGGGAGACGATGAAACTGACAATGAGGGCTTCAAGTCATGACACTCCAGGGCGAAATGGTGAGGCAGGCAGAAATGCTGCGCTCGCTCGACGAGCCGCACGAGCCTGTCTATTCCGCCAGGCAACAGTTCTTCGGCACGGTCGACAACGCCCCCGTGTCCCCGCGGCAGCTTCCTCAAGACGACAACAGGCGAGTCACGCTCAACGTTCCGCAGGGCCGGAGTCAGCCGTCGTACCGACCAGCCGTCCCCTCGAACCTGTCCGCCGGCACGCGGCGACCCTACGGATCCATCAGCGGCGGTGCCGGCTCCTCACCTCTGCGCAATGCCGCGCCGGCACCCCCAGCAGGGCCGCATCCCCTTTCCAACGTGGAGACCGTCCCCAGCAACCTGGCCAGACGCCATACCGCCGCAGACATTCGCGCACACGGATGGCAGCCCAACGCACCGCCTTATCCCCCTGGAGCCGTGCCGCCGCCCGTATGGCCTCAATCTCCCAATCGGCCCGAGGATCAGAGGATAAGAGACTCTCTCTCTTCGTTTTCCCTGCAGGCCCCATCGGCTCATGGACACCCGCACTCGCGGCCGGCGACGCCACCCCACGCTCCCTTTTCAAACGGCGCGAGCGGAGGGTCGGATACCTTTGGCAGCTGGTCGTGGGGCGCGGCATCGAACCGCGAGAGCAAGACGATTGGAGCGTTGAAGGAGTCGTCAGCGCCGCCCACCAGGAGGGGCAGCATGGCACACATCCTCAACCCCAGCGATACCGCTGAGCGATCAGACGAGGACGAGGACCCCCGGGGCGACGACGACAGAAAGCGAAAACGAAGACAGTGATGCCGCGCCGTGTAGCGTTGAAGAAAAGAGGGGGACTGGATCATGGCCATGGCACATGATTTTGGCGCTGGTTACAACAAGGAGTCTCTTTAATCCAGGCTGGCGTTTTTTTCGAAATATCCCTGCTCCGCACTGGTTCCTGGATGTCTTCAGGTTTCCATCCGTTGCGTTTTCATTCCTTCTACCGCATCTTTGTCTCATTTCCCGACATTTCAGATTGGATATCTTGGCGCTGCAGTAAGTCTGTAAGCTATGCTCATTGATGACGGCCTCGGAGAATACACTTTCGCCTTTACGCCTTGATTGTATATTAGCACATATTCCTGAACCGGATCATGGCCATAGGCTTGGCACCACACGTCCCTCAACAAATGCGGACAAAAGTTGCTGTATCAAGGAATCGTCGATTCGGGCTGGGAAGCCTACGGTTAAAGCAAGAGGGAGGGCTATCATGAGGGCGAAACTGGCTTTTTGTTTAGTATGGATATGGGAGCCAGAAGGCATTCATTGGGAGGTCTCTATGACAACTCGGCAAGACTGACGACGATGTGCATTACTATTGAGACTCGCCAGTGCTATGAAGGATGCTGATTCGGTGATTGGGCATTCGACAAGAGTCAGGCGGACTCTGGCGTATATAGGACGGTCTACCCGATGAGATTTCCGTTGTGGTCCGTGATAGTACAAATGACTACTATAGGATGATACCTCCATCTTTGGCATTTGTGAGGACGCTTTCTGGTGCTTTTGTGAGATTGACCCATGGCCTGAGTCGAAACGCCGACTCTTATGAGGATTTGTGTGTTCCGTAGATTCTCTCTGCTCTTTTTATTCACTTTTGCTCTCGTTTTTGCCTTTGCTTTTCCTTTTCCCGCTGCCTCTTCTTCCTCTTCTTGTTCTTTTTCGCCTCGTCAGCTGTGTTATCACTTATTGTTGTTGTTGCTGCTGCCACCTCCTTGACCGGAACAGCTCCGTCGATGCCATTGCCGTGCTTGCAGTCTTCCCCCTCGACCTCGTCCCGTCTTTCCTCTTGTCCCCCCATTTCCTCCTCTTCTGTACGTGCCCCTCCGATTCCATCCACATCCACCTTGTCACCCTCAGCTTCACCCTCAACATTACCCCCCACAGCAGCCTCCTTTTCTTCCTCCTCCTCCTCCACATCCCTCCTCGGCCTCTTCCTCTTGCTCTTCCCCAACGCACTCCTCCCCTCCTCCTCGTCACTCTCACTCTCAACACCACGCTTAGCCAGCGCCGCCGCTGTCACCCCACCAGGCTTTCCATTCTTGTTGTTCTTGTTGTAGTTCTTCCCAAGGAGTTTCCTCCGCAGCGTCTGCTCCTCTTGCGCTGCGCCGGAGTCGGTTTTCTTTTCGGGGACGTAGCCTACGCCTTGATTGGGACGGGGACCGGAGAAGAGCTGTTCGATGGCGTCTGCGGTGGGGGCGTGCTTTCTTGATGATGATGTTGATGATGATGATGAGGTGGTGGTGGTGGTGGGATTGAGGGTTTTGAGGAGGGCGGTGCGGCGGGAGAGGAGGAGGGAGATTTCGTTTGCGATGGAGGCGCGGTTGGGGGCGAGCGGGAGGGGTGGTGGTTTCGAGGAGGAGGAGGATGGCGGCATTCTTGAGTTCTCTCTCTCTCTTGATGTTGATTTTGGCTGGTGGGTAGGGTTTGGTTTTGTTTTTGGTTTCGGTGAGAGGGAGTGAGGGGGCGAGGAAGAGAAGAGAAGAGAATTTGGTATGGTTTTGAGTTGTTGAGATGGATGGGGAATGGATCGAATGAGTCTCTGAGGCTTTACATTGAGTTTAGTTTTGATCGCGAGGTGTCGTTATGATATCATTGCTAATGGGCTGATGTTCTATCGACGGTTGGAACCAGAGAAGAAAAGTCGTGATCGTCGTGGGGGAGAGCTGCAATTGCAGGACAGATGCAATGCAAGGTTGATTGAGATATCGAGGTCGGAGGAAAGATGAATGGAAAAAGACAAAAAAAAAAAAAAAGGTTGTAATAGCGTCACTCTACATGTCAGCAGCTGGAGCTATGGTGGGGCCTCGTGCAGATGGCATGGATTGATTGACACAGCTTCGTTTGGCTTCGTACAAATGCTGTAAATGGGACTGGTTGCATCTGTTAGAGAGGAAGAGACAATGTGGGAATGAAGAAAGGCCATCGGCCATTAGCATTATCTATCAAAAATACATCAGACTGCACAATGCTTTTCAACGCCTAAAACTCCCTTCGAACCCCCCGATCCCAGTAGAAAGTACAAGTCTATGCTGTTGTTCGATACGCCCAACCGTCCGTCCAGAACCCATGACATCCCTTCCCTGGCCCGCCTCGGCTGCTCAACACCTAGTACCTCGTCGCCGTCGAGTCCGTCAAGGAGAGGATATACGGCAGGTCACTACCGTCTCCATCATCAGCCAGCCGGATGACGGACCCGGAGCCATCCGACGACCTGGACCGCGCGCTGTCGGCCGACGACCGCTGGCTCGACGTGTACGTGCGCCGCAGCTGCGCGAGCCCGCTGCCGCTGCCGCTGCCGCCGTTGCGCGACGCCATGCCCATGTTCCTCCCGCTGCCGGGCGTATCTGGTGCCGTGCGGTACGTGAGGGCGCGGTTCCTGGTCCGTCTCTGGACTGAGCGCTGAGTGCTTGCCGTAGACGGCCTGCTTGCAGTCGACGGCCGTGAAATGCTTCGTGGGGTGGATGGGATCGTTTCCGCCGGAGCATCGTTGTCAATGTCGCTTTCCACCGCCTCTCTTCTATCCATCCTGCTCCCTTCGTATTCGTCTTCTACTTCGTCTTCATACAGATTATCTAGGACTGCCGGATCCAGAGGCTGTATCGATCGCAGAATTTCCGCAAACAGATGCAGCAGCTCGCGAAACTCGGCATTGCAGACGGGCTTTGTCGAGAAGCGAGCGGCTTCGTATCTCGTCAGGAAGTCGGTCACCGTCTCGTCCATGACGGCAACGCCCAAGCTGGCAAGATGCGCAATGTATTCGCGAAGGCTCATGCTGGGAAGGCGCTGCAGCAGCTCCGCGGCCTCGGGATCGAGCATCGGGGGATCGGTTTGCGAGGTCGGATCCGGCGGCGCAAGACGCAGCGCTTGCGCCTCGATGAGGTTGGGCATTTCCGAAATGACGTTGCTGTACTGCAGGTTGGCGAGATCGGGCGAGTTGGGAGACGCCCAGCCGCAGTGCTCGATGACGCCCCAGACGGGGCGATGCGGCGGCATGGGAATCGGCTCGTCGCGGTCCAGCGCCTGCTCGCTCCACGCCTCCAGCTTCGCCCGCGTCCGCGCCTCGTCTTCGAATTCGTCGTGCGCGTCGTCTCCCATCATCTCCTCGTCGACCCGCGGCCGCGCCGCATACGCAATGGCCGCGCTCCTGCTCAGCCCGGCGGCAATCATCTTATGGATCGCCTCCTTCACATCGCCCTTATCGATGGGAACCCAGGACTTTGGTATCGACGCCAGCACCGTCCGGTTCACGTACAGCCGCACGATGTAGACAAAGGCGACGACCAGCGTGGTGACGACATATCCCGACGCAATAATCCAGATGTTGTACCACTGCCTGTTGACGACGGACCGCTGGATGGCGTCGCCGGGAGTGACGAGCAGCAGCCCGCACAGCACCACGTAGAGAAAGAGGTAAGCGGACCGGTAGAGGAACCGCAAGAAGACCTTGTGATGCGCCATGGCAAACGTTCACGCGCGCGCGACGCCCCCCAGGCGCTGGATCTCAACTGATTCGTCGCCGCCCTGCTGATTCGGATAAGGGTATTGATCGCGGTCGCATGGCTATTGCTGGAGATGACGCATCCGAAACGCTGCCGTAAGTGCTGCTGAGGAGAAAGGGGGGGGGGCGGCAACAAGAAGCGATATCGTCAATGTGAAGTGGTGAGAGAGAAAGGGAAGAAGTGGAAGGGAAGAGAAAGTTGGAATCAGGAGCGAGATTGCGTGGGCCTTAGGACAGAACCTTGGAACTGACCTAGCTAATACGGGTACCTAGCACGAGGCACCACTGAGTTCTTCAGCAGGGTCACAGGGGGGTTTGCAGGCATGGATGGGTCTCCAGGGCTCGCTAGGGGAGTGCTGTAGGGGAGCTCGGGGAGCTCGAATGGAGCAGGTGCGCGCTACAAGGTACCGCCTGGAAGGGGGCTGGATGCGCGATGATGTACAGCTACTCCGCGAGCAGGCCGTTAGCGCATGCGATGCAAGGTACGCGGGACCTGCGCCGCTAATCACGGGTACCTCCGGATTGCTGGTGGACGGCAGTGCTGGGCTCGCTTGTGGTTCTTGAGACTTGCCTTGGACCTAGAAGGCCTTCAAGGTCAGGTTCCATGGATTGCTTCAGTACCTTCTAATACCAGCAGTAATACTACCTCCATATGGATGACAGGCATCAGCCGGTAAATGCAGGCTGTATGTACAAAGATATCCTACTCATTCGTTGCTCTTTTTTCCTTTCATTATTCTCGGTTGATGACAGTGAACCCTCAAACTCCGGTATCGTCTCATGCGATATGCGACAATCATGACCCCCCCCCGAAAAGATTCTCCCTTCGTATAAGTACATTTTGCTCTCCCTACCTCACTCGAAACCCATGAAACTTGACGTCTATCGAACCTGTTCCATCTCGGGCAGCCTAAACCCCCTCCGTGCCGGCTTCGACAATCCCCAATCTTCAATGGTTCTCGTTTCAACGGCGACTTCTTGCTGGCTTGTCATCAAGAATCTCGCCCTGGGCTTCTCCACTTCGGGTTTCCCATAGGCCTCCTTTGCAGTCCGCAAGTCGGTGCGCGTAAGCCTAAGATCGGTGCTGTAGGGCTCAAACTTGACAATGACCTGCTCCAGTCCCGTCTTCAAGGCCACCAGCAGCTCGTCCACCTCGGGACAATCCTTGGCTCCCTTGATGTCGGTCCAGTGCAGAGGAAACTGTTCCTTCAGGGCCTCCACCTTCTTGATGATTGATGTCAGGGTCCGGATGATGGTGGGCACATCTCGGTGCACGTTGCCATACGAATCTTCAGCCAGGCTGTTAACCGCCAGCTGGCAGAGTGCGGTGGCCGCGTTCGCGTACAATGTCGGCTCAGCATACGGGCTTCCCAGGACAGCGGCGGCGAACTGCGTGCGGAAGTCTTGTCGGATCAGACTGCCAATCCATCCGATCGACAGCAGTCTGGTAGCAAACTCCTGGGCTTGGTCCTTCAGATGGTCTGGAGAGACCGCCTCTTGCTGTTCCCTGCTCAGCACCCGGTCTTTCGCCGTCTGCCAAGTTTTGCGAGCAATGGGGCTGAGCTCTGAAGCGGGTGTTGAGCCGGGGTTCCGTGCGAGTCTCTCGAGCGCCTTTTCGATGCCCGCCTGCAGGGGAGTCTGCCTAGCTTGGCTCGTGAAGATGGGATCTTCCCTCAGGGGAGCTGACGAGCGATGCCTCTCTTCCATCGGTTGGGGTTTAGGAGCCTCGTGCGCCGCCGGTTGCCCATAGGCATCGACATTGCTCTCGATGCTCTGAAGAGTCTCCAGGCAGATGGAATAGATTTGGGACCACATGGGCCCCCCCTTGCGGTCGATGTCATTGAAGATACTTTGCCTCCGGGCCGAATCATTCTGCGCAATAAGGGCCAACTCCCACATGGCAAAGGCCTGTTGCGATGTTCCGCGTTAGTGATTGCGAGACTCACGTCTCTCTGATATAAACTGATGCTCTCACCTGAATGGAGAGCTTCTTGCTCTTTAGGCCGTTCAACAGACTGCCATTAGGATCCTTCGACTCAGATGTCAAAGGAATGCCATTCTTCAGCGGCTTCTTAACCATGAAGAGGGAGAAAGCCTTATTACCCGCTGTCCACAGGAACCCAACGCCGGCTCCTGCCACGACACAACGTGCCAAGAGGTAAATGTCCGTAGGCCACGACGACGGGAGCATGTTGGTCCGGGGCATGTTGTAGAAGGGGCGCAGGAACGTCAACCCCCACGACCAGGCAAACGATCTCAAAAAGAGAAAGTACAGGACTATCGCCCCGGGGACAGCCATGAGAGATATCTTGAAGCATTCTGCTAGAGCCATAGGAAGCTCTTCCAGCACAGCTTGCAGAGATCCCGACACGATTCCCGTGCTCTTTTGCTCCTTTACGGGCTTCCTCTCCAGCGCGCCAAGATCCAGACGGTCCACATCGTGTCTGTAGTGCTCCACGGTCTGCACCAGGGCGAAGGTGAACATGTAACAGGCGAAGAAGACGGGTCGCTCGTTCAGCCGGGCGCGATCGCCGCTGTAGTATGTGATCCAGTGGAGGTTCGCGTCCTCATCCCTCGTTCCAAGATAGATGGCGCAGTAAAGCAGGCTCGAAACGCTGTACCAGAGCGCCGTCTCGTACGTCCGGGCGCTAAGCAGCAAAGAAGCAAGCGTATAGAGTCCCGAGCCGGTCGTCTTGATGCCCACGTGATAGCTTGCGATCCGAAGAATGAGAATGGTGAGGCCGCACGAAAACAGCAGCAGTGCTCGAAAGCCGGCGGGGCCTAGCGGGAACCAGGACCAGAAATCTGCAGCGTTCGAAATCGCATTCAGTTAGATGAGAACAGCAGGGTGGTGACGCAGAAAGACGCTTGTGGTTCCTTACAAGACTCCCAGCTGCTCAGCAGGATCGATTCGAGATACGACACGGCCAACAGCAGGCCGGCCGTGGAGGAGAAGCGTCGGTGCAGAGCAGGCTGCAGAGTGTCCTTATAGGGAGCTCTCCGCGTCGGTGTACCCGCCATTGTCGCGGCGCATTCCCTCTGGGCAGTGAGTCCTCGTGTCGGGGAGAAGACGCTGCCAGCTGGAAGAGGGGTTGAAGGTGGTTTCGGTGGACAAACCGCTGCACGAAGGTATCACGTACGGAGTAAATAAAAGAAAAATCGCCGGCTCAGCAACCAGAGCTTGGAGCAGAGCTGCGCTAGGACGCGCCAGAGCCAAGTCCTATCGCAGGGCATCACGTGGCGATAAGCGGATGGTGGAATGGCAGACACCGGCTCTGATTGGCGCGCGACGGTTCGGAGTGACTTTGCATGGCGTAACTGTGCCGTCGCAAGAGCGTTACGTAGGTAGAGAGCCCCATCCGCTTCCATCAGGCGGGTTTCGTTCGTCCTCCATCTTCGCATCCCGAGATACCGCCTTAGACTCGCCGTCTTTGTTTGCTCGCAAAAGCGCTAGAATCGCATCGCGCCTCTTTTGCTGTTGTCTTTCTGTGGCGCACATATCTATACAGGAATTACTGGACGCAGCGACGCTTTTTCTCTCCCCTATTTGTGCTCTCGTTCCTCTTCCGTTCGCCCTTTGATCCGCAGCAACCATGGCGTACGACCGACTATCCAGCCTCGAGGCCGGCCAGAGCAACGGCCGCTATACCGACGACCCCGCGTTTCAAGACCTTCAATACGAGCTGAAAAACAAACTGCAGACTCTGCTGAGCAACAACCGCAAGCTTGCCAACGATGTCAACGTCCTGGGGACCAAGAAGGACACTCCCCGCTTGCGGGAGCGGGTGCACAACACAATGGAAAAGTCGCGGGAAATCTGCAAGGATATTGGCGATGGCGTGAAGAAACTGCAGACGTGGGATGATCTGACTGTATGTCCTCGCTTCATCCTTGCCTTGTGCGTGGACGAGGTGAAAAGCTGACTCATATTGCTAGAAACAACAAAAGTACGAACAGACAAAGGTCTCGAGCGATTTTCAGACGGCCTTGCAAGAGTTCCAGGGTCTGCAGAGGAAGGCTTTGGAAAAAGAGCGCGCATCCATAACGGCAGCCCGCGAAGCGCAGGCATCAGAAATCACGGGCGCCGGGGGCGAGGAACAGCTGCAACTGCAGCAGCAGCAACAGCTGTCGCAACTGGCCCCGCAGGATGAGGTGGATTTCCAGGAGGCCCTGATCATCGAGCGCGAAGAGGAAATTCGAAACATCGAGCAGGGCGTCGGCGACCTGAACGTGCTGTTCAAGCAAGTGGCGCAGATTGTTACCGAACAAGGCCAGCAGCTCATCACCATCTCGGATACCGTGGAGAATATCCATGAAAGCACCCGCGGCGCCGACGTCGAGACCCGTCAAGCAGCGCGGTACCAAAAGGCAGCTCGCAACAAGGGCTGCTGCTTGCTGCTGATTCTAGCCGTCATTCTGACCATTGTCCTGTTGGCGATTTTCGTGGGCTGAGTTTGAATTGCGCATGGCGATGCACCGGACTCGATTAGTGCTTCTCTTTTTGTCGCTGTTTCCATACGGAGTTTCTCTCTTGTCTGTTCCTGGCAAGTTTATAGCTGAGTTTTTTTTTTTTTTTTATACAGTGTCCCGCCGATCACGTTGTCGAAGTTGTATATAGGTAGGATTCGGGTCACCTGGGCATTTTGGAATTATCTCTTGAGCGCGTTTGAATGAGAATTTTATTTCATCTGTTCGGGCCTCGGCTCTTCTTTGGAAGCCTTGACATCCTGACTCCTGAGATATGGCAGGACTATCGGTGGTTTCTGCGTAGACCTGAGTGTTCCCGACGATTGGTGTGGAAACAATCGCCCTAAAATGGCTTCGTTGACATCGTTGAGGGCAAAGGTCGACGCCCAGTATAAGAATATGGCGCTAGGTAGGTCGGCAAAGAGGATGGGAAAGAGAGGAACCAAGAGAAGGGTTCGCCCTACCGCCGTTCGGATCCTCATGGCAGGAGTCTGTGGAACCTGAGGCGGCCCGACGCTCAGCAGGGCCCGGAGCTGGTCCTTTGACAGCCTCCCCCATGACGTCCGGGCAAGGAGTGCCGAGCAGATGATGGGCAGCGCAAAATAAGGGTCCATGGCAGTCAGATCTGTGAACCAGAGACAGCCCCCGTCAACCAGGGACTCGTCGAGATAGCGGCGCGACGTTTCCACGGCTGACGCAACGGCCTGGGCATCCACCAGTCCGAAGGTGTGACTGAGCCATCCCGTGGGGGCACCACAGAGGCGCCTGAGAGCTTCGGAGACGATGATGAAGGGGGCCATGCTGAGGAAGGGGGCAAACGACTTCCACCTCTGAACGCCCCAGCTCTTGTATATTCGTGCACGGGACCGCTCCGTCAGGCCAGCCACCCTCAGCCGCCAGAGTCGGGCTGCTTCCTCGCCCTGGCCCTGGGGCACAGTCGCCGCATGCCGCGCGCTCCAGGCGGTGACCAGCGGCGTCAGCTTGTTCCTGGTGACCACGAGGCGCCTTGTGTAATACTGGACCGGCAGTCGAAAGGTGAAGTTGACGCCCACGGCTACGAGGGGGATGGAGACGAACCAGGGCAGGCCGGTGTGGTGGAGGAAGGTGATGCTGTCAGCTGTCCATAGGACGGCGTCTCCTACGGCGCCGAGATGAAAGTTGCGTCGGCCCGGGGCTGTGGCATTGTTGGCTCTGCTTCGGATCGCGCCCAGCGGTGTCTGGGTAGTGGTATATGGAGGCGAGGCCTTGCTAATATGAGCTGCAAGGCCCCTGGCTGATTTGCTGAAGAAGGCCATGGCCGGTCATGGCTTGGAGATGCTGGTATCGCTCAAGCCGGAACTATTCCGGTTAGTTCCCTTGCGTCCAGCACATGGACAGTTGGAGCATTCAGTCAATCAGCAAATGACTGGATCAATGCTTCAGCGCATCGATGAGCAGTTCGTCATGAGAGCAGCAGAAGATGAAGCGTGAACAAGTCCCGTGAGCGGATCCTGAAGAAATTCAGCACCTCAGCACCTCCCCCCCCCCCCCCCCCCCAAGCTGACGCCACAGCATCAGTACAATGGGCACATACAGGCAGTTGAGTGCTGTGGCTTAGTGTCCTGTTTCCCCCCGACAGGCCCATCCTTTTAGCGCTGTAGAGCTGCTTGTGCTGACGCTGGGACAAGCTGTCAATACCGAGCAAGTCATACACGCAGGATCCCCCACATGCCTTTCTACACCTTTCCCTCTTCTCGCTCTGCTCTGTCTCGTCACGCTCTTTTCTCTGCTTCGTCTTTGCACATCCTTGTTCACACAGGCAATGCCGCCTGCTTTTGCCTCCAGGCTTGTGGCACTGCGGGCATCTCAATAACCAGCATCGCAGCGACGCGCAATCGACGCTCCAGCATCGCCGACTCGGACCGTTCCGTTGCCCATGGCGGATCACTGCTCGGCAGAGGCGGCGACATGCAGCCAGCCGCCCGGATCCAGCTTCAACTCCCCTTCGGTGGTGATCGCGGCGACTTTGATGGCAGTTGCGCCGTTGCTGCTGCTCCTGATTCCCTACTTTGGCGCCGGCATCGGATGGATCCTGCGAACCAAGACTGACGGCACGCGGAAACACCTGGTCAACCTGATGAACGAGGAGCACAAGAAATACCTGCAGCAACGCAAAGGATCGGACTCGCCCAGCACGACCAGCGACTCATTGGACGAAAACGGCGAGCTCAAGGCCTCTACAGACTGGGATGGAGTTGTTGGCTTCTTTCACCCCTTCTGGTATGACTCTCCCTCCAAGTGACCGTGGCCCCTCCCTGTCGTCGCCGTCGGCCCTCGATGCTTTGCCATTGCGTTTCGTTAACACCGCGTCAGCAATGCTGGAGGTGGCGGAGAGCGAGTTCTGTGGGCTGCGATTCGAGCGACGCAAGATCGATGGCCGAGGGCCAAGTGCTTTGTGTATACTGGAGATCGCAGCCTGGCCAAGGATGCGGTTCTGAAGCGGATCAAGGTGAGGATCTAGAAGCAGCAAGTTCCCCAGCAAGGAGAGGCAGCAGCATCACTAAACCAGGTTGCAGACCCGATTCAATATCCAGCTCCACGCCCCGACGATCCAGTTCCTCGACCTGTCCAAGACACGCTGGGTCCTCGCTTCCAGATGGCCAGTCTTTACTCTTCTTGGACAGTCGTTCGGTTCGATAATCTTGGCCTGGGACGCCTTCACCCTTCTGGTTCCCGACATCTTCATCGACACCATGGGCTTCGCATTTGCGCTCAGCTTTTCGAAACTCTTGTTCCGGCGCGTGCCGACTGGCGCGTATGTGCACTACCCGACCATCTCTACCGACATGTTGGAATCTCTGGATCCTACATCTGCAGTAGGCTCCCAGGGAGTCAATGCGGGTCGCGGTACCGGAAGTAAGGGCGCTGTGAAGAAGGCATATTGGCGCTTGTTTGCTCAGCTCTACTCTGTTGTTGGATCTTCCATCGACGTGGTCATGACCAATTCCACATGGACTCAGGGTCATGTGAAGAGCTTGTGGGGTCCATATCGTCAAGACAAAGATCGGGAACACCCCATCACAGTCGTATACCCCCCGGTGGCTGTGAGCGAGTTCGAGAAGGAAGTCGAGGTCTCCGCCGAGAGCGAAACGAAACGCGAGCCGATCCTGGTGTACATTGCTCAATTCCGCCCCGAGAAGAACCATCAGCTTGTGATTGAGTCTTTTGCCAACTTTGTCAAGACCAAGACGAAAGCTGCATCGAGGGCGCAGCTGGTCCTGATTGGAAGCGTCCGAGACGACTCGGATTCCAAGAGGGTCTATAAGCTGCGGCTGTTGGCCAATGAGCTCGGTGTCAAGGATCGCGTTCAGTTTCACATCAATGCGTCTTGGGCAGAGATCCTCGACTGGACAAGGAAGGCCTCTGTTGGCGTCAACGGCATGTGGAATGAGCATTTTGGAATAGGGGTTGTGGAGTATCAGGCCGCCGGTCTGATTGCCGTCGTTCACGACAGTGGTGGCCCTAAGCTGGACATTGTCACCGATATTGATGGTCAGCCAACAGGTAAGCATGCTGAAAGCCAAAGATATGAACAAAAGAAGGGACTGATCTGACGATTTGCAAACCGCAGGCTTCCACGGATCAACGGCAGCCGAGTTCGCGGCGGGCTACGAAGCGGCGCTTTCGCTCGCCGATCCGCTGGCAATGCGTCTGCGCGCGAGGAAATCAGCAAAGAGATTCTCCGAGGAAGTGTTTGCGGAGAGGTGGCTGGCGCAGATGGACCGGCTGGTGGCCCTTTGCAAAAGGTGAAGCAAGGGGATGTATGGTTTGGCTTTCGTGTTTATTGCAGAATACTAGGTATATAGATCTAGGAGATACCCCCCCTTTTCTTTTATTCATAGACTGGTTAGCAGGAGGGTACAGGTTATAGATGTTGCCTTGAGACGATGGTATGTAGACGGGCTGAGGAGCTCTTATGAAGGGTCATGGAGAATACACAGCAGAAGTAGAGAGAGCGCGACACGTAAATAGTAGAGCAGGGATGACGGATAGCTGTCTATGTGTATTCTATGGAAAAGCTTCATGACTCTCTACTCTGTAGATGAACTGAATGCAGGCACCGGCTGTTGTCAAGGTCAAATAAGCTGCTATAGAAGAAGAAGAAATTCAACGATATTGCGCCAAAAAGCCCATGGTATCACGGCTGTATCCAAAGTCTATCCATCCATGAAATCACATCCTCTCTCCTCTTCCCCCCCTCCCCTCCAAAGAACAAACACTCGTCTATATCGTGTATCCCGCGCTATTCTTCTGCCTCGGCTCACTCGCCGCCTCAAACACCCCATCCGTAAACCTCCTCACCGCCTGCACGGAGCTCAGTCCCGGCCTCACCCACGTCACGTTATGTCCCCTCCTCTCCAGCCCCGCCGCAACCTCGTCGTCGTCAAACAATTCCTCCAAGAGGACCGTGTTGGGCATGAGCTGGTCGTGCAGGCGGGGCCTCCGCAGGGCGCCCGCGAGCGCGGCGTCGTGGCCGTCGAGGACGTGCCAGAGGACCTGGGCGGTGGCGGAGATGATGCGGGAGCCGCCGGCGGCGCCGATGGCGGCGTAGAGGGTGCCGTTGGGGAAGGCGGCGATGATGGGGGTGATGGAGGACAGGGGCCGCTTGCCGGGGCGGATGTAGTTTGCCGGGGAGGGGGCGAAGCCGAATTCGTTGCTGACGCCGGGGATGGAGAAGTCGTTCATTTCGTTGTTGCTGCGGCGATGATGAAGGACTTTGTCAGTATGTTGACGTAAAAAGGGGAAGAGGGAAGAGTGGAAGGCCGGGGGCAACGAGTAGGGGGAGAGGGGGAGCTTACAGGATGATGCCGGTCTTGGGCTCGACGATTTGGGCTCCAAAGAGGAGATTGACGGTTGTTGTGAGGGACACGGCCATGCCGGACTTGTCGGCGGCGACAATGTGCGAGGTGCCGTGGTTCTCGGGCACGTAAAAGTCATGCGGGTTGTAGTACTTTGTGGCCTGCGTCTGGTTATCCCAGATCCTCTCGTGGATGGCGTCAATGTTCTTTGGGTCCAGCATCTCCCTCTCGAAGCCGTCCACGTCGCCGTCCACAAAGGCCGGATCGCCGAGGCTGATGCGGGCGGCATATGCGAAGCGCATGGCTTCGGTGAGACGGTGGCGGGACAGGTCTTGGTCGGCCCAGTCGTCCTGGCCGTAGCGCTCCATGATCTTGAGGATCTGGAGGCTGACGGCGCCGCCGGCGGGGGAGCCGATGCCGTGGAGGGTGAGGCCGCGGTAGGTGACGTTGTGGACGGGGCGGGTGAGGACTTTGTAGTTGGCCATGTCGTCGAGGGTCATGGAGCCGCCGGTCTGCTGGACGTAGTCGACGATGGTTTTGGCTTGTGCGTGATGGATGCGTCAGTACGGCTGAAGAATAGGCCAGTCATATCTTCATATTATCCCCCTTATTGTGAGACTTACCGAGTTCTCCATTATAGAAGATGTCAGACCCCTTTTCGGAAATCTTTTCAAGGGTGCTGAAGAGATGGTGAGCACCTTATCCAAGCCACATCTGGGCAGTTTGAGAGGACGAGGAGCTTACTCTGCATAGCGCTTCCGCGTCATCCAGGAACCTTCTTTGACCAGATCGCCTGGGCAGTGTAAGTCAGCATACGAATCTCTTTGGTGGACATCATCCGCCAGCCTCAACGAACCATCAGGGGCAAAATCCGTAGCCCAGTTCGGGTCCTTGGTGAGGAACGTCTCCCCGTCGGCCTTGACCGTGTTGCCCATGTACCGAACAAGATCGCTTGAAACTGCACCACGCTTTAGCATCACACCGCTACGTCAACGCCTCATGTTGACAGTACCTCGAAATCCATTACGAGCCACGTGAATGGCGCCCTGCATGACCGTCTTCCAGGGCAGCACGCCATACTTTGTGTGCATGTACTCGAGGCCCTTGATCTCGCTGGGCACGCCGACGGCGAGCCCGCCGCGAACACTGGCGCTGACATTGTGCTTGTACATGTCCTCATAGGCCGCGGCCGGCGCGGCCTCTCGGAAGTCAATGGCCTCGTACTCGCCGTTGGCATCGCGCAGCACGGCGAAGCCTCCGCCTCCTATGCCGGAGTGATACATGCCGATGACGCCGACGCAGAACGTCGTGCCGACCAGCGCATCAACGGCATTTCCCTAGATGCGATGAAAGAGCGCGCAACAAAAAGGTTAGCTTTGCGCTGACGGTGAGTAGATAAAAGGTGGACGGGTGATGATGGAGATGGCTTCGGGTGAGATCTTAGCAAGAAGTGCTAAAAAGGCAACATACCCCTCGCGCCAGCAAATCTCGCCCTATGGCGCTGCATTCTCTGCTTTCGCTGGCGACGCCACCGAGATGCCCGGGCGCCTCTTTCTGGAAGACTATCTCCTGTATCGCGGCGGCATGGACGGTGAAGGCATGGGGGAGGGTGAGGGCCAGGAGGAGGAGAGGTGGTAGGAGGCGAGAGCCGTGAGCAGCCGCTGGTTCTAAGCGCATGTTAGACGAGCCGCGGTGTCAGGGAAAGGAAGATGGATCAAGGGAGAAAAGAGGAATAAGTCTAAGATAATGAGAATGGAATAAGGAGCAAGGAGTAGGATGGGATGATATACAAAAAAAAAAAAAAAATGAATGTACACGTAAGAAGAGATGAAAAAGACAAAAGAACCAAGGGTTGTCACTCACTCATTTTGGATGTCCGACAGAGATCAGATGGGCGGTCGGTTGTCGGGGCCGGAACATCGGCAGATGCTGCTATTAATAATGAATACCCCAGACGACAAGGCTTCAGGTACCGTATTACTCGTGTCGAAAGGGAAAGGCGGTAGTAGCAGTAATAACGAGGAGAGTATTAAGCAAGGACGTCTGTCCGTTATCGCCAGTGACGCGACTTGTCGCCTTTGCCTCGGGCCTCTTATCTAACAAGCGACTAAGTGCGGCACACGACTCACTCACTCACTCACTCACTCAGTCGCTGCATGTCACCGTCTCTGGCTGTGGTGGAGAGACGGGAAGCAAAGTCAAGATGTTGACGAAACAAAGATGGATATCCGTTCAAGTTGTTGTCTAACAGAGACCGACGAAGACGCAAAAGAACAACGAGAGTCGCTGAATGTACTATTCGGCACACGATTCCAAAGAGCCGGAACCGGATCCATCACCTCAGCCCGCCCCAGAAGCACGAAACAACTTACCTGCCGCCCTGTGGATCGTCCGGCTCCGCATTGTACATGATTCAGTAGTAGTACTACTGTATCAGTCAGTGTCACTGGGTGCTGCCAGAGCCATTCAGCAGTCTCTGGCGCCTGTCACGAGGCCATAAAGACACAAGTCATGCAGCGCCTTACATACAATACTCACTAGCGCCAAATGCTGCTAGGAATGCTCGACAAAAAACATGGCAATTATGGCCACATGCTACCTAGAAAAAAAAAGAGGCTTGAAATTCCCCTGTGACCGCTTACCTTGTCAGCCACGCCACATGTCTTATCAATGCGCCAACCAATCAGATAGCCTGGATTAGCTTCTCGTCTGCCGTCTACGGAGCAACCCCAGGGGTACTTCCCTTTCGGTAACTTTATTTTTTTTTTTCCTGGGAAAATATCTTGACGACAGGAAAATCGAACCTCATCTCCAGAAACTCGGCGCAATCGACGAGACAGTTTGGCAGGCGAATCCTAATAGCAGTCTGAATGATTGTGTAGCTGGACGGCATACGATTGTTTGCCTTTGCTCAATTGCTGCACCTCCCGCACCGTCTATCTATGAGAGCACTGATACGACCCTTGGCATCGTATCCCACCATCGCCAAGCTCGTCCTTCACCAGTGCCGGCCACGACCATCACCGACTCTCCTCCTCCGTCCATTCGCACACAAAATGGCCACCGTTGAAGCCCCCGCGGCTGCTCCAGCTGCTCCAGCCGCTTCCGCTCCCTCAACAGCCGCCCCTCAAGCCAGCAGCAGCGGCGCCAATGGCAACCGACCCAAGCGGCCGAATCCCAACAACAACAGCAGCAACAGCAACCGCAACTGGAAGCAGAAGAAGACCAAGCGGGAGAAGAACATCACCGAGGGCTCCTCGGAAGAAGTGCTGCGCTACGATATTGAGGCCCTCCTAGAATCGCGCAAGTCCGGAACCAACGGCGAAGAAGCTCCCGCCGCCGCCGACGCCGACGCGCAACAACAACAAAAGGAAGAAGAAGAAGCACTGCCGGCTGAGGGCACCGAGACCGAAGTCGAGGTCCTCGAGCTCTCCTCCACCGGCGACGGCCTCGCCATGCGGCCCGGCTCCGACCAGGTCTACGTCGTGCCCTTCACCGTGCCCGGCGACGTCGCCCGGGTCAAGGTCTTCCGGCACCTGCGCCGCGAGAAGCAGACCGTCGCCGACTTCGTCTCCGTCGTCAAGCCCTCGCCGCTGCGCGACGACGCCCGCATCAGCTGCAAGTACTTTGCCTCGTGCGGCGGCTGCCAGTTCCAGATGCTCGACTACGCCGAGCAGCTCCGCCGCAAGCGCGCCATCGTCGTCAAGGCCTTCCGCAACTTTGCCAACCTGCCGGCCGAGCTGGTGCCCGCCGTGCTCGACACCGTCGGCAGCCCGCTGCAGTACGGCTACCGCACCAAGCTGACGCCGCACTTTGACGGCCCGCCCGGCTTCCGTCCGCACAGGCGCAACAACAACAACAAGGGCGGCGGTCCCAAGCCGCACTTTGAGAGCTGCCCCGACATTGGCTTCATGCGCAAGGGCCAGCGCAAGGTCATGGACATTGAGGACTGCCCCATTGGCACCGACGTCGTCCGGCTGGGCATGAAGCGCGAGCGCGAAAGGATGCAGAAGGAGTTTGGCCAGTACCAGCGAGGCGCAACCATTCTCCTGCGGGAAAACACCCAGCGGTACGCTGTCGACGATCCCGCCGCCCCTTCGCAGGACAACCTCCCCCCTTACACCGTCCGCGCCGAGAGCGAGTTCGGCATCGACATCAAGACGTGCGAGACGGACTCCAAGGCCACCACGCACGAGTACATCCGCGACCACCACTTCACCAACCCCGCCGGCTCCTTCTTCCAGAACAACAACTCCATCCTGCCCATCTTCACAGACTACATCAAGCAGCACGTCCTGCCCCCGCCAGTAACCTCACCCACGTCCTCGTCTTCAAAAGAAGAAGTAGCCCCACCATCATCATCATCACCATCATCATCATCGGAAATCAAGTACCTCATCGACGCCTACTCCGGCTCCGGCCTCTTCACAATCACCCTGGCCTCCGTCTTCCAGCACTCCACGGGCATCGACATCGCCGCCGACTCCATCGCCTCGGCGCGCCAAAACGCCGCCCTCAACGGCCTCGGCGAGGACCGCTGCAAGTTCATCGCCGCCGACGCCGGCGAGCTCTTCAAGAGCGTCGAGTACAACCCCGATCAGACCACCGTCATCCTCGACCCCCCGCGCAAGGGGTGCGACGCCGACTTCCTCGGCCAGCTGCGGCGCTTCGGCCCCAGGAGGGTCGTCTACGTCAGCTGCAACGTGCATACGCAGGCGCGCGACGTCGGTGTCCTGGTCAGGGGCGAGGGCGAGGGGAGGAGATATGAGATTGAGAGCTTGAGGGGCTTTGATTTCTTTCCTCAGACGGGACATGTCGAGGGCGTTGCCGTGCTGAACAGGGTTGAGAATTAGCAACATGTATAGAGTTGAATAATCATTGACATGACATCACGAATATGAGATCGTCAGGTTTCTGTCATGGCTTCAAGGTGCATACTGCTTCATCGAAATGTAGAGGAAATCATACGTGAATATAGCACGGAGAAGAGGACAGAGACCAAGGCAAAGAAGAAACAAGAGCTCGCGGGAGAGATTCAATTGCTGCCAAAATTGCTATATGCCCTGATGGCTGTAAAGCAGGCGTAAAAGAGCTAAACGATATCAGTAGGTAAGCAGAGGAAACGGCTGGCATCCCTCCGCAAGTGGCTCTACTCCTGACCCAGAATTGCCTTCAGAGTCTCAACCGTAAGCTGCACAACTTCTGGCCTGCGGCTCATCTTCAAAGACTCCTTGAGCGCCTCGACGCCGCCCACCTCCTTGACCTTTTCCCTCGCAAGCTGACACACTTGCGCATCCCCGGCGACCATGTTGTACATCGAAACCACGCCTCTATGGCGCAGCCCTTCGTCCTCATCTGTGCACATGCGCAGAAGCACCTCGATGCCCCCTTCTCTCTCCAGCACCAGTTTCGCAACGCTCTCGTAGCCTGTGAGAGAGGCCAGAGCGCCGCCGGCCGCGCTGCGTGTGCCGTCGTCTTCGGCGTCCGCCAATGCGAGGAGGATGTGGATTCGGTTCTTGGCTTGCGGGTTGCCGTCCGCATAGAGCGCTATGCCTTCTGGTGCCTGCATCAGGTTGCACACCAGCTCGACGGCCGCTTGGGACACGCGTGCATTCGAAGACAGCATCTGTTCCTCAATTTGGTTCCACGCGATGCTTATAATGGAGCGAGGAATGTCCGGATCACTCATGGACGCCAGGTTGGTGAGTGCCATGAGGGCTTCAAACGTCGGAAGCAAGTCTCGTCGGTCGGCCGCGGGATCGGGGGGCAGAATCGAAGCCAGGGGCCGGATGGCAGCATTGACTGGGTTTGAGCGATTGCCTCCAAAGACGAGGTTAGGATCGGTGCTGATGAGGATGCGGGCGATTGCTTGCGCGGCCATGTTGCGGCCCGTCGTCTCGGTTTCCGGAAGAGTTGCCCACGCCGTCAGCAGCAGCTTGATGGCTCCCTGTTGAGCCAGCGGGCCACGGAGGGCTTTCGTCATGGAAAATGAGTGGATGATGGATACGATCGTTGAGAGTGATCTTGTAGACCCGGTCTTGCTGTGCGTGACAAGAACAGGCGTGAGACCGGCCTCAAAGACGGCCTTGCACCTCTTGGTGACGTGCTCGTCATCATCCAGGACGTCCGGCTCAGCCAGTTTGCCCGCTGCGTCGGCGTAGGCCTTGAGTTGCGACATCTTCTTCTCCTCTTCAGTAAGAGAGGGTCGGTATCGAGTCAGGTTGAGAAAGATGCTGAGAAGCCCATAGGTCATCGGGGATCGAGGAGGTGCGTCCTTGAGCGTTGTGACGAGCTTCTTGAGCAGCTCGGGATTGTTGACAATGGATTCTTTAATCTTTGGTTGCAAGGATGCATAGGCAAGACCTTCTATAGAATGCTGCTTTCCGTCACTCTCGTCACGCAGAATCATCTTGGTAAACATGCCGGATAAATCTTCAATGCTCGTTACCGCCGCATCCACCCTGGGTTGATTCGGATCGCTCGTGTTCGGGTTTGGTGGCACAGCCTTCATTCTAGGTCAGTCAGCTATTAACAACCATCGTCTAAGGAGGAAATAAAGAGCCTTTGGTCTCTCACCCTAAGTTTGGCCAGAATGACAGCGGCCAAGTGCCGGACCTGCTCCGAATGCTTCCGCATGTTGACGGAGCCGCCCTCGCTATGAACATTGGGTTCCGAATTCATGCTGCGGACCTCGCCGTCCAGATCCTGGTCAACCACCTCCTCGAGCCACTCGACGCAGTACTTTTGTATGGCCTCTCGACACGCAGCGTTCATGCAGGAAGCGTTGAGCATCTCCAGGCAGGCCGTTTCGACCTTTCTGCTCTTCCACTTCCTCCTCATCAGCGGGCCGAGCGAGACGAGGAAGCCCTCGTTGAGGAAGAGCTCGGCGGAGACATCCGGGACGATGGGGAAGATGGCCGCCGCCACACAAAATGCCACAATGTAGTCGTCGTATGTACCCCTCTTAACGCGGTCAAAGAAGAAGGCAGACAGCCTCTCGCGGCCTTTCTCGCCCGCGGCCCTCAGGTAGGCGGAAGTCGTCAGAGTGGCATGGCCCCTGACAACCTCTGGCTGGCGCATGTCGAGATAGCACAGGATGGTGTCGACGCAGTCGCCGTCAATGAGCTTGCAGATGGACTCGTGGTTCTTGTCCTTTTCCTGGGCGTCGGCGTCGTCGTTGAGCAGCTTGGTCAGCCCGTCGAGGTCTCTGCAGGTCTCCTCATCCTCCTGGCCGCCTTCCATCAGCCGCGCAAAGATGAGCAGCGTCTGGTCCTCGAGAGACGCGGCCGGCTCCGAGTTGTGAAGGGTCTCGGCCATGCTTTGATCCGGAATAGGATGGCGATGTAAGTATGGTGACCTCAGGGTTCTGGATGCATGAAGCAAGTCGAAGGGAGAGAGATATTTCCTGTCGATAACGAGTGGATATATGTCCGGTGCAGGCTGGCGGCTGCTTTTGGTGGTCTGCGGCAGTCGAGTGAAGAAGAGGCGTGGGATGAGATGGAAGCGATGCTGGCTGATGATGCGGGCAGGTGGGAGGTAATCGAGTCAACAAGAACGTCACAGGGTCGTAGCTTCGTAGCCGAGCAGAGTGATGAGATCGGAAGGAGGATATGAGCTGGATTGGTTGCAATGCAATACCTAGTAGGTAGGAGGAGGAGTATGAGAAGGAGAAGAGTAGATAAGGTACTCGTAACAGACGGGAAAAGGAACGAAAAAGAAGCTTGAAGCCTTGCGTCCCACTTTGACGGCAGTGGGAGTTCAATGCTCAAAACCCCACCTGCTGCCACCCTCTGGCGTCACCGTCGGTGTTAGTGCTGCTAGTCGCTGCTGGTGCCGCTGTTTGACGACCAGTCATGGTGCCTGGAATGCCACCAAGAACGTACTGCCGAGTCCTTGATGCACCCGACCTATGTAGTGCTGCAATTGGGCTCAAGCTGGGGGGTGCCGATTGCGCTGAAGACGGGTAAGAAACGCCGTAAGCTCTCAGGTACCGCATCAGCCCAGGGCGACATCACCGTGCTACAACGCACTCGAATCACCTATGTGACGAGGTAAATACTAGTAGGTACTAAGTAAGGTAAGATAATTGACAATCGTTTGTGAGGAGGTTCATACCTGACTCATTCCCTGAAGATATTACCTATCAAGATATACTACCCCTAGTCAGCGCCTCGCGGCTCCGAGACCCCCATCTTCACCTCAGGCCCAGCGTCCGACTCTACATAGAGGTCACCCAACCCGCAGTCAATATAAGGTAGCGAAAGACGCAATCACTCTCTTGTCCGCTATCATCGCAGAGTCGTGGGCTTTTTCTGCAATGACGAAAGGCGTCCTTGGGGATCTGCAGGCTTAAACAGAGCTTCTCCTATTGGTCAAGGTGAGTTCAGTCTGTACCTTACAAGGTTTCATGTATGAATTATTCAACCATACCTTATCAACGCCTTCGCCTTGTGTTCCAATTTCCATGATACTTTAATGTCTCACGAATCCCGTCCCAAGTTGCATGAGCACCAGGTCTATTTGTGAAAAACTACCAAGGTACCAATTAATACTTCCATTGACTCCAGTTCATGCCAGTTCACGACGGTTACATGCATCCGTGTACCTATCCCATCACGTGCCTTGGCGTTTTCTCCACCATCAAGAGCCGTGTCATCCTTGTCGCCCTTTTTTTCCACCTTTCAGCCTTGTCAATGACGGAGCTGCGCCGTGCAGCTGCTAGCCTCCGTCTCTCCAACTCTGGCTAGCGAGGCCACGCCCGCTCATGTCATGCCAATTCTCGCTCCTCGATATCCGGCAATGCCTCGTTGATCTATAGCTTGTCTGTTTCTCTTGTACAATTCTTCTTCGTCGAACGGATAATCACCTCTCGTCGTCAGTTCTCTCGTGCATATATCCCCCCAGTGCCCACTCATCCTCGATCGAACGATTCCCACACACACGACCACCACCCAGCTCCTCCGCGTCTCTGACTTAAACAACCAATTCTTTTCCACTCCTTCTTCTTCTTTCTCCTCCTCCTCCTCCCCATCCTCCTAACTTGACCTCGTAGCTGTCTCCGAAAGTCAAAAGCCCACGCCATGGACGCCGTCGACGTCTCGGAGCACTACGAGGTCACCGCGGCCGACAACTCCCCCTCCCTCCTCTCCATCGTCCTCGACACCAACCCGCGCGCCTGGGCCGCCCTCGACTCCTCCCTCTCCCTCGCCCAGGCAATCTCCAACATCCTCGTCTTCGTCAACGCCCACCTCGCCTTCAGCAACGCCAACCAGGTCGCCGTCATCGCCGCGCACGTCAATCGCGCCGTCTGGCTCTATCCCGCCCTCCAGCATCCCTCCTCCACGACCGTCAAGGACAACTCGGGCGATGTGCAGATGCACGACGCCTCGGCAGAGACAAGTCTCCCGCCGCCATCAGCAAACAAGTACCCCCAGTTCGCGCAGATCGAATCCTCCGTCTTCTCCTCCATCCAGACCCTCATGGCCGAGACCACCGTCCAGGACCTCGACCAGTTGACGACACAGCTCTCGGGCGCCCTGACCCTCGCCCTCTGCCGCATCAACAAGGCCGCCCAGGCCCTCAGCTCATCCGACACCACGCTCTCCAACGCAGCCCCCGTCAACGCCACCGCCCCGCCTCCCGTCAAGGGCCGCATCGTCGTCGTCTCCGTCTCCGACTCCGACCCGTCCCAGTACATCCCCACCATGAACGCCGTCTTCGCCGCGGCGCACAACCAGGTCGCCATTGACACCATTTCTCTCGCCGGCGACTCGACCTTTCTCCAGCAGGCATGCTTCAACACAAACGGCATCTTCCTCAAGGCTGCCAACCCGAGGGGCCTGCTGACCTACCTCATGTTCGGCCTGATTCCCGACACGGAAGCGCGCGCGTCCCTCATCACGCCGACCCACGACACAGTCGACTTTCGAACTGCCTGCTTCTGCCACGGCAAGGTCGTCGATACCGGCTACGTCTGCTCTGTCTGCCTCAGCATCTTCTGCACACCGCCCGACAACGCTGAATGCCTCACCTGTGGCACAGTTCTTGCGCTGGGCAACTACGGCGCTAAGCCCGCCGTCTTGCCTCGGAAAAAGAAGAAGAAGAAGAAGATTGCCAACGGCAGCGGGCGAGAGGAGACGGGCAGCGCGACGGGGACGCCAAGGCCGTGATTCATGGGTCGGGCTGCTGGAAACCTCTGTATATCGGGGGGAGCAGAGGAAGAGGAATCAGAAAAGATAGCAGACATTTTGTGATTATATGAAGGAGGGCTCTTTTTCGACATCTTGTAAAGTTGGAGCTGCCCATCGAGGAGTAGGCAGTTGCGCATGGATACCCAAGCGGGATGGAGATGAAACATCACTCGAAGTTGACTCGGCACCAGGCTCTAAGTGCAAGGATATAGAGTTCAAAAAAGAGATATCTATAGGGATAGAGGAGGATAATCGCTGCTCGACTATCATACAACAAGATTACAAGGTAAAGACATGAGGTGGAATCATAAAAGAGGAATAGGGGTGAGGAGGATGAGACAGAAAGGCCCTAAATGACAACAACGCCAGTGTATGTATATGTGTATCCCCCTTCAGTGCTGTCAAAGTGACGGGTTATTCGAGCCAATGCACCCTCCGACCTGCTTTACCGTGTTTACCGTGACATTGCTCCCCAAACACAAAACGCCCTCAACCCCCTTGGCTGGCTCGTTATTCCAGTCGAACCTTACGCCCGCCTTTGGCAATCTTAGCACCGTCCGGGAGCCTCGACATTACACAGCGCGGCTCTCTCTCCAGACCGCCCATGGATGCCAGGGCAAAGGAGTCTGTGTTGTGGGCAAAGTAGAGGTAGTAGCCGTTGCGGTTCTTCTTGACGGCCATGATGCCAATGGCGCCTGCGGAATGGCAGTTCTTGACCCCCGGGTGGTCCATAAAGTCCTTAGCTATGAAAGATTCCATAATGGCATCTTCGTCGTCGTCCTGGACGTCGATGCCAGAAGGGCCTCGGCGCGTCCCATGGTAGAGACGCTCGGCGCACCTCTGGGATGCCATTGTGGTGGCCATGTGTTCCCCCGTTCCGCTTGTCACGGCCGCGACGGTGAGACTGTCGGTGTCATCCTCGGCGCAGGGTACTACGGCTGTCCCGATGCCGACCAGGGCAGCTGGTCCAAGGCGACCTCGATGCTTCATGCCGATACCGCCAGATGAGGATCCCGCTGCAATGTGGCCCCTATCGTCGATTGCAATCGCACCAATAGTGTCCGTGACCAAATCCTCTCTGGAGCTATCAGACTGGAATCGGCGCTTTGCCGGCTGCGTTTTCGAATCTTTGTTCTCGTTCGATATGCTAAGCGGACGCTTAAGACCGCGGATACTTACTGCAGCGGAAGCCACCTCTTGATCTTGATCACCGTCGGACTCGTCCGACTCTCCGTAGAGCTCGTCGAAATATTCGCCCGGAGGCTTTACCTCGTCAACGTCGGTTGCTTCGTGATTTCGCCTTGGATTAGCCTGGTCTCGGGCGGCGTCGGCGCTCACTCCGTTATCGCCATTGCCCTGGAAGGTGTTGGGGTAGTGGCGTCTCGGACCTTTGGCAGATGAACCATAAGCCAAGTCGCCAGTCGCAGCCGTAGGTGCTCCATACATGAGCACTGCAGGGATTGACCGCGGAGACGGTCGGGACACAGATTTCGGGGGAGAGGCGAGAGCGCGAGCATACGTTGTTGGATACACCGGAGGATCGGAAACGTTGATTGCGTCGGACACTGGCGTGCCGACATATGGAGAGTCTGGCTGGCCCTCGTTCCAAGTGCCCGCCATAATGGCTGCAGTATGGTCGCGCGGAAAGATCCTATGAGGGTCCGGTACCGCCATGGTGTCATACTGGCATGGAGCGCAGCCCATGTTCATCTGGCCAGCAGAGCCGGCCCTGGACTCTCTGGACTTCATCTCGGCTCTCTTCAGGTCCTCCTGCCACCGTAGAAAGCGATCCCTGGAGTTTCTGGACACGAGATACTCGTTGGCAAACGTTGCCATGCCGTGCTCCTCGGCGAAGCTTCGTGCTCCTTCGCCGACGAGGGCATTGGGAGGGACCCGGCGGAGGCTCAGGGGTTTGTTGCTTGTGTCCAAGATGAGTTTTGCCAGCGAGATGGGATTCCGAATATCTATCACCAGTCTGGTTAGTTGTAATTGTCGTCATATTGTGCAGGTCCAACGGATAGCAGTATAACTCACTTGGAACAGCTCCGCAAGCACCACTGCGTCCTAGATGGTCAACAATGGTCGCATCACATTCGACTGTGCCGTCAATGGACAGGTTGGACCCGTAGCCTGCATTGGTAATCTCTTTATCCTCGAGGATCCGAAGAGCGACCTCGACGGCTTCGGTGGCAGTGGCGCCGGCTTTGAGGAACTTCATGCCCATCTCGCAGGCCCTATGGTGCAGACAGGTCAATAAATGCGAGGCGCATGTGCAGTCGAGAGGAAAGGCAACGGCTCAGGAAGAAAGCAAGACGCCGATAGCAAGGAAGGAAAGGAATGCCTTACGCAACGCAGGCCTCGAGGTGGACATGCTCGTTTTGGTGGCTATGGAAGCCCGCTCCAGCATGGATAAAGATTGCCGGGACACACTTGGGTTGTTTCTGGTTGAGGCCGAGAACACGATCGAGTGCACCGTCAGTTCCATAATCGTGTTTCGCCATCACGGGGGAAACTTCATCATTGTCACCACCACTGCTCATGCTTTGGTCAACCCGTGGATGTAGGCCTCCGGAGTCAAAATATGTTGAAGAGATCTGCCAGGCAGCCGGTCGGGAAACGAGGGACGCGGTACTGATATAGCGGCCAGAGAGGAGCGGGAGAAAGGCGGACTAGGGCTTGATAAACCCCTTGGAGAGGAAATAAAGAGTGAAAGAATGAAACGAGAAGATGGATCTAGGAGGCGATGGGGGTTTTTTGTCCCTTTGAGGAGCGTGCAAGAGACCCTTTGGCTGTCCAGCACTGGCCAATGCCACCGCCTTTTGTTCTGCCAGCCCTCGGACCGCAGTCGCCCTGTGGCCAGAGACAACCGAGAAAAATGCTGCGAAAGAAAGGCGTCACGACGAGCCCCTCGAGGTGCCCAAAGCCGGAGCTTCTATAAATATTCAACGGGTCCGTGAAGAGGGCAGGCGGGTTCTAGAAGAATGGCGATAACGAGGCCAAAGCGGTTAAACAGTGATGATGGATGCCGCAACAAAGCAAGGCAGTGACTTGATGGCGCATGATACGGACATGAATTCGCTAGGCGACACCTTCCTTGTTGTCAATGGCGATGCTTGACGTTTGTGTTGGATCTGGCAGAGGTGACGGTTTGTGTGGCCTGTTCCTCTGCACTGTTTCTTTCATAGGTAGTTCGGATTGGCCTGGAAAACTCTTGCTCTGTTCAGCAAAAGACGACCTGGACAAATGAGTGGTGATCCGGTCATGCATGAGAGGGCATTCATTCACTGATGAGGAAGCTGACGCTTAGCGAGAAATATGGCAAGCTAAAAAGAGAAGAAAGGAAAGTCAATAGAGCCCGTCGTAAGAAATAGCAGAAAGCCCGCGCTGATGCTGGCCAGATACCGGCTCGCGCATCTCCAGGTTTAGAAAGATACAAAGAAGAGAAGGCGAAGCTATTCGCAGCCCTTGGTGCATGACGTCGGGCCAGTTGCACGTTCTGGAAGCTCCCCACAGCCGCCCCCTTAAGCCCATAACCCCGGCCTTGCGGTCGCCGGCGGGGCTGGTGAGATTCGTCAGTGGCATCAACTGGAGCTGCTCCCCCATGGCGCTCTGTTTTAGCGGTCGCCCTCACTAATACCCGGTGCCTAACGAACACCTGGGCACTGGACAGGACTGGAGTGGTCAGCACGTTACGTACCTCCAGTCGTGTATCCGCCTTCTCCCCACTCGGCTGTCCCTGCTAGAGTCCAGCTGTCGAGCCATCCGTTGCTTTGCTGTGCTCTCCCGAACTTGCAACCATCTCCAAGCTTGCAGTCACCGTCACCGTCACGAGTCTGGGAGGGTCTGCCTGTGCTGCCGGCACCTTCTGCAATCATGGCGAACCAAACTCCCGCCGTTGTCATGGACAAGTAAGAAGCCACCGCCTGCTCTCCTGTTTCCCCCCCCCCCCTCTGTCCTGTTTACCCCCCCTCTCCTCTCCTCTCCTTTAAACGGACGCCTCCCCTCGACTGCCTCCCCGTGACGAATTCTGGGCTCAAGGTTGCTAACTCAAGGCTCTCGCAGCGGCACGGGCTTCTCCAAGCTAGGTACCATCTCGCCCGTCTCTACCTCACGTCCGAAGAACAGACCCCGACTGACATGTGCTCGTTCCCCCTGCCAGGATTCGCCGGAAACGACTCCCCTTCGTTCGTCTTCCCGACCGCCATTGCGACCAAGTCCGGAGCTGGTGGGGGCACCGGAGGCACGGGTTCGGGTCGTCCGGCCGTTGCCAACAAGCCCTCGTTCCTCACCGGAGGAGCTGGTCCCAGCGGCCACCTGAGTGCAAAGCGCGGAACCGAGGACCTGGACTTCTACATCGGCGATGAGGCCATTAGCGCCGCGGCCGGGCCCGGATATGGCCTGCATTATCCCATCCGCCACGGCCAGATTGAGAACTGGGTATGCGTCTCGGGGGAGCACGAGATCAAGAGGAGACAATGGGGTCTAACGGGCATATAGGACCACATGGAACGCTTCTGGTCAAACTCCATCTTCAAGTACCTGCGAGTCGAGCCTGAGGACCACTACTTCCTCCTCACCGAGCCTGTACGTGTCCCGCAAATCAACCCCCCAGGGCTGGATTGGTGAGGCGAGGAGCCCTGAGTTGCTAACGGTTGGTAGCCGCTGAACCCTCCCGAGAACCGCGAAAACACGGCCGAGATCTTCTTCGAGTCCTTCAACTGTGCCGGAATGTACATTGCCGTGCAGGCTGTTCTTGCTCTGGCGGCTTCGTGGACCTCGTCCAAGGTCTCGGATCGATCGCTGACGGGTACCGTCATCGACTCCGGTGATGGCGTCACCCACGTCATCCCCGTGGCTGAAGGATATGTCATTGGATCCTCAATCAAGTCGATCCCCGTCGCCGGCAGAGACATTACCTACTTTGTGCAATCGCTCCTCCGAGACCGTGGCGAGCCTGACTCGTCTCTGAAGACCGCCCAGGAGATCAAGGAGGAGTACTGCTATGTCTGCCCGGACATTGTCAAGGAGTTTGCCCGCTACGACCGTGACCGCAGCCGCTTTGTCAAGCACGTGGTGACGCAGCCCGGTGGCCGCCAGGTCACGGTCGACGTCGGCTACGAGCGCTTCCTGGCCCCCGAGATCTTCTTTAACCCGGAGATCTACACGTCAGATTTCCTGACGCCGCTGCCCGTGGTTGTGGACGGCGTCATCCAGCAGTCGCCCATTGATGTCCGACGAGGCCTGTACAAGAACATTGTCCTGTCTGGTGGCAGCACGCTGTACAAGGACTTTGGACGGCGATTGCAGCGAGACATCAAGCTGCTTGTGGATGCCAGGATCCAGGCCAGCGAGCAGCGCAGCGGAGGAGCCCGCAGCGGCGGAGTGGACGTCCAGGTGATTACGCACAAGAGACAGCGACACGGCCCCTGGTTCGGCGGCAGCCTGCTTGGCCAGACGCCCGAGTTCCGCTCCTACTGCCACACCAAGGCTGAGGTATGTGACGATTCGCCCCATTGGGATCAGTTGATGATGGCAATGACACTGACAAATGATATAGTACCAAGAATACGGACCCAGCATTGTGCGAAGATTTGCTCTTCTTGGCGGTCCCGGCGGTTCATAAAAGGGGCGGATTGGTCATGGGTGGGAGGATCATGAGGAGGGGCGGGGTGACTCCGTAGAATTTAGTAAGATGATTTTTGCCCGGAGAACTGCATTATATACACATGTATCTGCTCGATGCCAGTAGTCTCATTGTGCATTTTCACTCTAGTGAGTTGTTGTCCGTAAGGTATGGATGATCTTGAATTGCTTTGAGACTACCTAGGTAGTAGTAAGGTTGAATACTACCTAGGGTGAAATACGGCAAGATTGAGCGAGACAACTAGGGTCTGGTGGAAGCCATATTGTCATTATTATTTCACTGCACGTAAGGGAGTTGACAGTATTTCATCTCATATCTCATTAAACAAGAAAAGATCTGCTCATCGCATTGTAGTTGTACATCTTTCATCGTCATCTCATCTCATCATCATGTGTATCCGCAAACCAACCGACCAACCCACCAACCAACCCACCAACCAACCAACCCAGCTCCCTACCACCAGCTCATGCTCCCAATTCGCCCGCATTGATAACTCAACTCAATCTCACTTTTCAGCTACGCCCCTGTACAAAGTATATCGAGAATGCGCGAACCGTTCAAGAAGCAAAAAGAGAAATAGAGAAAAAGACACAAAAAAAAAAAAAAAAAAAAAAAAGAGAGAATCAATTGCCACCCCCTTTTTTTCTTTATCTCGTAGGATCGACAACGTAGCGGCCGGCAATCTTGGCCTCGTGCATGAGTGTGTAAATGTCCTGCAGCTGGCTGAGGCCAATGGTCTTGAAGGGGACGGTGATGAGGCCGCGGCGGAAGAAGTCGAGGGCCTCCTGGGTGTCGGCGCGGTTGCCGACGTAGCTGCCCTTGATGGTGATCATGCGGATGACGGTGTCGAAGACGGGGGCGCTGAGCCTGGCGCCGGCGGGCAGGCCGATGCAGACGAGGACGCCCTTTGAGCGCAGGTACTCGGTTGCCTGCTGGAAGGGCTTCTCCTGGGCGGCGACGAGGAGGGCGGCGTGGGGGCCCTCGCCGTCGACGGTGGCGGCGCGGACGTCGGCGACGAGGTCCTTGCTGGTGGAGAAGTCGACAAAGGCGGAGGCGCCGAGGCGCATGCACAGGTCGCGCTTCTCGTCGCCGGCGTCGATGGCGATGGAGCGCAGGCCCATGGCTTTCGCGTACTGCAGGGCGATGCTGCCGAGGCCGCCGCCGGCGCCGACGACGGCAATGGTCTGGCCGGGGCGGGCGAGCGACTCCTTGAGGCCCTTGTAGACGGTGATGCCGGCGCACAGGATGGGCGCGACGCTCTCGAGGTCGCACTCCTTGGGGATGCGGGCGACGTGCGCCGCCTTTGCGATGGCGTACTCCTGGAACGTGCCGTCGACGGTGTAGCCCGACAGCAGGGCCTTGTGGCACAGGGGCTCGTCGCCGTTCATGCAGTAGTTGCAGCTGAGGCACGACCCGTTGAGCCACTTGATGCCGGCGTAGTCGCCAATCTGGATGTCCTTGACGAGCTCGCCGCGGGCGACGACGACGCCCGCGCCCTCGTGGCCGCCGACCAGGGGCAGCTTGGTGTCGAGCGGCCAGTCGCCCATCATGGCGTGGAGATCGGTGTGGCAGACGCCCGAGTACTTGATGTTGACGAGGACCTCATCGGGGCCGGGCTTCTGGACGGGGATTCTCTTGTAGACGACGGCTGGGGAGAGGAGAGTTGTGTGTTAGCTTGGGGTAGGTTGAATGCTGGATGTTTGAAGGGGAAAAGGGGGGGAGGAGGCGTACGTCCGCCGGTCTTTTCGACGACCTGCGCCCACTGTTCAGAGGGGATATCGATGCTGCCCATGATGGATGATGGCTGTGGTTGTTCTGTTTAAGATTGTGTGGGGTCGAGTGGTGTCGAGAGTCTTCAACTTTTGTTGTGCTGTGTCAAGTCTGTCTGTAGGGCAGAGACGAGGAGGATTGATGATGGCGAGAGTCGAGTCTGGAGAGACAAGATGAAGGAACATCTCGAGACAACAACACGAGGCAGACAGCAGCCTTTATACCTCTCAATGGTATCAAAAGCCATTTTCAGCTACCTACCTCACACACATGGGAGTAGTAATAGGTACAACCACACAACAGGCGGAGGTGATATCATGGCCGGCTCAATTGATACGAAGCAAAAGTCTCGTCCGTTTCAATTCTCCGTCTTTCGGCTGGGCGGAGCTCGTCCTGACAAGCCCCCCCATGATTGGGTGGCTGCCTCTTTTTCGCCTGGACAACGGATGCCGTGACTTGATTTTCTGTGGGCAACCAGCCAAAAAGCCGCACCGGAGTCTGTCGATTGTCCGGGCCAGCCAGCAAGAAGCGAGGCAGAGAGATGAAGCGAAGTTGGAGGTGGTCTATCGAGCACGGCTAAAGGTATGGAACGGCTCGGAGGAAGCAGACCTGGAAGCAGGGAAGGCAACGGCGCCTCTACCGGCTTACAGGGGTCTCAGAGGCCTGTGCTGTGCTAATCGTGCACTGGATTGGATCGCTATAGAACTGGAGGTACCAGCGGGGGCGCTAGGCTAGGGCGGTTGAGCTGCAGGCGAATGTCATGCCATGTCCTGTGTCATGCCATCTGATCAAGCCATGATGGAGACCATCAGATGCTCCAAAGCAAGCCACTTTTTCATCCTTCCCATGTCTTGTCGTTTTGGCGTGTTGGGGCGGTTGAAGATGTTTCCGTGCTGTGGTAGGTATCTTTGTTGCATCATGCAGGATTCATTTAAGGCGTATCTATCACATACTGTATTGTATGATGGGCAGTGAGCACGTCGTCGTGTTATCGTGTCGTCACCATGTAAGTTGCTCCTCTTTTCTCATTGTTTGCAGCAAACATGACGACTCAATTGATATCTACCTAAGGTACTTCGTATCTGGGTAGTGTAAAAGACTGGCGTATCTGTACAGTAGCATTGCCCTCTCCGTTCAGGTGATGGCGCAGGTCAAAACACCAACATCTGCATCTTCATGATTCATTCCCCCCCGTCTCCAGCTCACAAGCACGACCATCCAACGTATGTATTTACGTCGCTCTGCAAGTGGAGATGATACACGCATACGTGAGAATGGCTGTGCTGCAGCGACTCAGCTTCGTGTAGATCCGTCCATACATACATCCTACAGCAATGAGGAGAAGCAACGACGAGAGCCGAGTGGTGCGCAACACTAGGTTCAATGGAACCGGTGGCGTCCCAAGCTTGGCTTCAACCCAGCCCCCCCGAGCTGTGAATGTGAAGCAATTCATACTGGCTGGCTGGCTGGCTGGCTATCGCATGCAGCACACGCACTGCAATGACATGTACAACAGCCCTCGTCCAATGGCAACCAAGCAAGGGAGACGGGGCTTCCTTTTAGATGCGTCACTACGGAAAGCCACCGATCCAGCTCAACTTCACTTGATACGGGTATTACGCAGGCTACCTACGAAGACACAGATTGAATGCTGAGCGGCAAAACGGGCAAAAGTGGGTTCCTCCCCCTTGGTGTGAAGCGGAGGCGGGATGGAGATGAATCCGGGGATGAGTGGAGATGGTATTATATCAGTTGTCACAGAGGAGGAGGAGGAGGAGGAGGAGGAGAAAGGAGGAGGAGCAAGCTTTGAATCTCAGCGTGTGTGGGGTTGGGACGAGATCGAATGGAGGCAAAGGCACCGACATGGCCGATGCTTGAGGTGGCAGCATGGGGGTTTCCGTGATAGTCGTAGTAATAGTATGCGGCTGCCGGCTCACCTTTGCATCGTGCCATGGGGGCTACGATTACCCCAGGTTGTCCGTGTGACCGGAGGCAGTCCATTGCCTCTGTGACGTATTACCTGTGTGATATACCTCGTCGGGGGTGACATCTCGACGTTCAGGGTTTGTATCTTAGGTATGTAGTCAACTGATACAACAAATGGCTATGCTATGTATAGATAGAGCGTCAAATAGTTGACTGACAAGTGAACAACATTACCTTAGCCTCCATCATAACCAGATCACATCCCGTGTTAGTTCAAGTTAGAGGAGCGAGAGATAGTAATAGTACCTCAGCAACACTGCCTAGATAGCTGCCTAACGATAACCATCCCCATCAATCATCGACACCAACAACATCCCAGCGACTATCATTACCCCATACTTCTGTCTCCTCATGCCTTCATCCCCCGTTCCGCCGATAGATGCGGGACTCGATAGTACATAGCAAGCTCCTTCGCTCGAACGGATCACCACTTCGATGCCTCCCCCAACACAAGCCCTTCACGGGAGGCGCTTCCCCGGACCCGTTGACTAGCCCTCTCTCGTTTTTAGTCTGGATCTCATCTACCCTGTTCCTTTTGCTTTTTCCGGCCTTTTTACGTACTGCGTCTATCCTGCCTTTTTCCCTTGTGGAATCCGGGGAAGGATGCGTCCACCGACGGGACCAACACACCGTCCCACTACCCTGTACTACTACTACGCCAAATGTAAAGAAGGCGTCAATGCTTTGTCTCAGAAACCCCTCCAAGCCCGGCTCTACGGAGGGCCAGATTGGATCTACTAGATGCGGGGAAAAAGAAGAGGCGTGAATCTGGGCCTAGAAGCTGGTGCCTAGTGCAGGAGGCTTGCGGGAATCTGAGGAAGAGGAAGAGATGATTGCTGTGATGACCAATAGTCGTGTCCGGATAGATCTACTCGATCTGGTCACATACTAGCACCAGGGGCCATCGTCGCAGAGATTTGCCCGTCTTAGCATTTCTTGGAAAGATGAAAGGCGGTGGGAGCTGCAATACAAGTGGACGAGGTTGCTACCACCTGGTCTCGGCTTGCTATGCGGGCCGTTACCTGCTCGAAGCTGAGTTCTGGGAATATACGCCGTTCTACATCTCCTCCCTCACAGGTTGAGGAGGACCCTTGGGTCCGAGCCTTTCGACCGGAGTCTGCTTCTTGGACCTCCTGATTGAATCCTTTGTTCTCCATTCGACCCCAGAAAAAGAAGAGACAAACAGACAAAGGAGACAAGCATGTTCGTCTGAAATCTGCAGACCATGGTCCCCTTCTACCAAGAACTACGGACTTGAGAACTCCAAAAGAAGCCATTACTTGAAGTCCAAAAGGAGGCATTATTTCGTTATTGAAAAGGAGACGAAGCGCTGAATCGGTTGAACAAAATAGGAAAAGGAAAAAAAAAACAAGTGTCTTCTCCCGCTCCCCTCTCCGTCACCTTGTTGTCCCTTGTCGCGACTTTATTCTCCCTCCCGCTCTGCAATTCCGAAGGCTTATTTTTATCTTTTGCTCTAATATGCACAAACAGAACCCGTCCCCTACACAGATACCTCGACAGACTGCGGCACGCCGTCGGCCGTCGCCGAGTTGATCTTCTTGCCCGTCTTGGCAATCTTGGTCAGGACCGTCTCGTAGGGCAGCGCGGTGACGACCTTTGCGGTCTGGTTGTCGAGGGAGACTTCGTAGCTTTCGACGCCTGCGAGAAAGAAAGAAAACCAACCGAGTCAGTGCTGTGTTTTTCTTTGGAGGGGGAGGGGCGCAGACAGTGCTCCTACGGCATGACGGAGGAGAGAGAGGGAGAGAGAGAGGGGAGGAGAGGAGAGGAGAGGGGAGAATGATTGTTCAAGAACGTACCCTCGAGCTTCTTGAGGACTCGGTCGATGGCGCCGGAGCAGCCGCCGCAGGTCATGGTGACGTTGAACTCGTAGGTGTGCGTCTCAGACATGTTGTCTATATTTCTCTTGTCTATGATTGTTCTTGTTTTTTTTTTTATTTGGCTTGTCGTGTCGACGTGAGGTGTAGCTGTTGTTGTTGTTGTTGCGACGAAGAAAGTAGGAGAAGCGAGGTGATGCGCTAGATTTGAGAGTGGTCGGTGGAAATGCCGTTAGACTTGATAAAGTGGTTTGTAATAGGTATGGGATTGGATGCAACAAAAAAGAGAACAAAGGGGTGACCCTCTTGTCTCTTATAACGAGGCAGAGAAGGCTGACTTACCCGATGACAAGACACGGAGTCGTATTAATAATATGCTCTCTCTCTCTCTCTCTCTCTGTATTTGTTTGTATTCTAATATATCCTGGGTAAGAAAGGATGTAGAGACATCAGCTTGTTGCTCTCTCGTCACCACCGCGCGAATTGCGCCACACCCCAAAGTGTCCAAAAAAGGGCGTCCAGGGGGACTCGGCGGGAAGAATCAAGTACAGTAGACTCCTATCTTGATCGGAGTTATTTGGGGTTTAGAGGGGCTTTTGGAGGGGTTTGGGGGTCACGAGTACTTGGCGTAAAGCGGGGTGCGAGGCTGTTTTGCAGTTGAAACTTGCTCACTTGTCGGTTTTGAGGTCGTTTCAACTGCGAGTGAAAAGAGGATGATGATAGGGGGCGAGCTTGATAGGTATGATGTTGCAGGATCGGGGAGATGCTGTCCTTTGATATGTCATTGATATGTCTTTTTTTCTTCTCTTCTTTGAGCTCCTGAAATAATATATCGTCTCGTTTGATACTACTACCTGATTCAAAGCAAACAGGGCATCAAGCATGATATTCTAGCGTCGACAAAGGGCTACGGCTCCTTTTTTGCCGTGTCCTGTAAAATATCGTCACTTGCCTCACCTCTTCTTACACGTAATATCCACAGCAGACTACACACGGAGCCCTTCATAATACATGACAGCAACATCTTCATGACATAGCACATCACATGTCTCCCGGCTAGAACCGCGCCTCAACCTTGTTCAGCGTGTCTTGCAGCGCCCAGTCGCTCCTCGCCCGCCGACTCATGACGGCCTCTGCCTGCTCCCTCGTGAACCCCCTCGCCTCCACCGCCGGGTTGTATCCCAACCCATTCGCCTCCCCGACGGCCCTCGAATCCATCGCCGGCGCCGCCTCGCCATCGGCGCGCCTGTACACCGTCACCACGACGGCTCCGCCGAGCCCCAGGTTGTGCTGCAGGCAGTGCCGCGTGCCCTCGACGCCGCGGTTGGTGGCCCATCCGCGCAGGTGCCAGACCAGCTCGGCGCACTGCGCGATGCCCGTCGCGCCCAGCGGGTGGCCCTTTGAGATGAGCCCGCCCGAGGGGTTGACGAGGTAGCGGCCGCCGTACGTCAGGTCGCCTCTGCGCACCAGCTCGTGCGCCTTGCCCCTGTCGCTGAGCCCGAGGGCGTCGAGCGCCACCAGCTCGTTTGCGCTGAAGCAGTCGTGCAGCTCCACGACCTGCACGTCGTCGCGCGCCGAGATGCCCGCCTCGCGCGTCGCCGCCTCGACGGCCCGCCGCGTCATTTCGTAGCCCATCAGGTCGATGGCGCTGCCCGAGAAGACGCTCGCGCCGTCCGTCGCGAGGCACTGGCCGGCAATCTCCACGGCCTGCGCCCTGACGTGCGGCGGCCGCTTCTCGAGGAACTCGCGCGACACGAGGATGGCCGCGGCGCCGCCGTCGGACGTCGGGCAGCACTGCAGCTTCGTCAGGGGCGCGTGGATGGTCGGCGACCGCCGGATCTCGTCGAGCGTGTACACCTGCTGGAACTGCGAGTACGGGTTGTTGGGCGAGTGCGCGTGGTTGACGCGCGCAATCTCGGCAAAGTCGTCGGCCGTCGCGCCGTGCCTCTCCATGTACTCCCTGCCGGCGTTGCCAAACATCTGGGCCGCGCCCGGAGCGTCCGCGACGACGCCCCTCGTCTCGGCCATGAGCTTGAGCGTCGTGCCCGTCGGGTTGGCGCGGTCCCTCCAGAAGCTCTGCAGGCTGCCCGGGCTCATCTTCTCGAAGCCGACGACCATGACGCAGTGCGCCGCGCCGCCGGCGATGAGCGAGCGCGCCATGGCCAGCCCCGTCGACCCCGTCGAGCAGTTGTTGTTGACGTTGTACACGGGGATGCCCGTCAGCCCGAACTGGTACAGCACGCGCTGCCCGCAGGTGCTGTCGCCGTAGCAGTAGCACGCCACGGCCTGGTCCACGTCGTCGTAGGTGATGTGCGCGTCCAGCAGCGCCTTGATGCCCGCCTCGAAGCCGAGCTCGGTGTAGTCGACCTTGCCGCGCGGCTTGATGAACTTGGTCATGCCCACGCCGAGCACGTAGACGGGCGACTTTTGCTTGCTCATGGTGAGGTTAGTGAAGATGGTGACGATGGTGGCGTTGGTGATGGGTGTTGGTGATGGTGTTGTTGATGATGGTGATGAGGTTCGTTTAAGTGGAAGATGGTTGTACTACTCCCACCCCCTTGGCCTCTAAACCATCAGACCAGCGTACGAGAAGTAGATACTGAGTAGTCAAGACTGCAAACTGATACTTGTGTCCCTGATAGTATGTATATTGGTGCAGATTCCGATTCCCAATTGCAGCATCGCTTCAGAGTGCGGGGAATCCGGGGTACTAACCAGCCCGGCGAGCGATGCCGAGGTAGAACGGCGGCCCGTTGATGCCGTTGCATCAAACAGACATGGGGATTGCCCAATTTGATACAAAAAAGCACATGCTTTAAAGAGCTTCGGGTTCCGCCGTAATCTTGTTCCGAGAAAGAGGTCATCCATAGGATGCTTATCGAACAGAGATGCAGCGAAGACGCTGTAAATGATCAAGCCTTATCTTCAACTCCATGAGAAAATCATAGCAATGGCTACACCAAACCGTGTCTCAAACGATAAGCCGTCTTCCCCAGGTAGCCACGCTAGGCCCAACCAGACCTACAGTAGACTGTGCGCTGCGTAGCAACAGATGGGCCAAAAGCACCCAAAACCCCCCTTTTTCAAACCCTCCTATCAGTAGAAGCCATTCACAACACACCAAATAAACGGCGGAAAACAATGATTTACACCAAATCTGACACAGCTGCCAGAGGGGCCATTCTCGCCCTGAAAGCCACAACAGACCCCATTTTCCACAGAAATAGTAGCACAGCTCCTCCAAGGCGTGTCAGTCCGTCACGTCAATCGCATTCTAGAGCCGTGCCATCAAAGCCGGGCTTCGATCCGTTCAGCCAGACCGCTACAGATGACGGGATGCCCTTGTGGCTGACCGTCCCAAGAGCGGAAGACCGATCAAGAAAATATCAGACTCATGAAGCGCGCCGACTTATAGCTCCAAAGTGTCAAAATGCGAACGCTATGGCTTGGGAAAACTTATGTGCTGATAGGTACCTACTTCTACCTGGAGAAATGACTTATAAGTAGTAGACAATACTTATGTATTACATAGGGTCCCATAGGGGGACCCAGGAAGGATCTCGGCCGATAGTATTAGACTTCTGACAGGGCCAACTCTTAGTCAAAACGTGGAGTGTGAGATTTACGCCGGCTGCCCCGGCCGAGTCGTACGGACCCGAAGGATTGTATTATCGGCCGAGTCTCATGGGTGTCTTTAAATCGTCCGAATGGCCATGAAGCGAAATGTATATATATAAGGCCTATTGCCAGAGTTGTTCAGCTCACTTTACTGTTCAGTACATCTCTACAACAGACAAAGCATCCACTTCAGTCATACAGTTAGCCAGCCGTCTTGTGAGATATCGCAGTCTTCCATCTCAATTACACCAACAACTCATCTCACCTCTGCCCCAGCAACCTCTTACTCAACAACCATATACCAGATCTTGCTCGTCTTTTCTACAATCTTGCCTGCACTGTCTTGTCTTTTTACAACCTCTATCATCATCACCAACATGCACATCTTCATCTCCGGTGCCACCGGCCGCAACGGCCGCATCGTCCTCTCCAACGCCCTCTCCCGCGGCCACTCCGTCACCGTCCTCGCCCGCAACCCATCCTCGTCCTCTCTCCCCTCCCATCCAAACCTCACCATCATCCAAGGTACGCATCAAAATCTCAGATTTTCTGTTTCCTCCCCCCACGTTCGATGCACTCTTGCAGTCCCAGTGTGAACCATATCATGCTAACACTGGAAAAGGCACCCCCTTCTCAGAGCAAGACGTCCAGAAAGCACTCGCAACACCCCGTCCCCCCAACGCCATAATAATAACCCTCAACCAGCGCCGCACGTCCGATAATCCCTTCTCCCCCTTAACCCCAGATTCACCACCCGATCTCCTGTCCACAACCACAAAAGTCCTCCTCGGGGCACTCAACGGCCTCTTCCAAGCTTCACCGCAGGCAGCCCCCAAAATCATCGCCAACTCCCTCTTTGGCGCCCGCGAATCATGGGATTCCCTATTCTGGCCCGTCCGCGCCATCATGTGTTGCAGTACCATGAAGCTTGCCATCAAGGACCACAACGAGATGGATAGGTTGATTCGCGAGAGCGGGTTGGCGTTTGTGTGCGCAAGGCCGGCGAGGTTGATTGATGGTCCGGCGGGGGAGGTCAAGGTTTGGTCTGATGAGGGCAAAGGGTGTGGCTGGAATGCGGTGATAAGTAGGGAGAGTCTGGGGGCGTGGATGGTGAGTGCGGCGGAGACGGACGAGTGGGATGGGAGGTCGCCTGTTTTGACGAATTGATTGAGATGAAGGAGGGACGGCGAGAGGGCTGGTGGGTGGTAGAGATTGGTGCTTTGATGATGGCCTTGAGGTATAATGTGATGGCAAGAGGAGGAATGGAGCAAGAGAACAAAAATGATTCAGTTCATCAGCCATATCATGATTCCTTGCCTGAATCATCCACCCTCTATTGTAAACAGGAGAAGATTAGAAGAGAAAACAAATCGTATCTGCTCAATATATTCATACGTAGGGGTATCTCCATCTCACACACTCTCCCATATTTCCATGAGACCAAACCAAATGTGCCCGACCGTCGTACTCAGATCCAAACCTCGCAAATCAATGACCTTCCTCTCACGAAACCGTGGTCATACCGCATGGCTTAATCAAGCGTAAAAAGAGAGAGAGAGAGAGTAAAAAGAAGAAGAGAATTATAGCCCAATTACAACACCGGACGATGAAAGAAGGATTAATGAAAAGAATGAATGTATAAGAGACGCACAAATGTAAGACCGACTGGGCATCAATCCCAGCCATCCCACATGATCCAGCCGCCCAACTCCGTCGTCTCCGAATGGCCCCCCATGCCGTAGCCGTGCTGCACAAACGGCATCCTGCCATGGCCATACGCCTCGTGCTGGTACTCGTTGCTGCTGCTGCTGCCGCCGCCGCCGCCGCCTAGTGACAAAGCGTGGAGCTTGTCCAGGGTCATGCTGCTCGCCCTCAGGCAAGCGTCCAGCAGGCCAAACAGATTCTTGGTGATTTCGTCGCTTCGGATGTCGGGCCTCCTCACCGTCTCCAGCACGACCGCGACGCACAGGATATCCTTGACGTCGCTGCCGCGAATGAAGCCCACGAGGAGATCAATCGTCTTCTGCACCGTGCCAATGAGCCGCGACGGCGACCACAGCATCAGGTCGTCCGGGACGTACGCCGGGAAATCGTCCGCGGGGCTTGGCGAGGCCCGTATGCCGTGCTGGGCGAGCAAGACGCTGTCGGCAGCGGGACGGACGGCCGGCTTGACAAAGTAGCAGACGCTCAGGGCGGCCTGGATGACGTCGCGCCGCAACATCTGCAGGTACATCTCGGACACGTCTCGAAAGTGCGGCAGCGAGTGGTCCAAATCGTCCAGGTAGTTGAGAATCACCATGCACGACCGCAGATACGCGCGCGAGATTTGCGCCGGGGCGTCGGGCACCCCCATGGCAAAGGGGCGGTACAGGGCCAGCAGAGGTCGCCGCACGTGCATGTCGAGGACGACGCGGTCGCGCCAGAGCCTGCTCTTCTGCGCGTCGCTGAGGGACGCATGCCGCGGGAAGATGTAGTTGATGTCCTCCATGAACCGGTCGAGCTTCCCGCCCACGTCGAGCACCTCCTGGTAGTCGCGGATGGTATCGATGCGGTTGATCATGTGAGCCACCTTCATCCGCGTGGGAAGCGTCATGATGGTGTACATCTGTATCTGGCTGTCGGTCGCCTGGTCAAGGGGCCGAGACGGCGGCAGCTCCGTCATGTCGGGGAACAGCTCGCTGTCGTCGACGTTGCGCGGCGGCCGGCAGGAATAGTCGCCGTCTCGGGTGAGACAGGGCATGTTGGAGGCAAGCGACATGTACAGGTCCATGTCGAGGACCGTGAACCACAGCCTCCGTCGGATCTCACCCTGGAAGGGCGTCATGCGCGGCTCAAACTCCGAGGGGTCCCTATGAAGGCCCATGGACATGGCCATGCGCACGACGAAGCCCAGATGGTTCCACGAATCCTGCGGCCGCTGGATAATCATCCTCTGGGCAAACAGCAGCAGCACTTCGACTTGCAGCGTGGCAATCTCCACGAGCTGCTTGCCCTTGAGGCTGTCGAGCCAGCTCCGAACGAGCGCGCACGCAGTCGGGATGTGCACGCCCTCCACGCGCTCCTGGTGGCCCAGCCCCCTGGATTTGGTGTCGAACCTCGACGCTACCGCCAACACCGACAGCATCTGGGGAAGAAACTGCTCGGGCTGCGGATTGCCCTGCCAGTACTGGTTATACTGCTCCCAAAATGTCGGGGTGTGGAGGATCCTGTATTGCGTCTCCGAAGTGTCGAAATACGCCGCCATGAGGCGGTCACAGACTGCCTTTCTGGGCAAGATGTCCATCATTCTCTTGTGGATAGGCATCATAGAGTCGACAAAGACGGTGATGGGGGTCAGAGACTTTGCTAATTCGCTTCGCAGATGCCTATGTAGCTTCTCGAAGCTGGGGAAGGGCTCTCGCCGGAAGTTGTGGGCTATATATGCCTTGGCATCGTCAAACTAGGAGAGAGAGAAAACAGAAAGAGTCAGCTCTTGCTGCCACAGCAAAGGGGATGGATCAAGGAAGGGGGGATCAAATCGAGACTCGGACCTCCAATGGTTCATCAGGGCCAACTTACCAGGTTTAGCATCACCCGGGAGTCGTTCTGCCCAAAGTACCGCGTCCTCGTGGCCCCCCGTTTGACCGTCAATCCCCGTATCGTCTCTGGCGCCCCGGCGACGATGCTGCTGCTGCTGCCGCCGCCGCCGCCCTCAGCCCTGCTTGGACTCCGCGCGAGGATCTGCTTCTCCAGGCGCTCCATCCGTATGGACAGCTCCTCGAGCAACGGGAGGCTGGCGGGATCGCTCGCCTTGGCCGGTCTGGGAGCGGCAGCATCGCCGTACGAGGCGGCCAGCGCAGGCAGCGCGCTGTGCGAGTAGTTGCGCTTGGCTGGGCGGCCCGGCTCGGCTCCCTCAGCGTCCGAGCCATCGGACAGGTTGGCCGAGTCTTGGTCGGGAGCGTATCTGCAGGGACGGTTGGACTTTTGGCATTGCGAGCAGGGGCAGAGGCGATCGCAGCGAAGCTTTCGTTTGCGACACTCGGTGCAGGACTTGACGGGCCTGGGCCGCTTGACGCTGCGCTGCTGTTGCTGCTGCTGCTGTTGTTGCTGCTGCTGGGTCTGTGATTGCTGCTGTTGTGACGGCTCGTTCTGTGGTTGGTTCTGCTGCTGCTGCTGCGACTGCTGCAGTGCCTGTGAAGACGCGCCCAGGAGATGCTGGTGCGGCTGCTGTCGCGGCGAGGGCTGCTGAGACATGGACGAGGTGTCGTAGGGACTGGCTCCGTCACTGGGATTCGAGGCATCGACCAGCATGGCCGGCGACTGCGCCGCCCCGGGCTCGGAGACGGAGGGAAAGGTATGCATTGAGGCCATCCAGAAGGGAGGGAGGGGAGGGGCAGGAGAGGAGAGGCGATGGGACAAGAGAACGATGGGGAGGAGGGGCCAGAGGCGACTGACGGGCGTGCGACTGGATGGATCGGGACAAATGGACGAGTGGACGGCTGGGCGGCCGAGAGATTCGGCCGATCGGAGAAGGGGGTCAAAGAGAGGGTCGCATCAGGTAGTCAACCTTGGTAGAAGTAGTATGTATAGTAGTATGCCCGGGTTGTGATGAATGTCAAGGAGACGAGGCTGGTCGCTTATCTAACGGCAGCACGATGAGCATACTGGGGAGCGACAGACGCAGGGCAAGCCAAGGAGGAGATTCTGCTGCGAGTGCGATGGAATGACGGCACAGGATGAGGGATGGATGGATGGATGAATGAATGAATGAATGAAATGGATGAGATAGATGGAGGATGGATGGATGGATGGATGGATGGATGGATGGATGAAGGCAGTCGAGGCCTCAGGGAGGCGTGCTGGGACGAGGCTCTCCTCCTCTGGGAGACGGCCTGTCCAGGTATCGTCTGCGTCAGTCTCAGTCTCTTGTCTCTGCCGCTGCGTCTTGTGTCTTTGTCTGCCGTCTTTTTCTCTGCCCCCTGCCGTCCCCGTCTCTCTTTTCCTCTTGCAATCACACCCTTCAAATCCTCTCGTGGATGAAGAAAAGAGAAACACACTCTTCTGCTGGTGTCGTCTATTTCGATGGCAATCACACAAGGGCCCCAGACACACACAAGAGAGCTGCAGCTCCGCCCTGCTGTGCGCCCTTGAGCCTCTCGGGTATCAATCAATCAACCAACCAAGCTCAGGGCTCTGGCGTCGTCGAGGCTCTGGCCTGCGGCTCGGGCGCATCAGTGATGCCACTCTCGCCGGCCTCCAGGGAATCAGAGACGAGAGAGAGAGAGAAAGAGAGAGAGGTGCTGTGCTGTGCTGTGCTGTGCTGTAACTGCACCTGAAGGGGAAAAAACAAGACGGCTGGCGAATGGCATTGAGGTTGTGATCGGCGGGCTGGCGACTAGCTGCCTGCGACGTGCGTGCCTCTAGACCTGTAGCAGGAAAAGGCGCCTGCAAGAACCCATGTCGCGACGCCGGAGCAATCCGTGCCTTGTCTGTTTTTGTAAGACAGCTGGAGCCCATCTGCTTCTTTTTATTTTTATCGGTCTCTACAGTACTAGCAGTATCATTATCCTTGTTCTGTTTCTTCTATAATAATCATTAGTTGCTTTTTTCTTTTCCATCTCTCTCCATTTCCTGGTCAGATTGTTACACTCCAGATTATTTTGGCTTAGCCTCTTTATTTCTTCCCGACTTTCCAATCTCGTCCCTCATCTTCCATCTGACCAGTCATGAGCCAGCCGAATCCTAGCTTGGATTTGATAGTACATAGGTAGTATAGTAGTAGTAGCAGCTGGTTCTGGATTCGTAGCGAGGCTTGGTGGCTCGGCCGAACCGCAACCCTGTCCATGTCTCGCCCTGTCTTGTCCTGTCTTGTCTTGTCCCGTCTTGGCCTTGCTCTTCTTTTGGTATCCTCGGGGTGGGGGAGAGACCAGCCCAGCCGGAGCTACTGTTGCGAAGAATGGACAAGTCATACAGAGAGAAGAAGACAAAGGTACCAATTGCTACCTACTACTACTACAAAGTGAGATGCTACAGGCCCTCGGACATGGGATCGTGGTTGGCCAAGAGCCCCCGTCCGATCAATAGACGAACCGCTCATTGCCGGATCCAGTACGTGAGGGGAGGCTCGAGATAGACGAGTCGGGCTTGTTGAGGCTGAAAATGACGAGGTACTACTAGGCGGTCAAGGATGGGCCAGATGTCTCGACCTGTCTGTCCCGGCATCCATCGCCGCACTTCATCTCACGACGCCTGTAGGTGAGACGAAGCGGCACACAAGCTCTTACGCTGTTGATGAAGCTTTTCCATCGATGCGCCCGAACAAGCTGTGGAACTCTATCTTTGATGACATTTTAGACCTTCTCCTCCTCCTCCGTCTCCTCTTCCTCCTTACCCGTCAGCAGCATCTCTGGCGCTCCAGCATCCCTGGAATCCAGCGCCTCGCAGCCGCAGCAGGGGCGCTGCGCAGGAGGATACCTATTACAGTTGAGATACCTAGACTGCGTGCATATACATGCATACACACATACATACCGCAGGGTGACGAAATCGAGCCCTGCCGGACGGGGATTTAGACCAATCTTTCCATCATGCTCGGCAGACGGTAAGAACACGGGCAACAACAATTGGAGAAGTTAACCCATGCAAAAGACATCAAGCCTCAAGCCACCACAACTCGGCCGTGTCTTGCGGACAGAACCTCCGGCCATCACAAGCTCCCCCCTCCCAAATAGGCTTCCTCTGGCGTCTTTCTCTAGCTCCCAAGTCATCCTCCTCCTCCTCCTCCTTCTCTCCTCACCCTTCTTCTCCTTCAAGCCTCACTCTCTTCTGCGGTGAAATTAGTGCTTCTTTCAGTCAAGCCTCTCACTCACACACACTCCCTCTAGCTCTCTCTCTAGCTCTCCCTCTAGCTCTCTCATTAGTCCCGCCTCCTCCCGGCCGAGACACAAAAGACGTGCAACCCTCCTTCACCCGGGGCCGGGGGGGTTGCTCCAGAATAGTACATACATAGTCCTCACTTGCTTCCTCCCCCCTCTCCAAGGCCGCCCATTGGCTGGTCCGTAAATGTAAGTCCAAAGGGGAAGAGGGGAGGGGGGGAAGAGAGAAGAGCCCTTGCAACTAATAGCCTTGGGGATCGTCGATGCAACTAAAGCAGGCTTTTTTTTTCTATTGCCAATGATGGAAATTCAGGAAAAGACGGGCGTTGCACAGTGCTCGGCCGAGGCATTTTGAGCGCTGTTTCTTACTGTACATCTGAGAGCTTGTTGCCGAGGTCTTCTGTGTACAGTACGTAGGTAGATATGCCTGGCCATTCACTTTTCATTGATGAGAGGCCCAGTTTGGTATTATCACGCCGAAAAGGCTCCTCACGCGACACCAAACATCATCCGTGTGTTTTGGCTCTCATCTTATCTCACCGAATATCACTTTTTTTTCTCTCTCTCTTCTTCTCATACAACTACATGCAATACAGAGATGATAGTGATGCATACATACATACAGAACGAGTCAAGATCCCGTCCCGCCTATTCTGTCCCCTTGATTGGCCCTGCTGGCCATATTACACCACCCCCCTTCATTTCTCCGCCGCCTTCGTCTTGAGCCCTCAGCAAAGGCGGTTTAACCGTCCAATGACCCTCCCTATTCGTCCCAAACGCGTAGAGCGAGAGCAGCAAGGGCGCCCTGTTCAGCCCAAGACGAGAAGTGTGAAAGGATGTGAACAACAACGGCAACAAGGTTGGTTTCCGGCTGACACTGGGTTGGTTGCCAAGGCCTGTCAACTCGACTCCATTTGTGATACTGTTGTTGCTCTCTTTCTCTCACGGCTCATTCGCACAGTTCCATCATCAATCTTCAGTAATCCCTCGTGCACTGAATCAACTCCTACTGTACCAGCCTACATACCTCACTCCTACTACTAAGTACCGACCTGGCAGCTCAACCCCCCATGTCCCCCGTCCCGAAAAGCTACGACCAAGTCCCTTTTATTTCCCTTTCTACTCTCGGCCGGATCCTATAACTGCACTCCGAAATCACCACTAAAAAGGGCGGCAGTTGTCCTCAAAGTCTCGTCACATTCTCCTCTTCTTTTTTCGTCTTCCAGTGCTTCCACGCCCATCCCGAGCCACTCAGCACCATGACAGCTCCACGATAATAAGAACGTTCAAAGAAAAGAAAAGAAAAGAAAAGAAAAAAAAAAAAAATGCTAGCTATTGGCCATGCATTTACCAAGTCGTCGCACCAGCCAAATCCCAGACCTGATCGGTGCAAGTGCCGTGCTTACCGTCATCTTTTCTCATCTATCTCTTGGTGTCGGTAAGGGTTGTGAGCATTATGATTGGACTGTATGAGCGGAATGACATTCCGTCTTCAATATACTCGTATGTGTGTGTGTGTATGTTTTTTGTCTCTTATTTTCTTTTTCTAGGCTGCTTCGTAAAGGGTCTAGAACTTCGTTTACTTCTCCCCAAGGAGTGACACGACAACATACTGGCATCGTTGCTGTTCGTAAGACTCGTCCATATCATCCCCTGAGGCTTCATTTGCATGCACACCCACACACGCCAACCATAATCCTTCTTCCCGTCTTAGACAGCCCTTTTCATAGACAAAAGAGACACAGAGCATATCGTGGTTGAAGGTCTTGACCATGCTGCAATTCTAATTTGTCTCATCAAGATCAACGCCCTCTAACCCCCTTCGGCCTGAACTGCTCCAAACTCTGCTTTAACAGACACAAGCCCTTTCCCCAAACAAGTCTTTAAGCACAACAACAACAAACTGCTAAGATGGCGATCCGACTGCTTATTACGCCTCAATCCAACAAGACGACTAGAAGCATCCTACCGCCTCCACCGGCACATTTCCGCCCTCTCATCGCATCTTCTAGCCAAATCTCACCTGCCGGGGGAAGGGAAGCCGGGGGTCGCTTCTCTCTCACACACGTTGCTCATTCCGCGTCATACTAACTAATACCACAACCTTGACAGGTGAGCCGCCCGGTTTCTATATTTACAACCGCCTTGATACCTTGTTTGACTCAATTCCAGTACGGTACCTTGCAGTATCGCCTTGCCTTACCTATCATGCCTTGCCGTGCCGTGAATCCCATTATACCTGTAGCATCACCACAACAAGCCATAGTATAATCTCTGCCGGCACATGGACATGGGGAACACAAATAGGCAAAACAGGGAGAGACATACATGGCGCACGGAATTCCCATCGGCAGTTGCACCATTCGAGATCCCATGTCGATCTAAATCCTACTAGAACTACATAGATAGTCGTACACTGTACTCAGCTCTCTTCTATACATCCAACAGCGACATTTCGCATCAGCGGCCATCTCCGTACCAATCGTAGACCAACAACATCGACCAACATTCATTCACCAGGAAACACGGCTACTCCCGTCTCTTATTCCCGCCGACCCTCCTCGGAAGGCCATGCCCCTGGAAGATCCGCGGTCCCCGAATCATCACCGTCGTTGTTCTCCTCTTCCCAGTCATACTGCTCTCCAGCTGCATCGTCTGCCCCTGTCGCGTCCGCCGCCGCCTCCGCCCCTCCTCCAAAGCCAAACATCCGAACGAGCGCGCGAATCATCCCCCGGTCTTCGTTGCTCACCGGCACGGCTTCCCCGGGTGTGCCGTCCTCGGCCTCGCGGTTCTCGTTAAGAAACGCCGCGTTCTGGAGCTCGTCCACCAGCCGGTCCTCGTCCTCGTGGGTCACCGGAGGGACCCGCCGCGCAAGGAGGTCTTCCAGCTGCGCTATCATGGCGTCGAGCCGCCGCGAGCTTGGCAATGCCTCCCGCCGCTCCTCGAGCCAGGGAAGTCTGCATCCATCTGCTGTGAAGATGTTATCCTTCTCTGCCGGCGGCAGAGGATCGAATTCGTAGTTGGGCTGTTGCTCCAGCATCTTGCGTGGCACCAGCGCCAGCAGTGAGGTCTGCCCGTCAATGTAGGCCAGTCGAGCGGCGCCTAGGTCAATCGGCAGGTTGTCCTTTGGCAAAGCCTTTGCGTCGACCCGCCCGAGGCCCTTGGCGACATCCTTCAAGAGCTCAATTGTCCTAGGATTGTTCCATAGATCCTTAGCCAGATAGAGGTACAGCTTCACCCAGAAAGCGCTCGTGTCCGACTCGGCATTGATGCCCCAGACAGACGGCGGTGCGTCGAGGTTCAGCTCCTGGAACAAAGCGCAGTATAGCCAGGGCACCCGCTGCATGCCTTCGGCAAGATGCTCTCGTGCTCTCTTCTCGTCGCCAATCTGCAAGTCCGCCAATACTCGGCTCTGCAGGATGTACGCCGTGTCATCCCGGCTGCTCTCCGGATCCAGCTGATTCAGGAATTCGAGAAGCCAGTCCGCCTCGTAGGCTCTGATGGCTAAGAAGTGAATCATGTGCCTCATCGCATATGGATCGGTGCGGTCCAGGGTGTAGAGAAGCTTGGCCCACTCTAGCGCTGTCCTGTAGGTCCCTTTCCTGATGAGACTCTTGATGTAGTGATATCCAGCCAGCCACAGTTGGCGGTTCTCCGGCCGCCTAAAATTCATACGGGCCGTTCCCTGCTCGAGGTGCTGTTTGAACGAGGGCGGAGCTACTCGTCCAAAGCTGAACAGGGCGCGCTCACACAGCTCTGAGGCGAGCGCCATGTTCTGGTCTTGCTTCGCCACGCTGCTCACTTGTAGCAATGTCGAGACATGGTAGGCTATCCAGATGTTAGCGATTTCCAGATTCGACGGGGGGGACATTGCTCTTCTTACGGTATTTGACGAGGAGGTGCACCATCCTCATCGGGTCACCCATCTGCACCTGTGCGAAAAACATGTGCTGCGTTCGATCATACTCTTGGTTGTGGAAAACGGTAAACTCGACTCCTGTCCCATCGTACGTCTTGCCGAGCTCCTTCAAGGTGAGGCCCCCGGGGGAGCCCATCGGCCAGTGCTCTCTTCCCTGGATGAAGATGTTGCGTCTTCGGGACACCTCGGGAAGCTTGCGAACGTTGGGCGGTCCTCGCAGAAATGTCTCCAGGTCCACATTCTGCGGCATGAGTCCTTGACGTCGCTGCTCCGCTTCCTCTGCGTGCGCCGATTCAATGGTCTCTCGGCCAAACAGGTTTCGCATCTCATGGACCTCCTTGAGGTTGTGGAGGTTGATCTTGAAGAGGCCGTTGGATGCGGGAGTGGCGCCTGGAGCAGACGCCGCCTGGGGCTTTGGCTCAATCTTCAATTCCCTAATGGCCCTGTCGATTTCATCGTCCTCGCTGTGTTCGGCATCCTGGGTCGGAGCTGCGGCCTTCTTCTTGCTCTTCTTCTTTTTCTTCTTATTCTTCCGGCTGGTAGCGGTGAGAGCTGGCGCGTCTGCTGCCGGTGCTTGCTCTTTGCTCTCATCAGCATCGTCGGCTTCGACCTCATCTTCATCTTCGACCTCTTCCTCCAGGAGCGCAGCGAAGAGATTCGGCCGCGGTTTGGCCACTACGGGAGCGCTCTCTTCATCGTCTCCGTCGTCTTCACTGCCTTCGGGTTCTTGGATCGCCTTGGCTTCCAGTTCCCGCTGCTTCTGTAGCTTGCGAAGCTGTCGTGTCGACATGTCTCGATGTGATTTTCCCTCGCGGGGCAAAGCAAGGTTGAAGTTAACCAGGAGGTGGAGTGAATGAAAGAATACAAGCAAGATGAGAAGCTCGCAGTGTGTGAGGAATAGGTAGATGTCAAAGTAAAGATACTGAAAAGGCCGTTGAGAGTGTTTATAAAGATTGGAAATTAAGGCGACGAAAGCCACAAGTTGAAGTTTGTTGAATGTGGTTTAGGTTCGTCGCACTGACAGCTGCTAAAATACCTGATGCTTTGATGCGTCACGCCGCCTTGCGCCTAGCGGGGCTGAGCGGCGAAACTCTGTCATCTTGGACAATGGAACTTCGACATCAACGATCCATGAGAGCTTTTCACGCTCATCACCGCAAAACCATCGCCACGCCGCTCCCAATCGAGCGTCAATTGTGTGCATTTACGTTTCACTTGCTAGTATTACATGGCAAGTTGCGCAGTTGTCCACAAAGGTCTGATGAACGAGCTCAGCAGAAAATCGCTGCCTGGTGTCTCTGACCCAGTCCTGGGGATTCATTAGGATTGTACAGGTTTCGCTATATAAATCGCATGCTTGTCCTCGGCTTCATTGTCCAGTGCAAGAATCCAGCTTGATCCTAAGCGCCTTCCTCTACTCCTGAGGAAATTCTTCTGTTTTTTTCATTCATCATGCCTCTTCAAGATTCATGGAAGGCCCGGTTGCCTGTGCCTCCTGTAAAACGCAAACCAAACTCCCGCATCGTCGCCGAGTTCCGCGACCAGTGAAATCCGTAGCTCCTATCCTGAGCTGAAAGCAAAATCGAAAAGACTAGTATATCGTTTTCCAGCTGCCGCAAGGCAGCCTAGACGATGCAAACATTGGAGGGTTTTGGTACATTGGTGCAAGAAGATTAAGAGGGAATATTGGGGGTAAAATGGGTTCGTAGTCGTGCTAGGGGCTCACTCCGACGCTGATTGACGTCGCGTTGCTCATGATGTTGCCTGGAATGTGGTACGGCAAACCGCTCGCGAGGTAGCAGCGTAGAGTCGGATGGAAACGGCGGGTGCCTGGGATCAAATGATTCCTACTGGCCAGCAGCAGCAGGCTGGAACTGAGGCCGAGGACCTCCACGTCCACCGCGGCTGAAGCCGCGTCCCGCACCTCGGGTCCCGCGTCCACGACCACGTCCACGGTAGTTTCGATAGCCACCGTCGACGCTTCCTTGGCCAAACGTCTCAATGTTTCTCCGTTGCTCCTCTCCGCGCCACTCGCGTCCACCGGGCTTCTGACCGTTGTTTTCAGCCCTCTCCTTTGATTCACTAGAGATGTTGTCGAAAAACGACCTTGACTTGTTGTATGCCACCGGAGCGGCGCCATCCTGGGGCTCTGAGCCTTCCTCTGCAGGCGCAGCGGCAGGCTCGTTCGCCGGAGAGCCTGCGCCAGCTTCTTTGACAACTTCTTCCTTGTTGAACTTTGCGTTCGACTGAGCAAAGTCAAAGTCCGCATCGGGAACCTCGACCTTGGCTGGACGGCCGCCGCGTCCACGGCCACGGTTGGCCGTGCTACCTCTACTGGCGTTGACGCGCATCTCGTTGACTTTGTTGGTCAAATTATCCATGGCATTGCCGCCGGAGTTGCTCAATTGTGCCATCGCCAGTGCCACAGCTGCTCTGGCCGCACTCGTAGCATCCTGTACGCTGCTTGGTCCTGCGGCTGCAGGCTGGGGAGCAGCTTGAGCCGCCTTCTCCATCGCAAAAGGGGGCTGGAAGGGCTTGGACGTAGGTCCAGCAAGTGGGATAACAGGCTGGACACGGTTGCCCCTGGGACCAGTGGGAATAGGCCTAGACACATCATTTGCCTTCGCAGCGCCGTTGGCCGGGACTGCTGTGGCAGCTGCCTTGACCTCCTCGGCCGACGGCTTAGAATCGACCGGAGGGGTTGGGGCGTTGGGTGGTTGTCTTGCTGCTTGGGTGTGCGACTTCGGCTCTGTTGGGGGAGCTCTGGGCTTGTCTGCACTGGGTCCAATGGGAGGAGGTTTTGACTCCTGAGCCGAAGAGGGCTGTTCGGGCGCGGTCCGCGGGCCTTGAGCGGCGTCGGTACCTGAGGGACCACCAGGGCCCGGAGGAAACGGTGCGTTGGCCCATGGGCCGGGACCGCCGGGACCGGGAGGGAAGCCCTGGCCGGGAGGGAACCAGCCTGGTGGCGGAGGGTACATGTTGCCAAAACCTGGTCCACCCATCGGGCCGGGACCACCCCGTCCCCAGGATCCTGGAGGCGGAGGGCCACCATAGAAGTTGTTGGGAGGATATGGGTGTTGTTGGAATCCTGGAGCTCCGGGAGGGGCTCCTTGGGGAGCTCCCGGAGGAGGATTCTGGGCTGCTCCTTGTGCTCCGGGGCGGGCTCGGGCCTTTTGCAACGAGTTGTCAGTTCAGATGTCTTTAAGAAGTAAGATCTCAAAACACAGTGAATGGGATATTTTCCAGATCAGAAGGAAGGCAACGGAAATCTCTACAGGGTTTGCGCATTCAGACGTGACAATAGATTTACATCCGCAATATTTCATCATGGAAGGGTGAGGTGTTGGTGGCAATGAAGGAAGGACATGACTTACGCCGACAATGGCAGGGTCGTCAGGCATGACAGGGGGCTTGTTCTCCTTGATGGCGGGGTGCTCCTCAATCCGCAAGTCCTTGACATCGCTGCCGCGGAAGACGATGTACTCGTAGACTTGGTCTGATGGAGCTATCTCCTCCTCAGGCTTGCCCCTGCGACCCTCTGTGCCGAATGAGCGGACATTTTCGAGAGACACTGTCGACTCGTCCGAGTTGATCTCGTGCAAAGTGCCCACGTAGCTTTCACTAGAGGTCAGCGACCGTCTTGGTGAACGATGAGCGCGGAGATTCTCACCGAATATCGCTCTTGGAGATGAGGGAAATGCGGGATCTGGGGTGTCGCGTGTCAGCCAAAGGGTACAAGCCACTGAGCTAAGAATCCATCTGCATACCCAAGGAATTCAGACATGGCGGGGGCCGTGAGGCCACGTCAACGACGTAGCGAGCGGCGACTAGAAAATTCCGAAGTAGAAGGATAAAAGTGCGTCTATGCACCAAAAGTAAAGAAAGTACAAAGAGAGTAACGAATAGAAGGGGTACCGAGTATGAGGGGAAATCGTTGGGGGATGGAGAGGGTGGAGGATGCGGAGGGAGGCGATGGATGTGGTTTGTGCGAGGAAGAAAGTTTTGTGAGGCCAATAATAAAGGTTGGACGAAAAGCCTGAGAGCTCTGCGAGGAACCCTCTCACGTAAGCGGCCGCGTCAACCTCGGTATTAATTTGGATTAAGCTCGGGAGTGCGAAGACGGCGGCTTACCCCACAATCTGGTCATCCGCTCCATGGTTTGTACCTGATCTGCTGATGTCGCTCCATTTTGAGGCTTGAGAGGCCGACAAGCTACCTAGGGTAAGGTAAGGTATCGCAACAGTTTGAACGGGCTGCTCTTGGGAACTCATCGCAGAATAGTAACTAGCACGCCTCTATTGGAGCTGTATGGGATAATGGAAAGAGACCACAAAACAGATAAACAAATGTATCTCGACAGTGCATACTTCAAAGAAGTAAAAAAAAATAAAAGGGCCCTCGACCAAGACAATTGCCTTCCTCTAGCCGAACGGACGGCATTATGGCCCTGTTGTCATTGCTAGCGATATATGTGCGTCTGTATGGTGCAGAAAAACAAAGAATCAAACACACGATAAGTCCAGTGTTCCAACTCCGAGTCGCCGACAAAACTCCAAACAAAATCCCCACGTTTATCGAAACTTGCTGAAAATCACAGCAATGATCAAGAGCACCAAGATGGTGATGATGGAAATCGTAATCACTCGGTTGGTTGCCATGCTGTTCACCATCAATATCCTGTGCCTTGAGATTGCCGGTCATGGATTTACATTACCTCCGAGCCATCCCCCTCAACGTCTTGACACTGCGGTCGACATAACCCTCGCTGTCCAAAAGAGTATCGTGCGTATGGCGAATGACCTCGCCCTGCCTATGCAAATCGGCCAACGTCTCCGCTCCGATAGCCTCGGTCTCGTGGGCGAGCCTCTGGCTGGAGAGCAGCCTCTGTGTGCTCCGATCGAGCCTTTCAGTTCCCGAGAGCAACTGTTGTCGTTGTTCCAGGTTGATGTCCGTCGACCCGGATGGCTCGTCAGTGTAGCGTGAGCCGAATAGGGCGGCTCGATTGGACGACAGGCTCGTCAGCTTCCGGCGGCTGGTATCGATATCGGACTCGTAGTTGCGGAAGCGCTGGTTGACTTTCGCTCGCGCAGATGTCGGGATGTTCTGTTTCTCGAGGCGCATTTGGCCAAGCTGTGTTTCCAATCAACCGTTAGCCTTGGTTCTGCAGGTATGCAAGGGCAGCAGTACCAGTTCATCTGCCTCCTCTAAGGCGCGCTCAGCCTGGCTGACGGCAGCCTTGCGCGGCTCGCCTGTCAGTTCAGGAATCTGGTCCAACTTTTGCGCCAGGTCGGCCTGCACGAGCTTGAGTTCCGCCTCATACGAGCTGAAAAGCTCGGAGCCAGCATCCGTATCGAGAGGGTTCGCCATCTTGGCTGTCGGGGTCTAGGAGTGAAGGGGGAGGGGATAAGGAGTGCAGCAACAATCTGCTGTCAAATATGGTGTCGCTGTAGATGCTCAAAAGGAGAGTTCGGGTGATGGTTTCGATGGTTTGCGAAAAGGCTCGATGCGTTTCTCCGGCGATGTTAGAAATGGCCGCCGAGGAGCGCCGTCATCGTACGTATGCAAAGACGACGCTGGACAGGGTGGTTGGGCAAGAGGAGGGGGTACCGCCCTGTCGTGGGCACTGAAGTATCTGACCCGCGCACGGCCCGCGACAGGTTACTTTATCATTGTCCATCTACGAGTATCCATCTGCTTTCTGCGCCAGTGCAACACGTGCGGAGGATAAAGAGAGCGGCTAAAGTCTGGCGAGTGACCAGCGCTGTCTTAGGTAAGCGGAACATGGTCCGTGCTTTTTTCTTGGCCGATATTATCTCCAAGCAGCGGGCAGAGATTTTGAATTTTTCTTTCTTTTCTTCCATAAAGTTGATTCACCCCAGCTTCGAAGAATATACAGGCTAAGCGTCCAGACTTTGTCAATGGCGCACAGTTGAGATGCTGGGCAGATTGATGCAGGTTTTCCTACACGGCGCTTCTAAGAATTGGTGACTCGTTTCCCACGTTTGCCGATCCCGTTGAGTGCTCGACATGCCGAGGCCTGATTGCGGTCTCTTGATTTTTTCTTCTGTCAGCAGTGCTTCGTATTACGACGTAACTTGGTATTACTGGTATTACTTCCTGACTCCTGGCCCCAGGCGCTTCTAGAAGAGCAGGCAGCAAGCCCTGAGGGCGGTGACCGATTCCTGGCGACGATGAAACCGCCGGGCATCCGCTCATGCCATTTGCCTCGCTCTCGAAGCATGTGATAATGGAGGTGAGGGTGTGAAAAAAATTCATGCTCCACTGAGGAATCTCCACGTCGAGGCGTGCAACGCATCAGGCCATGGTTCTAAGCCGAGTTGGTGATGGGCAAATGCGTGCGTTATCGCATCCTGGGCAGCACTCACATGTAAGAACATGCCTTTCATGCAGCACCGGTTCGCTGTCGAGACCAACCACTCGTGCTGCTAAGACCACTCCGTCATGGTGTTCATTTCAGCTGCAGTCGGTCTGCCAATGATGTCTCTTGGCAGGTGAGGATGTGCCGCTTTCGTTGGCTACCAGTCCTGCAGGTATAGATACGCAGTGTCCCCTGCGGCCTGTGTAGGTATTACATGATAATGCATGAACTCTGTCAGCAGCCTACCTAGACTTGACGCCCTCCCATGATATGTACCTATGTATGTATCAGCGATAAGTAGCATCAACTTCAAGATCCATGGAAATCTCGACGCACCGACATGCCCTTACAGCGTGAAAGCGTCCCTCCTCCAGCCACTGTGGCGCTAGCTCAGCCGCTTGCAGACGTTGAAAAGTGCTCAAATCGCCGTCTTGACATGGCCGAGACAGGCAGCGGCCCCTGGCAGCCGTGAAAGGAGTACATAAGGCAAGCCTCTCCTGGCTGGGAAAATCCCCGAAGCTGTTCCTGTGGTGATCCGATCCCTTGCTGTCGGCGCGCATCGCCGAAGACGCACCCTATTCCGTGCTCCGTACCTGGCCTATACCTGGCCCTGCCCTGCCGTGCCCGACTCCGTCCTCGTACATAACGCGTACATGAGAGGTGCTCCATACGTGCGTCTGATGTACATGTACTGCATGCACTCGTCGAGATCGCTGCATGCGCTTCAAGTGACGACCGGTATTACGAGCTGCACTGCCGCTGCTTGTACAGTACCCTGAGCACCCTGAGCCACCCTGAGCACCCTGAGAGGTATTACATACCCTGCCTGCCTGTAACAATCAAAAAGATGCCCCTGCGAGCAGAGCCGCGGCATGTGTGAGTTGTTTGATTCTCCTGCGTCTCTCTATGCCTACCTTATCTCCCGCGAGCCCGTCGAATCAGGGCGGCGACACTTATGCACAACTCCCATGGGTGGCGCCGACAGCTTCGCCCCCCCTTGTCCCAGCCATTTGCTCGAGGTCGGACCTTTTGACATGTGCAAGTCGCTTCTCCGTGCTCTCGGTTTCCTTGTTGCCTTTTCTATGGCGCCTCTGAGGCCTTCCCCAACTCCCAAGTCCCGTCTCGTGTCCCTCACCATCTCCTGGCCCGACGACAGCAACCACCGCCCCCATGAGCCTCTCCGTTGACAGATTTACCAGGAAGAAGGTGGCCATCGTCGGCAGCGGCTGCTCGGGCATTGCCGCGCTCTGGGCCCTCAACCGGACGTATCACGATGTCTACCTTTACGAGGCTGCAGACCGCTTGGGCGGCCACACCAACACGGTGCAGTGGAAGGCTGGCAAGTACACGACGGCCGTGGACACTGGCTTCATTCTGCTGAACTCGGCGACATATCGTGAGTTGGTCTGAGACGTGCGTTGTGTATGACTACAAGTGACTCACCTCAGCATCCAGCAAACTTCTTGAACTTCCTTGGCAGGATTGGCGTCCCGACTGAACCTACGGAGTTGACGTTGAGCGTATCACGAGACCAGGGGCTATTCGAATGGGCCAGCACAAGCCTCAGTACCATCTTTAGCCAAAAGAGAAACCTGTTCTCTCCAAGGATGTGGAGGACGCTGTTTGACATTGTCCGCTTCAGCCAGTTTGCGCTGGATCTGCTCATCGATGACGATGATTATGAGCCTCGATATGGCGGGGAGCACATGATGAACCACATCAACAAGACGCTGACGATTGGCCAATACTTGGAGCGCGAGGGGTACTCGGACGGCTTTCGAGACGATTATCTGATTCCGCTGGCGGCTGCAATCTGGAGCACCAGCCCCGACAAGTGCGCCTTGGAGTTTCCCGCTACAACGCTGGTCCGTTTTCTGTAAGTCAAGGCCCCTTGCATCCATCCCTGAGGACACCTTAGACCAACGCTTTCATACTTAGGTGGAATCATCATCTTCTATCGCCTCTCGCCCCTCAGCCACAGTGGTTGACGCTCAAGAATGGTGCTCGCTCCTACATCGACGCCGTCATGAAGGGCTTTCCTCCCAATCACCTGTTTCTCAAGACTCCGGTCAGAAACGTCTCAAACGACAATATCGGCAGAGTCTTGCTGCATCTCGAAAACGGCAAGGCGGAGGCTTACGACCACGTCATTCTTGCAACCCACGGCGACCAGGCGCTGTCCATCCTCGGCGCCTCTGCCACCGAACAGGAGCGTTCGATACTTTCCTGCTTCCAGACATCACAGAACGAAGCCGTGTTGCACTCGGATGTGTCGCTGATGCCGAGGAACAAGAGGGCATGGTCGAGCTGGAACTTTCTGACACTGTCTTCACCTTCAACGCAAAAGGCCAACATGGACAAGGTCTGCCTCACATACAATATGAACATCCTGCAACGCATTCCAAGGAATCCCTTTGGCGATGTTCTAGTCACGCTGAACCCAATCCACCGCCCTACCCCGTCCAAGATTCAGGGGAGGTATTTCTACACTCACCCGCTCAATACCCCGTCCTCTGTGCGCGCTCAGAGAATGCTGCGCTACATACAGAACAGGAGAGGAATCAGCTATGTCGGGGCGTGGACGGGGTATGGGTTCCACGAAGACGGATTCACCAGCGGACTGCAAGTGGCTCAGGATCACCTAGGTGCTAAGCTCCCCTTTGAGTTCCGAGACTCGACCTATAGCAGAGGCAGGGTCCCGAGGCTCGGTCTGTTGGATCACCTGCTGCGGCTCTTCATCCTGGCATTCCAAGTGTTTGTCATCCAGATGCTGGAGAGACTGGCGCAACTGGCGCGGTCTGGGAGGCAGAGAGTGATGCAGCCGTTTCGCAATGGCCTCAAGAAGAAGCAACCGCGCAAGAAATTGGCTTGAAGGCATCTTCACACTGAGCATCAATGATTGCATTTGCCTTGTTCTTGTTTTTTTTTTTTTTTTCTATCATCGTTTGGGAGCACTACCATAGCGCATGGAGCAGAACCCGAGTTTGCATGACGACATGATCCAAAGAGTTGCTGCGATTGCAAGACTGTTTATGGCACTTTTAAGGAGAACAGCATTATCAGAAGCATCAAGACTGAGGCCAGGATATAGGGCATATAGAACAAAAAAATAGCGAAAGCATGGTTATGGTTATCCTGTCGAATCCTCCTGTGACAATGATGTCTGTAGTGGTATGTAGTAGCAGGTGGCTAGGCATCCCATCTCGAGTAATTCCAGAAGTCCTCTCAACACCATAAGATGCATACCCAATATTCCCACTCTAGAGCCTCAATGGACCAATCGATCCGTCTATGCACCATCTCTCCAAAAATGCATCACAGAGAATCAAGGCAACGGGTGCAAGTGCCATGGATACATACCTTATCTCGTCAGAGCCGGGTTTTTGACTTCCGCGCCGAACCGCTGCCCCACCATTCGCGATGTCATGCCACTGAGGATCGGCTGGATGACAGAAGCTGGCGCTAGCTCCAAATCGAGGCAAAACCATCTTCAAGCTCTCTATTCGAACCGCTTTCCCTTCTATATCGCGACAACAGCAGCCATGAATAACGCACTGCGCCTCGTGCGCAACGCCCCTTCGCGGACGACGACCTCATCCTCGTCGCAATGGGCCTGCTTCTTCTGCCAGAACGCACGGCCTCGGACGAGCAGCAGCCGCCCCAATTTCGCCGAGTTGCGGCGCAAATTCTCGAGCTCGCGGCCTCGGCGAGAGCAGCAGCAGCAGCAGACGCAGACGCAGACGCAACACCAAGCGCAGCAGCAGAATGCCACCTATGCACCGTCCATGGACAGGGTGCGGGAGCAGTATAGCCGGAGGAACAGGACGATAGCGTATGATGGCTTCTTCCGGACGGCAATTCGAGAACATTAGGCTCATGGCTTTCTTTGTGCAGCTACTACACCCTCAGTGTCATCATGGGCACGCTCGCCCTGTCCTACGGCTCGGTGCCTTTCTACAAAATGGTGCGTCAAACATGCACAAACTCCAGGAGAAGCCTTTGACCCAGAGAGAACTAACCAGGGTCTACAGATTTGCCAAACCACCGGCTGGGGTGGCCAGCCCATCCGAGCCTACGGCCAGTCCGGCGAGAACCAAGACATCTCCAGCCGCCTCGTCCCCGTCACGTCCGCGAACCGAATCAAGGTCACCTTCAACGCCGCCGTGTCCGACATCCTCCCCTGGAAGTTCGTCCCCCAGCAGCGTGAGGTCCGGGTGCTCCCCGGCGAGACCGCCCTGGCCTTTTACAAGGCGACGAACATGGGCGACCAGGACATCATTGGCGTGGCAACGTACAGCGTGACGCCTGCCCAGTGCGCCCCCTATTTCAGCAAGATCCAGTGCTTCTGCTTCGAGGAGCAGAGGTTGAATGCCGGCGAGACTGTGGACATGCCGGTTTTCTTCTACTTGGACCCCGACTTGTTGAATGACATTAACATGAAGGGCATTGAGACCGTGACGCTCAACTACACATTTTTTAGTACGCTTATGCCCTATCCATCGTTGCGACGGCTGTTGGGTCAGTCAATGGCTAACTGGAAAGCAGAAGCGCGATACGACAACAATGGCAGATTCATGCCTCCTGCTACTCAGTCATGAGCAGTTAGGATGGCCTGCACGATGCAACCAAGCGTGGATGTTGCGGTCTTTGTACGATATCATAGACGAAAGACCAGGATCATTGGGCAATCTTTTGTACATCACAACCCATGGGAGACTCTCAGCCAGGGAAGAAAGGGGGGATGGACCAGGATACGGAGTATATAGACGGGAATCGCGCTTTCCAGAGGACGTATCCATTCGTCAAGACTGGGGTAGGGGCGCAAAATGGAAAATCCAGCTCTTCATCACACCGTCTGCATGCCCTGAGCGTTCCTCCGCCTCTATGCAAGTTTTATACTCATCTTGCTGTCTCTCCGTGGCCATCACGGTCCAAATGAATAAAAGCCAGTATCTCAGTGATTACTTAAGCAAAGGTTTGGCTCCTTGAGACCTTAGGTAAGCGCCTGGGCTTTGCTTCTCTCCAAACTTGCCAAAAGCGGGAAGCAGAAAAGGTAGGGCAGGATAGATCACGTGGCTCCAACTCCACTCACTAAAAAAAAAAAAAGTGCGCCCACAACCAAAAGTTTCAACGACAATTTGTCTGCTTTAGGAATCTCTCTCTCTTCTCTTCCTTTCTTCTCATCAACCCCAACGCCCTCCACGACACCAGGATTTCCTCGTCGCCTCCCCCCAAACCGTCAAGATGGTCAAGCTGAACAAGAGTGAGTCCCATCGCTGGCCTTGCTCATGGAGCAATTGGAGCAATTTTGTGTATTAATTGTCGTGAAAATTACAGACCTCTCCTCCTCCCGGAGCAAGAGCCGTGCCGCTCACTTCAAGGCCGGCTCCGGCCAGCGCCGTGTCATCATGAGCGCTCCCCTTAGCAAGGAGCTGCGCGAGAAGTACAACGTTCGTCTCCCCCAGTCCACCACCGCTCATAGCCGCAAAAAAGAAAAAAAAAAGAGACAACAAAACTTACAAGTCTCCGCCTTAACAGGTTCGCAGCATCCCCATCCGCAAGGACGACGAGGTCACCATCGTCCGTGGCTCCAACAAGGGCCGTGAGGGCAAGGTCACCTCCGTCTACCGCCTCAAGTACGTGATCCACGTCGAGCGCGTCACCCGCGACAAGGCCAGCGGCCAGAGCGTCCCCCTGGGCATCCACCCCTCCAACGTCGTCATCACCAAGCTCAAGCTCGACAAGGACCGCGAGAGCATCCTGGCCCGCTCCAAGGTCGGCCGTGAGCTCCGCGTCCCCAACAAGATCTCTGCTTAAATCTTCTCTGATTTAAGCGGATGAATCTGGGAGCAAAAGAAAAGAAAAAACTGGTTGAGACGAGGAGATGAACACTTTTTTTTTCGACACGAAACACACTCAACACAGGGGGTTTTCTTCCCCCCCATGTGATGCATTCCACGGCAAACAATGATACGGGGCAAGGAAATGGGCACAAATTAGGTATATTCCGGCGTTTTCTAGCGATACCCCGAGGCCACACCACTTTTTCACCTGCAGGTCGCGCGGCATTTCTTCTCAAGCAGGGTAGATCGAACCAAATCGAGAATTTTACAATTCTCAATGGCCGTTTCACCAACTTTGTCGTTGTGTGAAATGCTCCATGGGAGGTGTTTCCCGAAGCCTTGGCTCCTTGTCCCACAAACTTCTTTGCTCTCGTCTCTGTGAGACCCTCACATGTCAAACTCGATTTACCTTGTCGAGGGGCTGCGGCTCACAATGGCCCAGTCTTATGTAAACTGACCTCACCTCTCTCTCTCATTACGAAGCAGAGCAGGTCACAAGCCAAGGTAGGTCTTGTGCTCGCTTCTCTCTCTCGTCTTCTCTCGTAGTTTCGTGAAGTGTTTCCCACCCCGCTAGATAATCTCCGCGTCAACCAACAATACTCATGGTTTTCGAGGTATACGACTGGCGGAGAGCAAACCCGACTGAGCTTCATTACCACGAAGCTCTGCCGCTCGCCCGAAGATTTTCATCTTGCCTTTGCTGTAACGAAGCTGGAAATTTGATGGTGAGGAACATGATACTGTCCACGAGAAATGGCCTTTTGCGCTTCTGCCCTTCGGCCCGTAGATTCGCATTGTAGGGACAGTATCAGTGTATACCTGGGCCAGGGGAGTTTCCCAGCACTCGATCGTCCTCCAATACTTCCCACTACCTACGTTAATTTATTTGGTAGAGTAGACGTCAGAAACCAGCGAGGCACTGTCCTTCCATGTAAGCACCGAGCTCTCTTCCAGCCTTTGCCATCCTATATATCTAGGCAGACGACCTTTTTGGCCGACATACACAAGCTCTTTACATGTCCACACGAAGCACTCTGAGAATAACTCCACGGCCCCTTCGCCAACAGGAGCCTTTCAGTTTCTACATTTTATCTTTTCATTAATCTAACAAATCTCAACGTACATCTATAATACAATCGAACTCTAACAATAAGTGACGCGCCTTGAGTCTGTTAGAAAGCAATGATTGGCCGCCCTTTGGCACCAGGCAAATGGTGAGGTTGACATGATGCTGTCCTCAGATTATTCGTCAAGCCAACGAAGTAAAGACAGAGCTGAAAGGAAAATAGAGCCGAAATCAAGTAGCCGGCCGTGATAGCTATTCATACAATCCATAAGTGTGCCTGCAATAAGAGATGATTCGATTGAACCTTCATGTGGCTGCTCTTTTTGCAGAAATACAGCCTTTGATGCTCCTGAGCTAGAGGACCTGGGGCCGCCTCTTCGAGCCTTGAACGCCTGGAGGTCGGTTTTCAATCTGTCGCTCTGCCACGGGGCCAGCCGAGCCATTGTCATTGGGCGTGCCCGACTTGCTTGCCTGCTCTCGAGGAGAAGAGCTGATGTTGGTCGCAGTGGGTGCGAGAGACGCAGTCGCGTGGCCGCTGTAGTGAGGCAGAACGCCCTGAGCTGTCGTAGACGAAATCATTCCAGGAACCGCGTTGCTGCTGGACGTGCCGCGCTTCATCATGTCGTGCCAGATTCCGCTGCGAGGTCTCTGTCTATGAATCACACCATGTTAGTTTCAACAGTCCAGTTATAGTGAATAAAATCGACCTACCGAGTCTGGCGCAAAGAGTTGCGACCTTTGAATACAATACTCTTGTCGTCGTTTTCGTCCGGGCTGTCACTCTCAGATGGAGCATTGGGAATGGCCGCTGTAGCGATTGAGTGACGGTTCTTGTCGATGCCACTCTTTCCGGTATCCTGAAGGGTAACGTGAACGGCCAAAGCGTCAACGCCATTGCTGGACGCGCCAGATTGCTGAGATGGATCCGACTCGACCGAAATGCCCACACCACCTCGCCTGTACTGGTGCTGACGTCGAGATGACTGGAAGGAGTCGACGCCAGTGTTGGCATTCTTGCCACCAATGTCATTTGCGGGTGCCTTGAGGGCCAGGAAGTCGGGCTCATCATGGTGTTTCGACTCATCCTTGGGGCTGGTGGCCGGAGAAGGCGGATAAAAGTCCTTGCCATCAAATCTGGGCAGACCCTTCGGAAGCTCGTGAGGAGAGTTACCCCAATACAAGTGTCGAGCTCGGCGCTCCTCGTCGGTCAGTTCTCGAGGATAAATGTAACCACTAGACCGAGCCTTCTCAGCGGTCAAGCCGGCGCGAAGCTGTCCAACAAGATAGGGCTTGCCAGTTGCGTTCTGTTCATGAGCGGATGCTACAGAGAAAGCCAGCCCGTCGCGAATAGCGTGACCGCCTACAGCACGAGGCTGGAATGGGGGTGCAAGTGCTGCGGTGACAGGCAAGGTAGATGATCTCTTGTTGGCGCCAGTGGTCTCAGAGATGCTCAGCGTCTGAATGGTCGAGGTGAGCTGAACTGCCTTGTTCTCGTGAGTGGAGTTCAAAGTGCTGTGCTGATGATCCGATTTCTGCTTGTCAGCCCGCACATTGAAGGACTCTTCCGGCAGGCTAGAAGCACTTTCGACGCTGTTCTCTGGCTTTGCGCTGCTGGGTGGGGGGGACTTTGATCGTTCTTCATCTGCAGATACCGACTCACTCGTGCCTTCCTTGGCTTGATCTTTCGGGAGGTTTCTTTGTTCATTGGCCACTTGTTCGGCCTCGACCTTTTCGAAGTGCTCAATCGAATTGCGCAACGACTGTGCATGAAGCTCCATGGTTCGTTCATCAATCTGATGCTTGTTGTACTGAAGCTGATCCTCAGCCCATCTGAGGGAAGCACGAAGAACCGAGAGCTGCTTCTTGGTGATCTGGCTGGCTCGGATAGAGGAGTGGTGCTGTCCAGGAGCTGGGGCAAGACCTGGCACCATAGGGAATGCCATAGGATGCGGCATGGCGATTGCTTGGTGCTGTGGCATCTGCGGCGTCTGTCCGTTGCTCTGAGCCACAGGAGCCATGACATGGTTGGGAACGAATCTGTGCCCAGCAGCCATAGGCGACATCATTGGGGGACCTAAGAATCCAGGATGAGGTCCCATAGCAAAGTGATGAAGGGCGCCAGGCGGGACCATCCACTGTGCATTGTGGACGACAGGCCGAGCAGCATCACCATTCTCAGCAGCGGAAGCCCGAGTGGGGGTGGCATTCTCTGATGCAGCCGCCTCACTTTGCTTGTCGTTCGCCGCTGGGTTTTGGTTCGGAGGCTGCATTGCCACCAGACCTGGGACATGACCCATCATATGAGGAGCAGGAGCCATTCCCATGGGTGCTCCCATGTTGAAGCCCATCGGCCACATGAATGGATACGGTGCAGCTGCTGCTGGCACGCTCGCCATAGCAGGCATCGGGGGCATCGCATGCATACCAGGCATTCCAGGCATACCAGGCATTCCATGCATGGCAGGAATCATTCCCGGTGCAAAGCCTGGAATCATAGCGTGATGCGGAAAGAAGCCGATGGGCTGTGGCATAGCAAACTGGCCTTGCTGGAGAGCCTCCCGGTTTGGTGGGCGGTTGGCGTTGTTTTCGGCTGCTTCCCCCGCGGGTTTGTCTTTGGGCCACCTGGTGGTGGGCGAGGGAGAGCCGCGTGTGTTGGGCACGATGCGGCCTCCAGCAGTCACTCGGACATGGGTAGGCGACACGACTGCTCGGTAAAAACGTTGGAAGCCTTCGTCCTTCTGGGCAGCAAGGCCAGTCGGAGCAGACATGGGCTGGGCGCCAACAGGTTCCGGGTCGTTGCGGCCACGATATCTCCACTCGGCCTCGGTACCATCCAGCTGCCTAGCTGCTTCACCACGGCGTGGAGATGTATTGTCCGAGTCCGGAGGCATGTCGGCAGGCTCCTCCATGATGCGTGCAAGGGAGCTTTCGAGGGGCATTCGTAGAACTTCACCTAGAGTAGCGGGTCAGCAAACAGGAACAAGCAGACGTTGCGGAGCTTGAAGAGCTTACCTAGGTCTTGATCTTGGCAAAGCTTTTCTTGGAGCTGATCGTACAGCTGCTTCTTCACAGAAGTGTTTTTAAGCTGGAGGAGTTCGTGGGGCTTGTATGTCCTCAGTGCCATTGCGAACTCGACGACGGCAGCAATAGTGAAAATCGCTGTTTCTCCTTGGATGAATAGGAGAAACGAAGTCAAAGAGCAGTGTAAAACACTGACCAAAAGCGGTTGTGCGTGTATGAAGGTGAGGCAAGCGTGATTGCAACTGGAATCTGGTTTCGTCAGAACTCTGCGAGATCAAAGAATGGGGAGTGAGCCGACTGCCTGTAGGATTGTAACTCTGGTAGGGGAACTCTCATCGACAGCAGACGCGTCGATATGGGATAGCAGAGCGTGGTGTTGCGGCTTATGTGCTACCGACCGACACAACGACGGGCTTGGCAAGAGTGAAGAACTGCCTAAACTTTCAAAGTGCAGGTGGTTCGTGAAGCAGATCAACGAGGCTCTATGAGGAGCGGTCGTAGTCGGCATAAAGGCAATGCGTGGAAATCGGGTGAAGGTAGAGAACAGGGAGATTGACCGCGTCGCCAGAAAGGAATCAAAAGGGACTTACCAGACAGCTACCAAGCGAGCAACAAGAGGTCTGTATGCATACAAAGCCTTGAATCAGGCTTCCAACAGGGTACTATCGAAGACAGCAGACTCGAGAGGGCAACAGATAGGGCGGGCGTTGAGGTAGGCTGACGATCGAGAGAGAGTAGCTTGAGGCCGTGACAAGACGTGGAGAGCTGCGAAGAAGCAGATCGAGTATGCGAAGAGCACCGACGAGCTGCCTTACTCAGGTGGGTAGCACCGTACCTTCTGCGGGAGTTGACGAGGTTAGCGAGAGCGAGGAGGTGCGGAGCAAAAGAAGCGATAAGGCACGAGGGAAAGAGGCAGGCAGGGACTTACCAGCGAGCTTCACGATGGAGAAGCTGCGAGGTCCAAACTTGGAAGCCGCAAGCAGAGGCTCGAGAGAACGTAGGGCAGGTACGAACCAAAACCAGCGTCTAGGTCGGGGCCAAAATGCAGGACCAAAATGCAGGTGACGTTGAGCACCCGCAGCTGTGGTGATCAGCCTCTCTACCCAAGGGAGGCGAGGCTGGTCGATGAGCTTTCCAGGTTTGCAGTTGAAGCTGCGCCAGGTCCTTGCCAGAACGCCTTGGCGATGCTGAGCTGCTGCAGTCACAGACCCTCAAGAGGATGTGCGGCTGCAGGCAGGAGCCAGCAAAGGGCAAGAGGGCGACGGCGAGGCACTGCCGATGAGTGTCTGCGAACCAAGAGAGATGGTATATCTAGTCAGGCGTGATGCCTCGACTGGATACTCTGGATCAGGGGCTGCAGATGAGCTTTGGCTGGATGTCGACGAGTGAGAGGGATGTGTGTGTGTTTGTGTGTGTTTGTGTGTTTGTTTTGATGGAGTTTTTGAAGTGGTTGGGGTTGCAGTGGCAGTGGTAAAGAAGAGCTGAGAGCTGGGTGAGAGGGTGCACTTGAGAAAACCTTCAAGGTGCTGGAGCTTGGGGGGAGACTCTGCTTTGTGTGGGCCACTGAGCTTGCGGTAGGTAGGAGAAAGGCTGGAGGGAAAAGGCCCTGGTTGCCATGGCACCGCACGCTATAGGGCTCAGGGACATGACACCTTGCTGGCCATTCTGATAGGCAAAGCCATCCTACTTGCTGAGGAGGAGTGCCAGAAGGGCTGCCAGACGCGTGCCGGCTGGGCAGACCTGCAACCCCCTAAGCACACGATGGCTAGTGAGCTCAGTGCTTGCAGAGAGCCCTATAGAGATGCAGGACATGATGTGATAGGGGGCTGAGATAGCCGAGTCTGCTTGGGTCTGTTCAAGCATACCATCTGAGCTCACTGCCTCCGGATAAGACTCGTTCAGTTCTTGATATCTCGCTCCAGCACATGTGAGAGAGTGATGCCTCGACATACTGCCTGCATGAACTCTGAGGCATAACTAACTGCAACGTTGGAGGTATATGACTGATAGCTGAGAAAGTCTGTAAAGACTGTCTGATAAGGCATCAGAATCATGTTTCATGACTCTATTGTCCTTGGGTAGCTCAAATTGAGCAAGTTATGCAGCCCCATAAAGTGAGATGCACTCCTATGCTCTTCCACTATAAGGTGCGTCTGTAAAGAGATGTTAGCAACTGAATATGCAGTAAGAGGGATTTTTAATAATGAATCTGTAGAGAATGATATGTCTTTACCTATTTGCTCTCTTCTTTTATGGCATATGGCTTGGTAGGCCAGAAGTTGGAAGCCCTCCAGTCTTGCCGATCCGCAAAGTTGCGACAATAGGAAACCTGGTGTTGCACAATAGAATGACAGCATAACACTCGGCAGGGCCTGGCATCTACCATGCACCCATAGAAACTGACAATACTCATGATGCACAAATGGCATTGGCATAGCTGGAGTCACCCATCGCTGTGACGACTCCCACTGCATGTGCCATCACAACTCTCGTGCATGGTCTTACATGAATCATTGCTTCGGACATATCGCCCATCAAAGAAGTGCAGATCTTCTGGTAATAATTTGTATTGTTTCAGATTAGCAGAGAACTGGCTAGGGAGAAGGTAACATGGATAGGTAGGCAGGGGGCGATGTGGTCTGTTTGTCATGATCGAGGCCGGAGTAGATGGCAAACCTGGAGCAGGGCGGAACTACAGGATCCGGTGATGTTGTCCCGCAAGGTACGCTCGGAAGATATTGAAGAGAGGATGGGCCATCACACCATGTCGCTCCGTGCTATGGTCCCATCTGGGAATCAACTTTTCCCAATTCTGAGCGGCATATGTCGTGCTATACTTTTTACGATGAACCTCGCCCCTGATGGTAGCAGCAGTTCCGAACCTCAAAATGAGCATTATGATCTATACAAGCCATTAACATCGGGAACACAGAGCACTCCTCGCCTCAGTCAAGCCCAGCGAGGATCAAAATCCCGACTCTGGCTCTGAGCTGGATCCGGCCGCCGTCAAGGACATCCTGTTCGTCAGTAGCTGGAGGAGACAAGATACTTAGCGCTTGAAGAACGTGATCCCACCAGTTACTGTAGCGTCAACCTTGAAGCACCAACACCACCACAGTGTTGAAGGACGAGAGAAGTCTATTTTCACGAAAGACTTCAAGATGATTGTGCTGCGGCTTGTAGAAAAGAAAAAGATGCGGACTGCAGATGTGGACGAGAGCTGAATTTTTCTTCATCAAGCAAACGCCCAAAACTCCAAAAAAGTGGATATCACGCACTTCTCGGTCCACAGCCCTCGTGGCTTTTGGTGTTTAGGCAGCCCTCGGCTCGTCAATGCGGACGCTATAACGTGCGACAATTGGATTTGCTTAGCGAAGCTGGCTCAAGGCGAGGCGTGAGGAGTGAACTCGGGCGAAGCCATACGCATTTCTGAGCTTCAACGGGGAGCTGTGTTGGGCATGTCGGCATCAGAGGGCTGACAAGAGAAGCAGAATACCTCCAACCCAGGCAACCCAAGCAAGACAAAGGGGATGTCACATTCTCTGACTCGTTCACGGATGTCTTCCAAACATGTATTCTTATCTGTGAATGAATAAGGTAGGATGCCTGACATGGTAGTTGGCATTTGGATGGTGAACAACAGGTCAGGAGGCGGAGGACATCTCGGAAGTGGGGTCTCGAAGCGGCACATACCCTAGACTCAGCACATGTATGCGGTCGGTACTTTGAAAAACAGTCCACGTCAACTCAGCAATTCTGAACCTCCAGAGATGTAATGATTGCAGAATCACATGCCAATGAAAGTGCGGTAAACGTGCGCCAATTCTTGTCCTTCCGGGAAGGATGAGCCATGCAGGTGTGGGTTCACCTTCTTGAGGGGAAAATATCGTAAGGAACATTCATACATGCAACCCGGGGTTTCGAATCAGGGGGTTGAAGATATCGTGACCTCGACTGTACACTCTCACGTATTTCGGACTGCCTTCTCATTCTAACGGAGATGATGCTACGCCTGACAATCTACAAAGATGCCCATCAGGTCTTTCTACTGTACTTCTGCTTCTCGGTCCAAAGGCAGTCTGCCCCTTGCAACAAGGCATCGCCACAATGCCCGTTGCTTTACCAGTTTAGGTGACGAACTAGCATATGATAGGCTCTAGTCCATCACAAAACGAACCTCTCCACCCAAAGGACAGATGGATCAGAAAACTGACGAAGCTTACCCCGCTGTCTGTCGCGAGCTATTACTACTGATACTGTAGTTCTTGCAATAAAACACTGGGGGTGGCTGGTGAAGCCAAATGCCCGGGTTCCGCGTGGAGCCGCTGACATCAAGAGCTTCCTCGGCAAGCCGGGAGAGGGAGCAGGACGGGCTCTTACGGCCCGCGGCTGAGCTGGATTGACTGGCTTCTGGTATCGGCGGAAGCTAGAGAAGCTTGAAGCTGGAGTTGGCGTTTTGAGCCTGTTTACCGTATTCTATATAGCTTGGTGGATGGCCCGGGATCTGGCAAGGGGATTGACTTTGTCCAAGGGCGGACAGATGGCTTAGTAGCTCACAGCTTGATCAGCACTAATCGACTCGTATCCGACGTCAACAACTGCCTCTCATCACCTCTTGAGCCTCATAATTGCCCTTCCAGCAGAGTCTTCCTACTTCATTCACGATCAAATACTCGCCCTCTCTCTCTCTCTCTCACTCTTGAGTCCCATCTGGACCAGTACAATTTCACAATGTCTCCCGTCAAGCCATCCTGGAAGCAGCCGTCCCACCCCGAGATCCAACAAGTCATCGCCGGCAACGCCGAGGACTTCACGACAAAGAGCTTGTCCAAAGTCTCCGTGCCACCCTTTGGCCTATTTGCCAAACTCGAGTTTCCGCCTTGCGAACTGGTCGCCGAGGCGACTTATGCTACCGTCCAGATGGACAAGGACAAGCATCTGACTCTCAACAGCGACTTGCTCTACATCAATCACTCTTGTGAACCTTCTCTTGTTGGTCAATCCCTTTGTAATAAAGTGGCAGTTCTTGGATAGTTGCTAAGAGAGTGTTCTTTAGCATTTCGATATGAGAAACATGAGAATTGTGGCGGGACCAAAGGGCCTTCAGCCTGGAGATGAGCTCACAGTCAGTTCACCCACCCCTCACTCAGCAGCTCGAAACAAACACGCAAACTGACTTGAACCGGTGATCTCTCATGCATCAGTTCTTCTATCCGTCGACCGAATGGAGCATGGCCCAGCCGTTCGATTGTTTCTGCGGCAAGCCCACTTGCAAAAAGACCATCACTGGCGCCAAGGATATGCCATCTCATTTGCTTGATGGTCTGTGGCTCAACGACCACATTCATCAGCTTCTGGAGGAGCAGGCACTGCTTCGCGAGACTCAGCAGCAACATGGACGATTGCCTGAGAGTGCGGGACATGGATTGCTTCGTCGCGGGATAACGTCTCGAGAATTGAGCGGAGAAATGAGCGGCGATACTGTGGCAAAGGCTTGAATGCTACCGGCCTCTTTGATCCGAGGTGCTGTTTGTGCCTAAGGTAAGGGAGGAAAAAAGAAGGTCTGGTAGCTGGCATGGATTCAACATCCATAAATGCCTCAAAAATTGGTGATGAAAAGTCAAGGAAAGATTCAACATCCGAAACGAGCCGTGCCTTGACCAAGAGAGAGGAAGGGAACAATAAGGGACATGCATCTAGCTATCTCGCCAAGTGCATACTAAAGAACAAGGGAAATATATGTACAAGAAAGCTGCCTATGATTTGCAAATGGCATTCGATTGAGAAAAAATGTACAAGAACATTAATCATTGAACATAACGTCAACGACCATCGCCGCCGTCATGCTGTCAGCTATGGCCACTGAGGCTGTTTCTGATCCCCGATTTTGACGGAACTTCCTCTGCCCACTCTTCACGTTCTAGGAGACGCCGTGCGCTGAGCGCTCGTATGAACCGCCAAGCCTCGGTATCAGCCATGTTCCAGGCCTCAAGAGAAGAACGCATCTTGGTCCCATTCGTCGTCGACTTGTTCAGCATGACGACACTCTTGGCTTTGTCCAGCAGAGCTCGCTCGTGAGCGACGGCTTCGTCCGAAGCAACGGGTCCATTGAGCCTATCCGGCAGCTCATCCTCAGGCTTAGGCAAGCGGTCCGCAGGCACTGGGCTTTGCGATTTCCCGTCATCCATGGACTTGTCGGGTAAGGTAAATCCAAAGTACCAGTCCAGATCACTGGGCACTTCGTTTTCGGCTGGAAGCCACAGTGAATCGCTGGTCGCAACCTCGCCAGCCGCGAGATCCTTGAAACGCATGACCCTGCGACTTGACGTGACTCCAGAGCCGAGATAGGCCATGGTGACAGCATTCAGCCATGGGTCTCGGGGTGATTCCAGGATCCAGGTGACATTGATAGACTCCCTGAGGTTGTCTACCATTGCAAAGGACCAGGGATGCGGGACAACGCCGATTGTGAAGATCTGGGGCGAATTACGGAAGCGGGATGGTGTGGAAACGGTCATGGGGGACGCTACGCATGGGAAGCATTTGGGTAAGTTGGGAGGGCATGTGGACGGCATCAGCGACGCAGGACAAGCTGCCAGAGACTTGGCGAGCTTCAGGGCGCCGGCCACCATGGCTGTGGCATGCTCTGGGTGTGGTTTCAGGACGTCGATGCCCTCGGGAAAGTTGTTCTGCCAGGCCACCAACAGGTGGTAATTGATGAGCTTGTTCAGGTTGCGGAGGGTATCTGCCTTGCTTCCCTGTTTGATGACACTGCCGTACTTGGCCTCGATGATCTTGGGGCTGTAGTAGGCAAGAGGCATCTTGGTGTGATTCACCGTGACGGTGTCGCTTGACAGAACCGCCGTGACACTTGTCGCATCGTGTACATCGGCTTTCTGTATAACGGCTTGAATGGCCAATCGAACATGACTTTCTGATCCGACGAGGAATGCGTCGTCGAGAGCAGCCCATCTTGTTAGGTTGGCGTATTGGCCTTGTCGTAGGAGGAGTAAAAACGGATCTCGTCGGGAAACGGCTGGGAGAACAGTAAAGTTCGATAGTATGCCTCCATTCACAGTGTCCCAGGCGAGCCATCTCATGAGGTCAACTTTGAGCTCGGATGATGCCGTCATTGTCTGGAACTGCTCGTAGCTGGGGCTGTTTCTGGCGTCGACAGCGCCCAGCACGACCGGACGGAACCCTTGCGCCCACCAAGCCCGGCGCCATGTCAGCAGCAGCTCGTTCTCAGCATCCCTTTCATCCTTTGTCTTCTTGACGGATGAGTCATGATAGCAATAGATGGGCGGTCGAGCTTTCAGAGGAGGAAGCAGTACCCGGCCATCGTCTAGCGTGATGGAGTTGGAATAGGGAACCGAGAGCCATCTCTCGTCTGCCACCCAGGACGATCCGTCGTACTCCTCGATCTTGTGCTGCGCAGGCGATGCTTGTGGCGACGGCGGCGGACGGTTGAAGCCCGTGGGAGGCGCGTCACTAGCGTGCGCAATGCTGGTCGAGATCCTGTGGCCGTATGCAGAGAGGCCCGGTGAGGCTGGAACCGCCCACGTCAGGCTGCCAATCAGGAGGACGGCCAGGAGGGACAACAGGATCAGCAGCGCGGGAAGACGGCGAGGCGACAGACGGGAGACTGGCCAGCCGCACGGACGAGGTGGCTTGAGCATGTTGCAGGGCAGTCAGTGGTGGCTTGTTCGTGTTCGACAAGGCGGCAGTGCGAGGGATCCCATGCAGTCGACCCAGAGCAAAGGAGATAGAGGGTGACACAGCGTTGCTCGCTAGCAGGCATTGGGACTGTTCGGAACAGCTTCGAGATCGGACGGCATGGTATCACCATCAATTGCCGGTTGTTGGCTCTCTGAAGCTCGCGTATCTGGGGCGGGATGAAGGTGACGGCGCGTGGGTGCGGCAACGAAGGTCAAGTAACATTTGATGCCGGTTTCCTCACCAGAGACGCGGGATAGGTACTAGGTAGTTACCAACCTAACAAGCAACCAAGACAACACACTAAGGTACCTACTTACTGTACTTAGGACCTGTAAATTGCCGTTATGCGGCCCCCACCTCTTCCTCCCTGCACGTACTCGTATCTGTCTGGCCTTTTGGAACAGCAGACATCATGGCAGCATCGTGCCTGATATTAAGTCCGTTAATCTCGACAAGTTCCGGTGTCAGTGCCTCTTTCTAATGGTCCAGCCAACACCCGCCCGAGCTGCCCTGTCGTCTATACAGACTCGCATCCCTCCCTCCCTGCGTCCAGGACAAGTCATACGCTAATGCCGGCCCCTGTCACGACACCAGCATTGCTCGAGCAGTTACTGTACGGCTGCGTGGGAGAGGCAACGAGTCTGTGTAACGTCGTTAGTCATGCCATCAAATCAGCGGCTGCCAGACATCAATGAATGGCCATGACGGCATTTGCAAGATACGGCAACGAGTACTTCGCAGGCAACAGCCCGGATTCCCCACCAGGCTGAGACCCGGGTATGTATGTTGTTGTGGCGAGCTCATCCTTCTATGTTTTCTTTGGAGGGGGACACTCGTGTGTTGTTGGGTAGAGGTAGGTATCGACCGCATATGGTCGTCCGCCGGATGCGAATGCTTCATACTCTTGCGAATCCGAGATGACTTCACTTGGTGTATTGGATGGAAAAGACTCCACAAGTGTGTTGAGCCTGCAGCTGTTGTGAATCGTCGTCCACGGCCTCTCCAAGTTGAAACTGCCTCAGCCTTCGCCTATCCACCGGGATTCCTCTCCACCACCCAGGTTGATTCAACAGCCAGCTTTCATGCAAGGGAGCTCGCCTCCATGCAGTCGGATAGCGTACGTGTACACAGCAGTTTCTCTCAAGGCCAAAGTACTGCAGATTGATGACGGGCTTCCGAGGAGGAGAACAATAGGCGTGTGTGCTTGTCAATAGAGTGTGTAAGTGCGTCCTATCACCTCACGATGCGCTCACTTTGCCCAACCATGATCAATACCTAATTGACTGCTTATGCACTCAGCTGCTTCTGCCAGTCACCATTTTGCTCCATATCTTCTGTACCCGATCCAGCCCGGGTTCGTTCTTTTGCCCTGTCTGAGTATCAGATTGCGTTCACATTGGGCCCGAGCCGGCTGGCCCTGCATGCAGCTGCTCACACTCGGTAACTGACTGGCAGACTTGCGCAGGAATCTGTTGCTCTTGTCTCTCCTCACTCAAAAGTCTTTGTTTGCTATTCATCCATTTACACCAATTGCGCTGCTCAAGCTGAGTATAAGGGTCTCCTGGAGTCCTCACCTGGTGCCTGCCAATTTCAGTCCCATCAGCCTCCCGCAAACTTAATTCTCTTTCTTCCTCTTCTTCCTCTTCTTCTTCTTCTTCACCATCATCGTCACCATCTTCTTCTTCTTTTCTCTTCGTCTTCTCTTTCTCAACACCAACTCATTGTTGCTTTATTCCTGCCTTTACTTCTCTTTTCCCCCGTATTTCTTCGTGCAGCTCTATAGCGAACTTTGCCATTGTGGTCTCCTCTCTGCCGCAGCATTTACCTCAAGACCGTTGCGAGTGCTGGCACTCGCTTGCGCATCTTCCACCTGCCTGCAACCAGACTGCCAAACTCTGAGGACCTCGTCAATCATGGGCTTGGAACAGTTCAATCAAGATCTCGCCGCCTCCAAGAAGCTGGAGATTCATGGCGTATCCAGGGTCCGGCGAGGAGACTCTGACGGCGAAGTGGTCTTTACCTGGGCGCCCAACGACGACACACCTCCCCTGGACATCCAGATCTTGATCCTTGGTATATGCCGTTACCCCCAGCCATTAGACAAGATCGTGCTTGTTGCTAACGCCTAGCAGATGTCGACTCTTACCCGAGAGACTCGAGCGTGTTGATCTTCACGGGATCAGAACACTCTTCACCCGATGTCTCCTCTCTTCTCGAACGCCTGTCAGCGTCTCTTGCCAACAAGAGCATCCAAACCATCATAGAAACTACTGCGGCAAAGCTTTTGACCAAGCCTGAAGCCGACGCCAATGCGAGTGAGACTGCCATAACCGATTCCAGCGAAGATGACGAATGGGAAGATCAATACGACGATTACTCGGACGACCTTTTCGAAATTCCGTGCGGCTCCTCCAGATCGCGGGTGACAAACAGCGACAATGCTTCATCCTCTGCCGCACGTCTGAAGAGAGAATTGCGAATCGCCCACGCAGCCGGTATCTCTATTGGCATTTTCCCCCGGAAGTCGGTCCGAAACGCTGAGTTCTACTCACTCTCTCTCCGAGTTAAGAAGCTTGGAATTCCCGAACATGCTCTCGAAGCATGGGGTCTTGAGCGCTGCGAATACCTGGTCCTCCTGTGTCGATTTCCAATCAGCTACCTGCCCATTTCGCAACTTATGGACTACCAACTCGACGACTTTAAGCTACAATTTCGCTTTGGAAAATGCTCCAAGCCCAAACCGACCGTCGATACAGCTCGTCTCGCCTTTGCTGTCCCGTCTGACGGAGCCCCTGAAAACCCAGAGGGCCCTTGCGAAGAGGTCAAAGATGGCAATGGGAGCTTTATACCTCTTTACGTATCCAACTCGATCAACATGCTCATGAACACTCACTTCGTGGCTTTGTTGAAGATGAGGCGACGTGACGGGTTATCATGGGACGGAGCTTTACGCCGTCTGCCAACTGGCTCACGCAACAATCCTACATTGCCCACGGCCTGTACAGATGCAAGCGCGTCTAAATATTTCGAAGCTCCAGTCTCCGAGAACGCGATACCTTCATTGAGGCACGACTATGCTTTGGACGATAATGATAAGTTCAGTCTTCCCATGGTTGCCATGCAGTTCGCACTACGGCACCTAGCCCGCTGCACAAAGTATTGCATGGTCTGTCACCAAAGGGTAGAAGATGGGTTTGAGGCTCTCAAGCCCTACGTCTGCTCTAGTCCTCTTTGCAATTACCAGTTTCTGAATCTTGGCATGGGAGCAAGCATTGAGCATGAAATCGTCAGTAACCCCTACGTCGTCGACATCCTCATTAGCTTTTTCGCCGCCGCCCTTGCAGTCCCAAAGAGCGTAAGAAAGTTGCCTACTGGTCTCAACATAAAGAGTATCTTCACCGGGAACAAGACCAGGGAAGCTGTTCGCATTGCTGCCGAAGTGTGTTTCTTCGACAAGACCATCCGCCTTGTTCCGGATGCGAAGAAGGCGAACATCAACATCAAAGTCGGCGATAAACTTATGATCGTTCTCAACACCGCAAACACCCTTCCAGTGCCGGCAATACTCGATGGAAGTAAGTAGACTAACCGATTCCCTCCCGCACCCAGCAGTCAGGCTTGCCCACCCGCTTTCATATAGATATCCCTTGTCTGACACCTCCCCCAACACAGAATATGAAAGACACGTCTGCAAAGTGACAAAGGTTGAAGGCGAGCTCTACACGTTCGAGGTCATTATCACCTTTACACTTCCCCTGAAGGTGCCGAGGTCGTCGCAAGAAGAAAAGACTACACAGCTTTCAGAGCGCAAGAAAGCATGGATCAAAGTTATGCTTCTTCGGTACGATTGTGAGATTGATTTTCTGGACGAATACAGCCGAGGCGTTGCTCTGGCCATGATCTTGCACGGGATGCCCTCCGTCCTGGACATGAGGAGTTTCCTCTTGAAGAATCCAGGACAACGCCTTACCTCCTGGAGCCGGCTCGACAAGCCTGCACTCACTCTGCTGCAGTGGATCATATCCTCTAATCGGTCTCTGATACTTCAAAACGATGCGGTGCCGCGGCTACAGGGGGGTGGCCATGCCATTGCAGACCCGAATCCCAACCGAGTGGAAGGATTACCGCCTCAATGGATGCAATTCCGCTTTCTACAAGGGACCCCGGAACGCGAGCGTATCTTCACGGGAGAGATTGCGACCCTCTCAAAGTCCGAAGAAGACACGGCAAAGTTTCCTACCATATTTGCATGGCATGGCAGCACTCTGCACAATTGGCACAGCATCATACGAACGGGCCTTGACTTTAACAAGGTCATCAACGGACGTTCCTTCGGAGACGGCGTGTACATGAGCAACAATTTTCAAGTGAGCTTGGGTTACTGCCAGAAAGGGGCCAATACTAAGACGACAAGCCCGCCACCGGTAAGATTCCGACTACCCCTTAATCCTTATTATGTACAGTGTGCTTGCTTTCAGACCTGCTGGGGACCAGTTGACTGACCTGAGTTGTGCGTAACAGGTACCGTACTGGCCGAACTCCGTGCTCAGGCCGTCCTCTGCCATCAGCATCTGTGAGGTTATAAATCGGTGCGACCAGTTTGTGCAGACTACACCCCATTATGTGGTCAATCAGATTGAGTGGATTCAGTGCAGATATCTGTTCGTCTGCGTCGAGCCGAACGCAGAAGCTTTAAAAGAGCCATTTCCTACCAAACCAAGAGAGCCTTGTGCTGGCTACGTGGCTCAACATCCGCCGAGAAAACTCCTTGCTGGTCTACACAAAGAGGTTAAGATCCCCTTGTCAGCAATACTCTCGACTCGCCGGCTCCTTGGCCATAAGGCTGATGGTGAACTCGATGACGCTGAGCTGCGCCAACCGATGAACCAATCTTTGGAGACGGATTCTGAATCGCCTGACAGCGATCACGGAGATACGGACAACGAACTGCTTTTCAACTCCGAGGATGACGACAGTGTTGGTGTACGATCCAATAAGCGGCGAAGCTCGTCGATAGACTCTGCCGACCCCAGGAGGCCCAAGCTCAGCTCTGCAGAATACTCGAAGAAGATGCCTAAGGAGAACGCAGCTGTGACGTTTGAGACGGACTTTGTGCCCGGCACCCTGGATCTGGACTCTCTGCCAAGGCTGCCAGAACCCAGCTGGGCATCGACCTCGCCAATGGCCACCAGGACCCTCAACCGCGCCATCAAGGAGCTGCATGACATTCAGAGCAAAGAAGACCTTGCATCGCTGGGGTGGTACATTAACTTTGACAAGCTAGACAATGTGTTTCACTGGACCGTTGAGATGCACAGCTTCGATCCCGAGCTCCCCCTCGCAAAGGACATGAAGGAAAGGGGCTGCACCAGCATCGTGCTCGAGTTCCGTTTCGGCTCAAACTTTCCCTACAGCCCCCCGTTTGTCCGTGTCATACGGCCGCGATTCTTGCCTTTCATGAGGGGAGGCGGCGGCCACGTCACCGCGGGCGGAGCTATCTGCTCGGAAATGCTCACGAACTCGGGATGGTCGGCAGTCATGACGATTGAAAAGGTGCTTTTGCAAATCCGACTTGGACTGACGGAAATGGATCCTCCGGCGAGACTGGACTCGATGGGAGGGGTGAGCGACACTCGGGATTATGCCATCGGCGAGGCGATTGATGCCTACCAGCGGGCCGCGACGGCGCATGGGTGGCGGATTCCGAGGGATCTGAGGAACATTGGGTCTTCTTGGGCTCCAGAGCCGAAGAAGCAGGAGTGAACGACTCTTTGCGTCTTTGAGAAGAATAGCGAGTGACAGAGAGATGAGGAAAGGAGTAGCGATGATGTGGCTGTCGAGGATGAGGCGAAGGGGGACTGCTGCGTCGTATAGCTGAGCGAGGTTTGCAACAGGAGACGAGGCATACCGTCAAACAGCTGTCGTGGAGGTGGATGAGCAGAGAGGATAGCTATTTTCCAGGACCGCCCCCCTTTGAAAAGCGAATAGGTAGCATAAGCAAGACTTCTGGATCAAGGGATCTCCGTGTCAGACGAGCTGGCCTCGTATGGCTGATCCGCACAGAAGCAGTTTAGAATCAAAAGACAATGCGTTCCATCAGTTTGTTCATTGATATCGTCATTGAATAAGAAATGGTCTGATCTTCTAACGCACTGATAGACTACATGAAAGGGTACAGTTTGAGACCCAATGCTCGATATGCTACATGATATACAACTACATACTTGACATTTTGACTCCAACCCCCTCAACGCCGTAACCATGAAAAGGTGAATAAACATCTCTTTCCACAAGCGCAAGGAACACACCTAGAATTCCGTGGGAACCTCAATACAAAGTCTACGATCCGATTTTTACTGTCTATATGATTTTACACTTTTTACTTTTTTTTTCGTTCTGATATGCGGGGATGTGCTTCCCCTTCCACCCTCCCTTTTTCTTAAAAGAAAAAAAAAAAAGCACAGAAAGAAGTCCACTTCCCTGTTTCTTTTTTTTTTTTCCTTGGATTGATTTCCCCAAAGGAAACAACGTAGGTAGATGCCCCTTTTGTGACAGCCATGCCAATGCCAAATGTCATGTGCAGATGCAAAGAAAGAAAAATGGAAGAATAAGCATGGCAGGCAGGCAGTCGTAATGATAGGGGCTACGCGCTTAAGGATGCCGCCCATGCAGAGCAAACTCGGACGAGAAGTTGTCTTGTAAATGCAACAACCTTACTTCTCGCCATGAGGATTCCCAGGCATCATGGAGAGCCAGTCATGCCGGGAGGGAGGCCCGATCGCAGCGGCCGATCAAGTAAATGCAGCAACAGTCTTTGGGACTCAAGCAGCTGAAGAAAAAGCCGCACCTCCTTTGTGGTAAAACTCCAGTTGATAGTCAAGCCTCATGGTCCAATAGTTTTTTGATATCGACCTCTCAAAGAGCTAGGGGTATTGTCGATAGAGTGAAGGAAAGGAGGTCGATAGGGGAGGGAGAATGGGAAGAAAAAAAGATGCATAAACCATAACCAACAAGCGACCCTCAGAACCATCAACCACCCGTTCCGTTTGCTCCCTCATCAGCAGTGCACTGATGGTTTCGCGTGTTGCATCTGGCTGATCCTTCAGCCAACATCAGAGCAAGTCTTCGTCCAGCCCAAACTTAGGCATACTGGAAGAGCGCGCTGATGGACTCGCCGTGGTGGACGCGGCGGATGGCCTCAGCAAACACTGGCGAAATATCGAGCACTTCCAACTTTGGGCAGAGACGGCGGTGCTCCTCCTGCGGGACGGAGTTGGTCACAACGATCTTGTCGATGGCAGAGGCGTTGACGCGGGCGATGGAATCGCCACTGAAGACGCCGTGGGTGATGAGGGCATACACCTTGGTGGCGCCCTCTCGCTTCAGCAGCTTGGCAGCGCGGGTGATGGTGTTGGCGGTGTCGGCAAGATCGTCGACCAAGATACAGACGCGATTGGCAATGTCACCGACCAGCATCATGCTGGCGTTGCGGTGATCTGTGAACTTGATGGGACGACGTTCCTATTGCGGGGGAAATGATGAGTCGCGAACCAGAAGACTATGGGGTCATATTACCTTGTGGATGAGGGCAAAGTCCATGTTGAGACTGTCCGCAATCGCGGTAGCTCGCTTGGCACCGCCGGCGTCGGGCGAGACGATGACGGCTTCTCGAAAGTCGGGGATGTGGGTCTGGATGTAGTTTTGGAGGAGGAATTTGCCGTAGAGGTTGTCGACGGGGATGTCGAAAAAGCCCTGGTACTGAGGGTCGTGGAGGTCCATGGTGATGATGTGGTCGGCGCCTGCGCAAGTGAGAAGGTCTGCAACAAGAGTGCCGGCCTGGGCGACCCATTGCTTGTAGCCAGGCTTGGGTCGGAAGCCGTTGATGTTGGTCTGGTTTTCGTAATCGTGAGTCGTAAAGCTTCGTTGTGTGAGGTCGGGGTAGACTCCGTTATTGTTGTTGTTGGAGGCGGAGCTGACGCTGGAGAGGGTGTCTGATCGCTTCGGCGCCGCGTCGCCATTGGCCTCTGCTCCAGGGTTCTTTGTGAGCTTTTCGGTGAGGCCATTGACGCCGTTGGCGAGGCCGGCGCTTCGGGGACCGCCGGGCCGCGGTGTGGGAGGGACGCTCTCAAAGGTGTAGTCCTTCTTAGCAGACTCTGACGACTTTGAGAGGGGCGCGCCAGCCTTGTTATACGGCCAGTCGGGCTGTCTCGAGTAGGGGAAGAGAGGCACAACGGCGGTCACCCGCTTGGCGGAGCCGATTTTGCAGGCCGAGATCATGATGCAGAGGTCGATGAGGTTGTCGTTGACATGGCCGGAGCCGGACTGGATGATGTAGACGTCCTTGCCGCGGACCGAGTCCTTGATCTCGCAGCGGCTCTCGCCGCCCGAGAACTTGGACAGGATGCGGTTGCAGGCCGGGATGCCGAGGAAGTTGCAGACGTTCTCCGTCATCTGCGGGTGGGAGTTGCCTCCCAGAACGACAATGTTTCTAACCATGGCGACGGCGGCGTCAGGCAGGACCGAGGCCGAGCAGGAAACGAAAGTCTTTCGAGCCGGCTGGCGAAAGAGAGAGAAGGGGTCTCTGATTGAGCACTGCGCAAAGCAGCAGCGGCAGCAGCAAGCAGCAGCAAGCAGCTGGAGAGATTTGGAGGGGTCGCGTGAGGGCTTGAGCAATGCTCTAATGCTCGTTTTTTTCTTCCCTGGCAGACCCGCTGTCCGTCGAGTGGAGCAGAGCAAATCGCAGATACACAGCCGTGGTCCAGAGATCCGTTGCCGATTGCGGCCGAAGCGGGAGAGGGCGGGAGTTGACGGAATCACAGAGCGGCGGGCGTTGAGCAGGGCGGCGATGGCGGAGCCACGAGGCAGCAGCAGATGGGCTGGAGAGGGGATTCAGAGCGGCATGATGGTGAAGAGAGAATGACGGGGAGAAGAGTGGAGATTGGGGGACAAGAGAAGGGAGAGGAGGAGGAGGAGGAGGATAAAGAAGAGAAGAACGAGAAGCGGCTCTGAGTCAGGACAGCCGGTTCGACGGCTAGCAACTCCAACACCAAAAAAAAGAAGACAAGAGAAAAAAAAAAAAAAATCTGAGGCCGGTCCCGCATCCCGGCGTGCGTCGTGGTGCCGAAACGTGCATGAGTGGGGCCCGCGCAGGGCACGCTTCAGCGGGATGCAGGAGCCTCGCACAGGCCTGGATGCGCTGTAACTCGACCGCTAACAGCCCAGGAGGGCGCCCTGTTTGGCTGCTACCAAGGCTGGCCCGCCCCTCCACTTGGCGCTAGGCGGGGGAGACGGCACTGTGACGGCACTGTGCGTCTGAAGTGATGCCAGTAGGTACTTAATTGATTGACGTTTGACCAGACGAAGTTGGTTGAATTTGGACGACTAAATTGCACAGAGCATGGCTGGCCCGTTGAAGTATACTGTACAAGTAGAGCTCAGCAGATGAGTACTTGGCATCAGTCTTACAAGGAACCGCTGGCACAGATCCTACTGCAACTCTGGCTTCCGTTTATTGTCCACCATGTCTGAGAATTGCGCCATTGCTGCGACATCACGGTAGAAGTAGGTACATGTGTACATACAAGGACATGCTGTTGGCTCAGCTTAAAAAGACGTCAAGGTACATGAGTTTAAACGTTGGTGCCATTGGACTGCGGATCGAATGCCTTCAGCTAGGTAGCAAACAAGCGGTAGCTCAGATGCGAGGTACCTACGAGGACTTACCGCCGTTTACACGCGGCATCTATGAAACCCGTGAGGGTTCTCTGGAAATCGTCAACGTGACTCCTGTACCTCAAAACGATATTTCTGGAACCGAACCCTGTTGAAGCCCCAATTGCTTGCTGATTGTGGCCGTTTGAACCTGGCACAATGTCCGGCACCATTTGCGTCAGCGCTTCACGACAAGCAAATGGCGTCACTCGACCAAAGTTGCCTACCTAGGTAGGTATTCAAGGGATCTACTACCAGGTACAATAAGCACTGTAGAAATCGCCAGCCAGCCGCTTGATGAATTCGAGCAGAAACGGTGACGCACTGCATTCCGTCTCATCGCCTCCAGGCTCGGCAGCCTGCATGTGATACTATTAATATTACGATGTACTTCCTTTCGTCAAGATTGGCTGCATGTTTCAGCGCTGCGTGAGTGCGAATACAAAGACGACGGCACTGTGGCACCCAGAGCCCACTGGAATTTTCCTTAGCGGTCTGCCTGCTGCGACGAATGAGTGAGGGGCAATTGGCGCTGCTCTGATTGGACCGCCGTTTGGCTGACAGAAAATGCTTGCTTGCTTGCTATCCTCCCATCTTTTCTTAGATGCAGCGGTTTTGATGCTCCGGTGCAGTTTGACAACTGGAGACGAGGCGAGACGAGACGAGGCGAATTCTGTTCGAGAAGCTGAGAAGACAAGGCAAATTGGCTCATTGATCTGGCTGACTGGACTCACATTTGAGACTGTTCTCGTCTCCCACAAGCTGAGGAGAACAGAGCCTTCGCCGCCATCATGAAGGTCCTCGAGGCTCAGGCGGCGGTACTCACTAATTATGAAGTGCTGCAGCATCTGACCCAGCAAAAGGAGCGATACAAGCAGAGGAAACGCCGCGGCCCTCCCAATCTCGAGACCGTGGTCAGAGAGGTTCGTCAAACCAATCGTCGTCACGAGATGAAGCCCGTTGGCCCGTTGAGCCGCTCACTGACTGACACACGCACACTCACACTTGCTCCCTCTAGCTCATCCAATATCTCCAGTCATATCCCAACCCTCTGAGCCAAAAGCCCAGCACATACACCCCCGACTGCATCTCGCGGCTGCTCGAGCGCCTCAGCCCCTACGAGCTCTCCAAGGGCGAGGTCGTCATGATTCTCAACCTGCGGCCGGCGTCGGTGGCGGCGCTCAACACCGTCATTGAGGAGATGGCGGAGCGCTTCAGCGATGAGCAGCAGGAGGAGATGGTGGCCATCATCTCAGAGGTCCTGGGCCAGTTTGACGCGGCGCAGGGAAGCGCAAACGACACGGGCGATGGCGCCGAGGCCAATGCTTCATGACGAGCTTCAGCACACATACGGCCGTTGAGACACCTTTTTCCATTTTGAAATGGACGAACAAGCAAAAAGACCCTTGCAACACCTACCCGCCAATTTCGCTCTATATACAAAGAACCACAATGGCAAGCGGCTATGCAACAAAACGGCTCACATGATTGTGCACCCGCCCTCGCTCTGTCCGCCCTTCTCCGTCGTCGTCTTGACGGCCGTCTTACAAATGTCTTCAAACGCCGGCCCCACGAGCTCGCCCGTCACCGCTGAGCACTCGACATAGCGATCTGCTCTCATCTCTTGGGCCATTCGATAGGCGTCTTGCGGGTATATGATGCCGTTTGGATCATTCTCGGACCGCAGGTCCCTCTTGAGCCCCATGACGACCACCGGTAGGGAGTCTATGCGGGGGAACGACTGTTTGACCTCGTTGATCCACTACTGGGGCATTACTATGGGTTGTATAAATTTTTTGAGAGATACGGATAGACAGGGGATTTATCAAGGGGGTTCAGAACAAAACCAAAACAATGAGAAACAATACTGACATATCTCTTCATGTTGATAAGACTCAGTCGCTGGCTGATGTCGTAGCAGATGACAATGACGTCCGGATCCAGCAGCCGCCAGTTCTCGGGGCTAGAAGTGTCGTAGAACTCGAACCTGTAGCTCTTGGAAGAGACATTGACCGAAAAGATGTACGGCTGGTCAATGTCGCGGAGGAGCGGGATCGGGTTGATGTGTTCGCCGGCCCTTACTCTCCTGCTTGTAGAGTCAGCATTACAGATGAACTGATGGGGTGAAGATGGTTGGCTACGGACGAGAGAAAGTAGGTTTTGCCGCATTTTGCGTCTCCCACGAGAAGGAGTTTGACGACTTCATCCTCCATTCTTGCCAGGAGACGCCTCGTGGACGAAGATGGGGAGAGAGTTGAGATGAGAAGAGATGACATGAGGTTGAGTCGGGATACTTTGGTACTTGGGATTCGAGTGGCGCTTGGTCCACCAGCCACAGTTGGCGGGTTGTCCAGCCACAACTTGGTTTTGAACTTGAAAATCCAGTCATTGAAATCGGCACAGAAGAAAGAAAAGAGCCCCTCAAGCAACGGAAAGGAAGAAGGGAATCAATGAGAAAGACAAAAATGATATGAAAACTTGAAGCAAGTTCATTACATGCGACCTTTCCATCAGGGAAACCTCGGCCGCAAAATCTGTGGGAGAGCCATAACCAGCCGGCCGAGCAGGGCCAGAGAAGGACTTGCTTTTCACTGCCGCTTGTCAACCGTCAACAACCTGCAACTCGTGCGAGAGCGGAGGCTCAAGATGTCGGACCAGGGGAACTACAACAGCTGGACCAAGGCCGGGCTCATCCAGCGGGTCAAGGAGCTGGAGAAGCAGCTCAAGGCGTCGTCATCATCTCACGAGCCCGCTTCAGCAGCAGCAGCAGATGAACAGCAACAGCAACAGCCGCCATCACAGAGCAAACAACATGGACAGGAGCAGAAGCAGGACGAAAACGAGCACGACGAGGCCTCCGCCGCCGCCCAACCGGCCAAGAAGCCCAAATCCAAGGGCAAGAAGAAGATGGACCCCTCAAAGTACGCCACGCGGTACATTGCGCTGAAGCTGGCGTACCTGGGCAAGAACTTTGGCGGCTTCGAGTTCCAGGCCATGGGCAACCAGCCGTCCATCGAGGAGGAGCTGTGGAACGCGCTGACCAAGGCGTGCCTCATCTTCCCCGAGGACGAGCGGATCGTCGACTTTGAGTGCTGCGAGTATTCCAAGTGCGGGCGGACGGACCGCGGCGTGAGCGCCTTTGGGCAGGTCATTGGGCTGAGGGTGCGGAGCAACAGGCCGTTGCCCAAAAAGCCGGTCGAGGGCGCCGAGGAGATGGACGTGGAACAGACAGGGCCCCTGGCATCAGCTTCAGCAGAGCAGGAGACGCAGCCGCAACAAGACAAAGACGACGACAACAAGGCCAAGGCCAAGGCAAAGGCCAAGGCAAAGAAGCAGCCGGAGCCCACCAGGCCCTTTGACGACATCCGCGACGAGATCCCCTACCCGCACGTCCTCAACCGGCTGCTCCCCAAGGAGATCCGGATCCTCGCCTGGTGCCCGTCGCCGCCGCCCGGCTTCTCCGCCCGCTTCTCGTGCCGGGAGCGGCAGTACCGGTATTTCTTCACGCAGCCGGCCTTTGCCCCCGCGCCGTCTCACGTCGACAACACAGCAGCAGCAGCAGCAGCAACCGGGCAAGGAGGAGCCAACGGCAAGGCTGTCAAGTCCGGCTGGCTGGACATTGACGCCATGCGCGACGCGGCGAAGCGGTACGAGGGAGAGCACGACTTCCGCAACCTGTGCAAGATTGACCCGGCCAAGCAAATCACCAACTTCAAGCGGCGCATGTTCGAGTCGGACATTGTCGAGGTCGAGGACGCCGCGTCGGCGCTGCCGTACCTCCAAGCGGCGGGCTTTGCCCCCGAGAACCTTGAGGCGCTGGACTCTTCGTCGTCGTCGTCGTCTGCTTCGGGGGCCAGAAAGGGGATGTATCCCAAGGTGTACTATTTCCACGTCCGCGGGTCCGCGTTCCTGTGGCATCAGATCCGTCACATGGTTGCCGTGCTGTTCCTCGTGGGCCAGGGGCTGGAGAAGCCGTCGGTGGTGAGCGAGCTGCTCGACGTGGACAAGAACCCGCGGCGGCCAAACTACGTCATGGCGGACGAGGTGCCGCTGGTGCTCTGGGACTGCATCTTCCCGTCTGATCTGAGCGCGTCGACGGCGGCCCATCGCGAGGACGACGCGCTGCGGTGGGTGTACGTCGGGGATGACGGGCCGAGCGGGCGGTTCGGCCAGTTTGGCATCATGGACGACGCGTGGCAGATGTGGCGCGAGAAGAAGATGGACGAGGTGCTTGCCGGGCAGCTGCTGCAGCATATCTCGAAGCAGGGCAATAACACTGCTACTTCGTCCAAGGCGGCGGCGACGACGACGACGACCGCGGCGGCGACCAGCGTAAAGGTGTTTGAGGGCGGTAACGGCGGGAGGCTGAGCGGCAAGTATCCTGGCATCATGAACATGAAGTTGCTGGAGAGCGCGGACGAGCAGAACGACAAGTATGCCAAGAGAAAGGGGTATGCGGATGCGGAGGACATGAGGGCGAAGAAGGGGTTGAAGAGTGCCAAGGCGGAGGAGGATATCACCATGGCGGATGAATGAAGAGATTGCATGAAGAAGATAATAAGGGCCTTTTTGGGTATATAGATTTGCTAAACGCATACATCTCCGTGGTATCTCGCACCATGACGCTGTCTCCCTCTACAAGCTCTCTCTATGAAAAGGGAGACGGCTGGTATATATATCCCATCAACACGCAACAACAACAACAACAACAACCTCTATAACTCTAGCCAACTCGGTCAACTTCCCGATTTGTCAACCCGATCCTCCCCCCTCCCCTCATACAAACACTCCCTCACGCCCCTCCACACCGTCTCGACAATCTTCCGCCTCGGCAACAGCCCCGGAAACACCACCACGACATTCTCCTCGCCCTCGACCACCACGACGAGGTAATACCTGACCTCGAAGCCCAGAAACGCCTCGTTGACGAGAATGTCCTGGATCTTCTCCGTGGGGATGAAGCGCGTCGCCGCGCCGGCGAGGTACGTCGCGGGGCTCTCGCTCGTCTGCACGCCCAGCCCGCGCAGGACCAGCAAGCTCTCCTCCTTGTGCACCCTCAGGCTCAGCGCGTAAAAGACGGCCGCCGCGACGGGCAGGAGCACAGGGAGTGATACGGATGCCGCTATGCGGGCGAGGAGCGCTCCGGCGGGCGTCGTCTGAAGGAAGGCATCGAGTGCGAAGACGAGGCGGTCCAGCGAGATCAGCGGCGGCGGCGGTTGCGGTTGCGGCTGCGCAGGCCCGGCGGCGATGGAGCCGCGTTCTTGGACCCAGCGCGCGTAGAGGATGAGCAGCGCGACGAGGGACAGCGAGATGCGCAGGGCGAGGAGAAGGAGCCAGAGGAGGCGCAGGGCCAGCGTCCGCGGCGGGAGCGTGGTGACGGTGAACTCGGCGGTTGTGGGCGAGGGGCGGCGGATGCGCAGCCGGGGGGCTGTGGTGAGCATGTTGGTGGTGATGATGATGATGATGATGATGATGATGATGCTTCAGGTGAAGAAGAAGAGGCTTTATCAAACAGAGTCGTGGGTATGTATTGTCGGGATTTCTGTCTCGTCTCGTCTCGTCCGTCCGTCCGTCTTTATCTCGATATTCCGTGGAAGCTTGGTGGGAGTGAGAGAGGGGGAGAAGGCGGACGGAGATTCTGTCAATCAAGTGGCGCCGGCCATTCTACGCAGAGCTGGTGACGATGCGCTCCAGCGGTTGTAGAGATTGAGGCGAACGAGTAGAGACGAGCCTGGGCGCGTCAATTGGGCGACGATGCCATGATTGCATGTAAGGTTAGTAGTCGCTGTCAGAGGTTGAAGCTATCAAATCTCCAGCACCAGCAGCTACAGCACCAGCTACAGCACACCTTACAGCACTCCCACCCACTAATGAAAACCCCCCCCACACCAAGGCCGGGGCCAAGGTATATAAACGACTTTCTCATCTCCTCCCAACGGCTGTAATGGTCAAACGGTGAAGGCTCTCGCACAAAGGCCCGCCACTCCCCAATCCCACCCCCGTCAGATCCCCTCCGTTCGACGCCCAGCCCGAACGCCGCGGTGGCCGCCCGCTCGTACAGGTAACTTACGATGTCGGAAACACTTTACCGTGGCCCTAAGCAATGGAGATGACACTTCAGGGAGGCTTCACTCTGCAGAGAACTCTCCCCCGTCGCGTGGCGGGCTGGATTACGATCGCGGAGGGCGTGGGTTGGGGTGGTGGGACGGAGAATGCCAACACCTTTTTTTTTTCTTTTTTTTTTTCGCATTTTTTTTCCTTTTGCACATTGATCATGATGATAATGCTTGATGAAAAAAATATACGAGGATAGAACAGTCATTCGAGATTCAGCTTAGATGCACAAATCAAGGTCAAAATCGCGGCAATGTGGTGAAAAACACACAGTTGAACCCCTCCCTCTCGATCCATCCGTCACATTCCACAGCAGAGTTGAAGCCATCACCACCCACCAACCCACCACCACTAGCACCAGCACTAGGTATTATGTACCTACTCGCCATCAACAACCTGCATTCCACCACACACACACACACACACACACTTCAGCACACACAACCATAACCAGGGCAAGCCATAATACACACCTCTCAATCTCATTAGCTACCTTCGACCAACCAGTGTGCCGCGAGGCAGCCTTGTATAAAATAGTAGCTAACCCTGCCCGGCATCTCTCCTTTCCCTCACTTTTCATTTCTGCACGCTCCCACCCTTTTGCAATCATCTTTGCATCAACTCCTCTGCCTCCTCCCACCGCATGAGACGTCGCCATCTTCCGCATACCACCTACTTGCTTCTCTTATACCTCCGCCCAGAAAAAGAAAAAGAAAAAGAGGTGCCCGTCGTCAGTCATAAAGAATCGAAGAAAGAGAAAAAAAAGATGCAGTGAAGGAAAGCGAGAAAAGAGTCTTCAAGCCGGGATATACATAGCTTGCATGGTATTTGCAAGCCGCCATTCCATAAAAAAACCATCCCCTGGACATAATGACGTTGCCAAAGCAAATGAAGAGAAAGCATCCCAGCACCCAGTTTTGCACATGCTCACTAAAACACACTTGGATAAGAAGTAAGACAGCTTCTTCTTTCCTCAAGTGGAAAGGAAGGGGGGAGGGCTTTAGAATTGATGGACCGAACGAAGAGAAGACAAAGGAATGGCCATGCCAAATATCAGAATTGAAAAGAGATATTCCCCCGAAGGGACACACAGGATATCGTCCCATGCTCACAGATGCCAGACACCGGGGGGAAGAAACCTCCTCGATCAGAAAAGAAAAGAGCCAATGAAAGCAAGCAAAGTCATGGCGACAAACGCATCGTATGCAGGCGTCGTATGCAGGCATCGCAGAAGAGCCTGACAGCGAATACCGAATAGGCCCCAACCTCTTGTGCGACACAACAAGTCGCCCACCCAAGCCTAAAACATGCCGTTCTCGTGCAGCCCCATCGACATCTTGCGGCCATGCCCCTCAATGGGCGATCGAATGGCGTCCCGGTCATACAGCACAGGCGGAGGATTGCCCGCCACGGGCGACCTGAGCTGGTTCAGCGAGTTGGCATTGCCCTCACCGCCGTACATCTCGAGAGGGGGCGACATGACGCCGATGGATCCTTTGCGGCTGCGGCTGCCCGAGCGGAGGCGCTCCGTCGCCTTGGTCCTACGCCCGGAAAGGCTGCCCTCCCCGAGGCTGCGACCGCGGTTGTGGCCCTTGACAGGGGGTTCGGGCTGGGCGAGCACCGGCACCTTGCCGTCGTTGGGAGCAGCCGACATGGGCTCTTCTGCCTCGTCGTCGTCCATGACAATCTCAATCATGCCCGAGGCCAGTGTTCCAGCCACGGGCGGCTGGCGTCGCACGTGTGGCAGCGGTGCTGGCGGAGGAGGGGGCGGCACGGCTAGATGCTGCAGCTCCTTGAGGAAAGTCAGGGGAGCCGAAGGGGGAGGTGGTGGTGGAGGCGGCACCAGGTTGTTCACTTGTCGACGCCACTCCGTCTCTACAATATCGTCGAGGCCTCTGCCCTCGTTAGCACTCGACTTTCTCCCGTATCGAATTGCGTGAGGTGGCTCATCAGGGATCGGTGCCGACATGCTTCGCGGAATCATGGGGCGAGACGGCGGTTGGTAGACAGTGGACGGCAGCTGATAGACAGTCGATGGCAGCAGTGTCAACGGCGGCTCCTCCTCTTTCTGCTGAAAGAGTTGTTGTTGTTGCTGCTGCTGCTGCTGTTGCTGTTGCTGCTGCTGTTGTTGTTGCTGCTGCTGTTGTTGTTGCTGCTGCTGTTGTTGTTGTCGTTGTTGCTGCTGCTGCTGTCCCTGCTGCTGCTGCTTCTGCTCCTCTCCATAAACACTACTGCCCAACGTGTATTTTGGAGAGTACTGGGGTGAGTTCTGCGGCGAATACTTTTGAGAAAACGTCGCCGGCACCGGCGGAGCAGGGAGATCCTCGTACTGATTCTCGTCAGACCGGATAATGAGCCTCATCGCCTTGGGAGTGGCAGGCAGGCCAATCTGCGGCCTGTTCTGAGCATACATGCTCCTCGGCGGCTCCGCCGCTCTCGGAGGCTCCGTTGCAGAGCGCGGCGGCAGATCATCCGGCAGCTTTTCGTCGTCGGCCTCTACCAGAACCGGCGGTCTCCCGGGAGAGATCTGGCTTGGATGGGGAATTCGGGGACCGAGCTGTCGCTTGGCCAGAGACTTCCTACGCTCTTCTAGCTCTCGCGCAGCCTGTTCCTTCTTCCGCTGTCTCTCGTCCTTCATCTTCTTCAGATCGCCGGCGTGCTCGGTGGAAGCGGCTCGTCCATATACTGTCTGGCTCAAGACCACGGGTGCAGCCTCTCGAGTCTCAGTCGCTTCCTTTCGTCGGCTTTCCGAATGCTCACGCCGGCTTACGGCGGGAGAATTGACGTTGTGGCCGACGCTGCGGCTGTGCTTGGCCCTGAACTCTTCCTGCGCCCGCATGGCTGCTCTAAAGTCCTCCTCGTCCTCCGATCCCTGATAATGCAGGGCTGTTGCCGACAGCGGCACCGGGGACGGCGGTGACCGCGGTACTGATCCACCCCTTCCGCGGCTGGATGTCCGCCCGCTGGTCTTGCCTTTCGCCACGCTCGCCTTTCGAATCGTGAGGGGTTCCACGGAGTTGTCGAATGTCCGGTTGCTCAGCATGGCCAAGTCTTCGGGGGACATTGGAACTGGGGATGTGGGCGATCGCTTTGGCCTTGTCCAGGATCTGGCTGAAGCCCTACCGCGGTCTTCCGAAGGGTCGCGCGACTTGGTTCGTCGCTCTCGGCTGGCGTGGCGGCCGGTGGACGCGTCTCGTGTCCGTTCCTTGCTTCCGGTCCGACTTCCAGCTCTCCTGGAATAGTGCTGAGCCGCTTCCAGGCTATGGATGTAATCATCCCTTTGTCGAGCGTTCGATTTGTGACTCCGACCAGCGCTGGAGGTGGATGTCATGGAACCTGCCACTGATGCGGAACTAGGGCCAGTACCGCGGCGACGAGACGGCCAGTGGAAGCGAGCGGATGAGGCGCCAGATTGCTCAGGAGACATTGCATCCATTGATGGCGGCTGCATCGTCTGCAGCTGCAGGCTGAGGTGAGCAGGAATCCGGTCACGGGAGCCGTTTCGCTGTGCCGAATGGACTTCTTGCAGCCTGCTCATGATGTTATGGTCGGGAGACGGCGGTCGCTCTCCTCCGTACCCTTGCACGGCGCGCTGGTACTGGTCCCTCATCATCATTGGGCTGGCCGTAGCAGCGCGCTGCATGGCGAGCCCGGTCGCCATGTTATCTTGAGGGGCGGACGACTTGCGAGAATGGCTCGGCCGTTTCTGGGGTGCGTCCACGATGCTTGCAATGTTATCCAGGGGCTTGTTGGCTTCCCCGATGGAGGGCAACCGTCCGCGGCTGAAGCCCTGACCGATAGGGCGGGCTGACGTTGGCGTGTTGAACCTGCTGTTGCCCGACGGCCGGAGGAACGCAGTCGCGGGATCATAGGCGCCTCCCGGAGAGATGGCCGACTCGGCAATGGGCGTCACTCCAGCTGCAATCGGTGTCTGGCCGCCGTCAGCCTGCGAGTAGAACTTGGCCTTTTGGGTGGGATCTCCAAAGGACGTAATCAGCTTCAGTGCCGATGCCTTGGCGACGCTGCGCTGGGGGCCCCTCTGGATGCCCGGGGGCGACAGCGGAGGGCTCAGCACCTCGGGGATGCTCGGGGTGATGTTTTGGAAGTTGAGCTGGGCAGCCGATGGAGAGGTCCAGGGCTCCGAGGACTCCTGGTCGGTACAGGCAAAGCAACGAATTGCCAGTTGCTGCTGGCCATGCTTGACCGCCCACTCGCCCCATTTGCGCACAATGGCAGCTTGACGCTCCCAGACGCTGGGAAAAGCCACGCAGGTGAGAATGAGGGCCTCCATATACCGCTTGTGCGAGATGTAGACCTCAATGGCATCGTTATAGTCGCCCATCCCAAGCATAATCGTCACCGCAACATGGACATCGCCATTCTCTAGCAGGCGCTGGACATAGACCCGGCCGAGCTTGTGCTGGGATGCCTGGCCGCCAATGCCGCTCAGTGCCAGCAGCATCCAGTCTTGGGAAGTCATGTTCTGGGAACCCGCGGCCATGATGTCTGCGTCAATGTCGCCCAGCCACTTGGCTAGCAAGATTCGGTTCGCCGACCCTGCGGGATAGCGACTCATCTCGTCTCGAATGAGGTCTTCTACTTCCTTGTTCCAGCCAAAGATAGTGCTGAGCATCTGTCGGCGCAAATCGTCATTGGTAGGATGAGATCGTTGCGTTGGCATCGGGTGCTTGTACGGGAGGTCGCTGAGCCGCGAGCGAGTGTATTTGAACAGATCCTGCACGTTGGCCTCGTCAGGACTCCTCGGTACTTCGTGTCTGAGGCGAGAGGGCCGATGCCTGGACCGGGACGACGCCAATGATGGGCCGCTGGTGCTAGGGAGTGTGTATCCCATGGAGTAGTTGTCCGCCTCGCGCTGGCCGACTGTCGAAGTTTTCATGGATGAACCAGCGGAGATGTATGTCCCCTCCGTCATTCCCCGCGACCTGAGGGAGCTGGCCTGCCTGCCAGGCGTACGAGAGCTGGCCGAAGACTTTGACAAGGATGACACGCCGCTCTGGCTAGAGGCCGCGCTGCCTGTATCGTACACCTCGTGCCTGGCTTCGGGGGCATTGCGCTTTGCTAACCGCTGGAAAGGAGATAGGTGGTCGTCATCGCTTTCAGAGATGCCCATCTCGAGGGGGACAGAGCTCGACTCGGATTCCGAGGTATGAATGGTCGTGGCAGAGTGCACCGACCTGCCCCCTGTCTCCTCGGAGGTGGGTGGAGATGGCGGAAGGACGCCCGCGGGGTGCTGCACGTTTGCCACCATGATGGCTGGGGAGTTGAGGTCAAACTGCTGCACGGTGTTGTTCGGTCCAAGGGTGAAGAGACTGGCTCCTGGGCCATAGACGGCCAGGCCTTTAACATGCTCAAGGGTCGGGATGGAGTCCTTTGTGACATGTTTGGTTCTCACGTCCCACGAAAACGTTTCCCTGCACAACGAGGTCAGCACAACAAAAAACCAAACCAGCAGAAGCGGGAGGCCGCGCGCTTAGGCTGTGTCCACTTGATAGGGGACTTACGAGTCCGAGTATTGGATGATGCGGCCGTTCTTGGACCACCCCATCCAATTGGGCCCAGCCAGGAAGTTCTCGTTCCTGCGGAGCACCCTGACGACCTTGGCGGGATCTTCGGCGCTGTACGACTTGGCCACACTCCAGACCCGCAGGTCGCCATCGTGCGTCTGCACGGCCAGCATGTCTGATTTCTGCCTCGAGGAGGACGCGTGCCAGGCGAGGGTGACAATGGGCGATGGCCCTCTCGAGGTCGTCAGGTTGTGTAAGATGGTGAACCGAGGCTGCAGAGTTGCGACCAAGAGAGATCCGTTCTGGTAGCTACATCGGATGGAATCAGTACGCCGTGGCACATTCGCGACAGACTTCTCGATTCATGGTCGAACACCAACTTAACCAATGGCAAAGGTCCGGCAGTCAGACGAAGGGGCTAATGCTGTCACTGCAATCTGGTCTAGCGTCCGAGCCGAGATATGCTCGGATGTAGTAGGTTCAAACATGATGATGTTTCCCTGTGTGTTGCCTGGAAGCCCAATCCGTTAGCCACCTCATGTCACCAGCTTAAGGAGAGGAGGGGGGGCATCTCTGGCTCCGCTCACCGAAAGCAACGTTCCCATTCCGCATCCAAGCGGCGACTGTGAGCGTCTCGTACGAAACGAAACGCGAAATCTCATCGCCCGTCATTAGATCCCACACAATGGCAGTCTGGCCAGCGTCATAGCTCACGACGAACCGGCCAGCGCCCATGTCGCTCTGGTTATCCACGGCAAGCAGCTGGACATCGTCGACATGGCGTGAGAACCTCCGGTCGATGGTGAGCGTGTCGTGATGGCAACAGACTATCGTTGGTCCCTGGGCATAGAGGAAGATGGACGCCGTGGCAGCGGACGGGATGAAGTATTTGAGATCCGCGGCGGACGGCATCTGTGCGAACTCGGGCGGCGCTGGGCGGCCCCGAGCGGTCGACGACTTGCCGGACCGATTGGAGACGGTCTGGATGTGAGATGTGGAAGACATGTCTGCGGTTTGCTCTCGATGTGTTTCGACGGCCGAATCTGTCGGGCCCAAGCTTATATTGGCCGGTCTAGACGGCCTCCTCCTCGAGCCAGCTCAGAGGGCACTGTTCCGCCCCTCCAAGCTCGTGAGACAGTACCGGCTTTGGTGTCACAATCCTGTCGCCAAGCCAAGGTCAGACCTCTTCCGAGAACGCTTGTCGAGGGATGAGTCCACAAGGTGGCGGCAAGCTGCGGCGCTCTTCAGGTATCGATCATGACATGAAACCCTGCTACTGCCCACTCCCGGACACAAGGCTCAGCGCTGCAATCCACCAGGTGACCGGTTCCGTTCGGGCCGTCGACGGGGATGGTGGAGGTTGTTGGTATCGTGGAGGCGGGAGCGTCGAAGAGGGTCGATTGCCGGGCGAGATGTAAGCTGTGATATGCCGTGGAGGATGTTCCCAGAGATGCAGGAACTTGGTCGTGACAGGCTACAGCAACGAGATGAGGTTGAAAAAGGGAAGAAGGCTGAGCAGCCTAACGGAAGAGGGCAGCGTCACGGTTTTGCATGTAAGGGCAAGCTTGGACAACGGGTTTCTGTGATGTGCTGCAGAGCGTTAGGGGAGGGGCTGATCTGATTAGCTCGGCGCTTGTTCGTACCGCCTAGGGGATGCTCCTGTTTGGAGGATCAGGCGTAATGGGAGATGCAGGCGGATGCAGGAGAGGTTTGGGCTGGATGTGGGATGCGGGATGCGGGCTGGTTGGTCACGCAGTTGGGAACAAAGAGAGCTGCTCAAGCCGCTCCGTTTCCAGGCCGTCTTTATTCTCCTTTCTTGCCCTCGAGAAGCTCTGGGAGAGTGTACAAGTTCGGATGATGAGAGGGAGAGAGAGAAATACAGACAGACAGAGCGAGAGAGAGGAGAGAGAGAGAGAGGGAAGATTGTTGAGTGGAAGAGTGAGAGAGTAAAAGAAGCAGCAGCAGTACTAGGTAGTAGTAGTAACGGGCCCCCGGTGCAAGACGGCTCCCTGGTACTTGTACAGACGTACAAACAAGCTAAATCAGATGGTACCCAGAGACACGCACCACTCACGCACGGTGAAGGCAAGCTGCCAGCAGTATTTGATGGACACGGACAGGTTGAAGAGGAGGGCTGGATAGGTAGGTAATAAGAGCAGGCTAGGGTGTGATGGGTCCGATGGAGAGGAGCCAGGCGAGCATGGCGCCTATGCGGCCTGATTGAGGCCTGTCGATGGGATGGGGTTGGCTGCCATATAAAATTAGAGTGCAGAAGCTGCTAAACGGCCGTCTTTGGCATGGAGCGGATACGGTCCGGCAGCTAAAGACCGGCCAATGTGCGTCAAAGCAGCGCAGGTACATGCGCAGGCCGACCAGATACCTCCCGGTGTGCTTCCCAAGATTTGTTGCACGGCGCCCCATGTTTCGACTATCTGCAGCATCACGGTTGGCGAAGTCCGGCTTTGTGGTAGCGGTAGAAGGGAGGTAGTATCTCTCTCTCTCTCGCTACCGACTGCGGGAACCGAGCAGAGCGTGCTACTACGCTGCCATTGTCATGGTTTGGAGCGAGGTCCAGGCGCCCTCTTTTCCTTCTCTTTTTCTTCTTTTTTTCCCGCCTCCCTCTCCCTCCGTTTCGTCCCAGCGAGCCGCCATGGGTTAGGCTCTGAGTCTCTCTGCTACGCGCGTGCGGCCGTGGTGGGCCCCCCCCAGCTAGGCATTGATGAGGCGAAGACGGCGGAGAGGCAATGGCGATTCCTGGTCGCCTCGCAGCATGGTCGACTGGAACTGGCAAGCAAGCAATCATGGGCTCAGATCCTCGAGACGGGCGGATTGAAGACGGGCGATGTACACGCGCTAGCGGCCCATGTACATACCGCTGAAGCAGAATTCCCTATAGACGGCCCTCCCTCCCCCCCTGCTTAGCCTCTCAGGTCGTCCGTGGACCCTTGCCAGACATTGGTGACGGGCCTATCAGAAGCTTCATAGGCCATTGAGTCTCTGGAGGGCAGGAAAAGACTTGGAATTGAAGCAGCGTTTGACTCCGTATGCCATGTCTCGTCCGTCTGCGCATGAGAGCGCATTTGCAAAGACGGAGCGCGATTTGCTGCACATGAGTCGTCGTGCGACGTCTGACACCTCATATGGGAGCGAGTAGACGGCCTTTACCCCGACCTGCGGCGCCTCTCACCGTTGCATCGGGGTGGTTCCACGCTGGCGATCTGGCCTCTGTGCGAGCATGCTGCAGTCTGGATGATTTGAAACGGTACCTTGCAGTTCGCCGTGATACTTGTGATACCGGGCTGCCGCGAGGGGACAGGCGGTCGTTGAGCTCTGGAGGGCGGCATGCTCGTATATTGTTGGCCAGGGGAGGGAGGGCATCACCCAATGGACAGGCGGGCAGTTGCTTCATGATGTCAGTTGCAGTTCGCTTCGTGTGTTCGCCTCAAGGGGGGGGAACGAGGCGCTCAGCTGCTTTTTTGCCACCGTATGTAAAGACAATCTCCAGCTCTGCCAGTTCATGTACTCGTACCCGCATGCATGTACTCTGTCGCTGCTCGTTTGTCGCGTCGTGTCAAATCAAGTCGAGTCCAAGTCAATCCAGGCAAATTCATAAGAGGTGGCGCCCAAAAGACGCATGGCTGGAGCTTCTGGGGATTTTGGGGCTGCGGTCCAGAGTGGGGCGCCCGAGCCCAGAGACTCAATGGCAGGCGCTGTCGAAGCGCCGAGGTGTGTCGCGCCTGCTGATTGGGCGCGCCAAATGCAGGTGCGCGGCGCAGGCTGACCAATCGGCGGCTTGATCACGCCTGCCTGCAGGGGTCCAATCGCTGGACCCCGGCCGCTAAGGCTGCTGGCCGGGATCAGGGATCGAAGCCTCACTTCACTCGCTCAGGCCTTTTTGCTGGACCTGTCACGGCTTTTGCAGGCGATGGGAACGATGGAGGTGGTGGTGCTCGATGAGAGGGAGTGGTCATTACATACGATATTCTGTACGGATATCTTATCAGGCATTGATTGCACTGACTGCACTGCACTGTACTCCGTAGGTGATGCTCACCGGTGCAATCCATCCCGAGGTCCTTGCAACTGCTCCATGTTACAGTCACCTAGAAGCCGTGTCTCAGCCCATGTCTTGATGCTTCAAACTACAGTAATACTATGCACCATCACGAATAGAACTAACATTAATACCTACAGTACTCCGTACGTACATACTACCAGCTCAAAGCACACAGCAGCCTCGGAACCCGTGGCATGACTCTCCCCCCGTCACTGCAGCATCACACGATTCTCGAGACGGCCACTCTCCATCCTACTATCTTCCTACCACGACCCCAGATCGAATCCTCTTCAGAAACTCCATCCATCTCCTCTCCATCTCCCACTAGCCTCAAAGCTCCCCGTCCTCTCACCTCGCCGCGCTAACTTTTCACCATCCATCGAGCCTCAATGCCTCCGGCACGCATGTCCGCCAACTCCGCAATCTCATCTCGCCGACTGCTTTGTGCCCAGGCATCAACCATCATCACAAAGTAGTAGTACATACTTGCAGAATGGCAAGAGACCCCCCCGGTGCGGCCACGGCTATTAGAACCCATCCACCATAGCCCGCTCTCTTAGCGAAATGGCGTCCCCATGCGCCCATTGACCAAAGCTCGTCCGCTCGTCCCTTGCCCTCAGCGTCGTACACAGTGACGAGCTCCCCAGGGCACACGTGCGACATACATTGAAATGTCTTGGAGCTCTGTTCAGACCGTGGCCCTATCATCGGTCTCCCATCCCGGGGCTCCTCTCCTCCCACACTTGCAAGTCTACTCATCCGCGTCAATTGAGCTGTCGTAGACTAAAGCTGCCACTGTAGCATCGTACCCACCTCTTCCGAAACCCCTACAAGCACACGAACCCCGAAGGATTCGAGAGAAGGCCTTTCAAGTCACAATAACAGCAAGCGAAGCCAATGCTATATCCAGACCACGGAGCGGTGATGACCTGCGCGAGACGTAGGCGCCGACCACGCTGGTCCTCTTGGGCGACCAACAACGACTTCACTCGATTTGGCAGTCTTGAGGCCCAACGGCAACGTTTTCCCTTGGATATATGGCTCTAGCCTCGCTTTTCTTTCCGCACCCTGTCGAACTGTGACCTTGTGACGCAGTTTTTTTGGGCTTGGCTTTCGTTTACCCCTGGAATCGTCTTTGTCATACTCGGTGGCTCAAACTAACAAAGCCAACACGCCACTTGCTGGATGCTTTCTTGATGCCATCGAGCATGACACCGCCACGTTTTATGCTCCCATACGAGCCAGGAAGCCAATGCTTATATGCAAGCGTCTCGCGGGTGCTGGTGTGGTGTGAGAATGAAGTCTCATACTGCTCGTCACTCCTCTTTCCCATTCAATACCCCACTGAATAGTTGATTAGCGATATCAGGAATACTCTGCCGTGTCGAAACGGCACTCAACATTCTCGAACAAGGGTCTATCTGGAGGTTGGGGATTGTCGTTATCGTTGGTGTCACGCCAGAGCGGAGAGTATTGAGGGACGCTCAAGTGAACGAGATCAGGGAAGTGAATAGTATAAGACCGAGCCACCCTTGCCCAGCCCGTAGACATTGTGTAGCGATGGTTCCTGAACCATCCGGCTCCTGGCATTTCCGGTCTCGCTTGGGTCATGAGGAGGTATGACAGACTTTCATCTTCGTTCCTTGTCTTCTTAGTTCAATGTAAAGCGAACGGAAGGTATCTACTACGAGTAGTAGGATTGGTACCAAAGGTTGTCATGTCATCAAAGATAGGAAGACCGAGAAGCCATTGTACTTGCGCGGCAATACTTGTGCTATCTGAAACGAAGACTGTCCCGACTTTCACAGATGTACATTTCTAGTGAGATAGCTCACAGTTTAATACAAAGCAAATC